TGTGTGGAAGGTAGTTTGAAGTCCGATACGAGTGGGAAAGTCTTGAAGAATGTCTAGTCTTTAGTTTGAATGCAAGATTCGCGAATTTAAAAGTGTTTTAGATAGCAGAAATTGGATTTTTTGGGGAAAAATTGCGTTTTCTCGGGAATTTTTCGAATTTCCAGTAAAAAATTGTCATTTCTTTGGGAGTTTTGATGTCCTCAAAGATCTACATGTCTCTATGCAAATTTGCGAGGTAACAAAATTCCAAAAATTTGCATAATATTGCATAAATTTCTCATTTTTCTGCGAAAAGTCATCAAAAATTTGAATTTCCCAAAAAATCTCGTTTTTCCCTCAGGCATATCCTCATTTTTACACCGCCACTTCCTCATACGGATACTATTTTGGTTTCGTTCTCTGTTTTTTATACTCCTCGCATACTTTTGAGCTCTCAACGGGCTTCGGTTTCGCTTTTATGGCCCAATACGGGCCTATTTGTGGGCCGATCTCTAAACTTTTGCGCCGCTTAATTGTGAAATATGACATTTACAAGGCAGCCGACCAATTAATAAAGGGTCTTTGTTGTTGTGGAGACCAGGGTTTGATGACTTTTTGAGGGGTTTTTAATTTTTTTATATATTTTTTGAGAAAAATTTGAAAAATTGAAATTTTGCGAGAAAAAATCGTTGAGGCTTTATGTTATTCGTGGCCTATGGGTGTAGTAGGCTATGTGATAATCGATTTTTTATTGAAATGTCTTGTTGTGTTATACAAATTTTGCAATTTTTTCCTCCAAAAATGGGCAATAACCAAAAAATTTCTTATTTTTCGACAAAAAATTGTCAAATTTCTGTTATATCGTGCTTTATTGGATCCGCTGCCACTTGTAGCTTAATCAGCATCAACTTTTTTATCATATCAGAATCATTTTTCAACTATTTTTTACCTTTTTTCTTCAAAAATGGGCAAAAAACCAAAATTTTTCTCACTTTCCCACAAAAAAATCGACAAATTTCTGTTCTATCACACTTCTAATAACCTTTAGTTCTTGTGTTGTCATATGATTCAGCTCTTTCACCATTTCAAAATCAGTTTTCAGCATTTTTTCATTTTTCTCCAAAAAACGAGCGAAAAACCCAAAAAAATTCCCTTTTTTGAGAATTCAATTACTCCTATAATATCCATTAAAATTTGTTTTATCATCCACATCAGCTTTTTCACCATTTCAAAATCATCTTTCAGAATTTCTTTTCAAAAAAATGGTCGAAAATCAAAAATTTTCCTTTTTTTCAAAAAAAAAATCATCAAATTTTTATTCCATTGTGGTCATAGTATCCATTAGTGTTTATTTCATCATTTGTATCAGCTTTGTCGCCATGTTAAAATCATTTTTCAACATTTTTTATCTTTTTTCTTCCAAAAAACGGGAAAAATCAAAAATTTCTTATTTTTCCACAAAAAAATCGGCAAATTTTTGTTCAATTGCGCTCACAAAATATCTGTGAATCTTTCTTTTGTCATCTGCATCAATTTTTTTCTCTCTGTCATAGTCATTTCAACATTTTTTATCTTTTTTTCGTCAAAAAAACGGGAAAAATCAAAAATTTCTTATTTTTTCAAAAAAAAATCATCAAATTTCTGTTCCATTGTGGTCATATTTTCTATTAGTGTTTATTTCATCATATGTGTCAGCCTTTTCACCACTTCAAAATCATTTTTCAACATTTTTTATCTTTTTTCTTCCAAAAAACGGGAAAAATCAAAAATTTCTGATTTTTTCACAAAAAAATCGGCAAATTCTGTTCCCTCATTCAAAATAATATCCCTTACTTCATGTTTTATCATCTGCATCAGCTTTTTCACCATTTCAAAATCATTTTTCAACATTTTTTTCTTTTTTCCTCCAAAAAACGGGAAAAAATCAAAAATTTCTTATTTTCCCACAAAAAAATCATCAAATTTCTGTTCCATTGCTCAAAATAATATCCCTTACTTCTTCTTTCATCATCTACATCATTTTCCACCATTCCCCTCCCCCACTTTTATCAGTTTCTCTCCAAAAATCCCGGTTTGTCCGTCAAAAAATGGCTCTGCAAACAATTTGCGGGCCCTCCCCCATCTTCTACTGTACAATTTTCACGGAAACGGAGCGAGAGAGAGTCATTTCATTTCTCCCAACGAATTTTTTTTTTTTTTATTTTTTCGGCCGCCCGCGGCCCAAAAATAAAACTTTTCATTTTTTCCCTGCGGCCGTTTTCTCGAAGGGTTTTCGCAAAAAAAAAATGGGATGGGGATTCTGTGTGTGTGTGTTTTCCAGCCCCTTCCAGCCTTTTTTCGTGCATTTGTTTCTCTCTTCTTTTTCCGCGAGAAAAATGGGAATTAAAACCCCCGCCGAAAAAGAAGAGAGGGGAAACGCTCTCTCCCACCCCCCGGTTCTTTCGTTTCCAATACGCTTTCCCGGAGTGGGGCGAGGAAAGTTTTAAGATTTTTTTTAAGGAGTTGAGGATTTCCGAGATTTTTAGACATTTTTTCTGGAAAATTTTGAAATAAAAAAAAAAAAAGAAATTTTTGGGTTTTTTTTTTGAAAAAAGTCCAGATGTTTAATATAAGTGGAATTTGGTAATAAGGAAGTTATAAATATGGAGCCTAGGTATTTTTAAAAGGAATTTTAAAGGAAGATTTTTAAAGAAAATGAGATTTTTCTTTGATTTTTTTGGAAATTTTTGGATTTTTTTTTTATTTTTTTTTGAAAAAGTGCAGATGGCTAATATAAGTGGAATTTGATGATAAGAAAGTTCTAAATATGGAGCCTAGGTACTTTTAAAAGGAAATAGTGAGATTTTTTTTTGATTTTTTTTCGAAATTTTAGGATTTTTTTTATTATTTTTTGGTTTTTTTGAAAAAGTCCTGATGTTTAATATAACTGGAATTTGATAATAAGCAATTTCTAAATATGGAGCGTAGGTATTTTTAAAAGGAAAAAATGAGAATTTTTTTGATTTTTTTTTTATTTTTTTTTCATTTTTTGAAAAGTGGACAATTTTGGTTTTTTTGAAAAAGGTGCAGATTTTTAATATAAGTGGAATTTGATAATAAGCAATTTCTAAATATGGAGCCTAGGTGTTTTTAAAAGGAAAAAATGAGAATTTGTTTTTGATTTTTTTGGAAACTTTAGGATTTTTTTTATTTTTCTTTTTTTTTTGATTTTTAACAGGACTTTGCATTATAGGGCATGTGGAGCAATTACGACAAAAACTTTTTTGATTTTTTGAAAATTTTTGGATTTTTTTTTTTTTTTTTTTTTTGAAAAATGGAGATGGATAATGTAAGTGGAATTTTAGGTCAAAAAAGTGTCTAATATGGGAATAAGGAAATTTTAAAAGGAAATATAGAGCCTATGGAACAAGTATGAGAAAAGTTCTTTAATTTTTTTTCGAAATTTCATTATTTAAAAAAAAAATTTTGGAAATTTTAAAGTAAAAAAAGAAATTTTATGAAATTTTTAAAATAAAATCTATCTTCCAAAATGGCGAATTTCAGAAATAATTTCGAATATTTTTCGATTTTTCAAAAAAAAAAAAATTTTTTTTTGGTTTTTTTTAGTTCAGATGTATTTTAGTAATAATATAAATGGAAATTGACGGTAAAACTGTCCTTCAGATTATTTCATTTATTTTTTCAAAAAATTCCATTTTTAGCCGTAAAAATGGCAAAACTACAAATCTGAAATTACTTTTTTCGCCTTTTACTACTCTTTTGGGCTAATGTTTTTTGGAGCTTCGCCTTCAATTGAAAGACAAATTATCCATTTGTATAATTGTTTTATTTTTGGATTCAAATTAAAAAATTTTTTTTTGAAAAAATCAAAATAAAGGTCATTTTAAATCAGATTACTAGTTAAAATGTTCGCTTTCGATTTCTCTCGGCGATTTTTGAGTGCGCGGCATAACTGGAAATAAAAAAATTGAGCTGCGCAAAAAAATTTTTTTGCACGGTGCAAAAACGTAGGCTTTTTACAACTAGAAAATTGCACTGTGCAAAAATGTAGGCTTTTTTTAATTACAAAATTGCACTGTGCAAAAATTTCGGGTTTAATGGGTTTTATTTTGAATAATATTAGCATAATGACAACTTTTCTCAACTTCAAAATTGAGTGACAAAATAATTGGAAAAGTTTTTAAAATATGGCGGTCGATTTTTTCCAAAATTTTCTTTAACATTTTGCACTGTGCAAAAACGTAGGTTTTTTTCAACTACGTAATTGCACTGTGCAAAAAACAAAAAATATTGAAAAAATTATTGTAAAATACGTTCGTCTCATGTCCGTTTGATACAAAATTTTAAAATACGGCTTTCGTTTTTCAGACTTCTTTGCACTGTGCGAAAATTTAGGGGTTTTTGAACTTAAAATTGCACTGTGCAAAACCGTAGGCTTTTTTCAACTACGAAATTGCACTGTGCGAAAAATAACAAATATTGAAAAAATCATTGTAAAATACGCTCCTCTAAGATGTCCGTTTGATACAAAAGTTTAAAATACGGTTTTCGTTTTTCAGACTTTTTTGTACTGTGCAGAATTCTAGGCTTTTTTCAACTAAGAAATTGCACTGTGCAAAATTATAAGCTTTTTTCAACTACAAAATTGCACTGTGCAAAAAACAAAAAATAATTGTAAAATACGGTCGGCCACATATGTTAGATAAAATTTTTCGTCTCTCAAGAAAGTTTCGTGCTCTATTTGCAATGCAATTATCTTACGAAATGCACGTTATTTCTCTTTTCAAAGAAAATTTTTTTTTTTTTGAAAAAAGGAGAAATGTGCGAGAGGCGAAAGGGGTTGTTGGGAAGGGGGGAGAAACCCGCCAGAAAAATTTGTTTTTTGCGTGGGTATTATTTTATCCCGCCAGCAGTTTTTGGAAGCGGCCTTTTAGCGGTTTCGAGCGCAAAAAAATTCTCTTTCTCTCTCTCTCCCATCGCCACCCCGATGCGAATTCTTTTTACATTTTTATTTTTCGAAAATGGGAGGGCAAACGGATGGGGGTCATGTCATCACATACGCCATGGAATTGCGCTTCCTGGTGAGGGTTATATTGGGAAGTAAATGGAAAAAATTGTCGGGGATGTTGAGGATATTTGGGGTTTTGGTGCGGTAAAATAGGATTAAAGTGAGTGAAAATGGTGTAGAATAAGGTTGTAACTTCTTAAAAAAATTTTTGTCATCGTTAAAAAAATTTTTTGCACGGTGCAAAAACGTAGGCTTTTTTCAATTAGAAAATTGCACTGTGCGAAAACACAGGCTTTTTTACGTTAGAAAACTGCACGGTGCGAAAGCGTAGGCTACCTTCAACTAAGAATTTGCACTGTGCAAAAGGTGCCAAGAAAACAAAAAATTCTTTTTATCATCATTAAAAAATTTTTTGCACTGTGCAAAAATATAGGCTTTTTTCAATTAGAAAATTGCACTGTGCGAAAACATAGGCTTTTTTCAACTAAGAATTTGCACTGTGCAAAAATTTAGGCTTTTTCGGGTTATATTTTCATTTTTTTAATGGTGACGGGGTAAAATATGACTGGCAAAATTTGTCCAAGAGAAATAAATAAATTTTTTGATATTAAAAAATTTTTGCACAGTGCAAAAATTTAGGCTTTTTTCAACTAGAAAACTGCACTGTGCAAAAGCGTAGGCTTTCTTCAACTAAGAATTTGCACTGTGCAAAAATTCAGGCTTTTTTGAACTACGAAATTGCACTGTGCAAAAAATCGTTACAAAATAAAAAAATTTTTTTTTTATTTTTTATTTTTTTTTTTTTGATTTTTTTGCTATAAAATTTTCGATTTTCCGCGATATTTACTAATTTCATCATTCAAATTTTCCCGAAACCCAAAATTTCCATCTAATTTTCTAAACATTTCAGTCCTTTCGAACTTGCGCATTGCCGCCGCCTCCCTCAAGATAACGTTGAAGCGTCTAGTGCAGCTGTTCGAGCCGCTGTTGCCCCGCAAAATGCCCACCACCGACCCCAACGAGTGCACGATTACCGCCAGCAAGAACAAGCTGGCCAACATCATTGTGTACGGCCAGCTGAAGACCAACGAGCTGGTCAAGGAGCTGGGCGGACAGTTGCCCAACAACGCCAAGCAGCTGGCCAGAGAGCTGATTGCGGCCGCCGCGAGGACGTTGCGGCCGGATACGACCACCGAATTGGTCCGTGACATCCTGCATTACCGGTCGAGGAAGGTCCGATGTCTTTATAAGGAGTATAAAAGGTAGGAGGGAAAGTTTTGCGAAAAAAATTTTTTTGGTGTGGAAAAAAGTTTAAAAATACTTTTAAATTTCTCACTGTCCAAACAGTTTTTTGGGTGTTTTATTTTTTTTCAATTTTGCACAGTGCAGTTTTCTAATCGAATTTTTTTTTGCACTGTGCAATTTTGTAATTGAAAAAAGCCTATGTTTTTGCACTGTGCAAGTTCATAGTTTAAAAAAGCCTAAATTTTTGCACAGTGCAGTTTTCTAATCCAAAATTTTTTTCACAGTGCAGTTTTATAATTCAAAAAAGCCTAAATTTTCGCACAGTGCAATTTCATAGTTGAAAAAAGCCTATATTTTTGCACAGTGCAGTTTTTTAGTTTAAAAACCCCTATACTTTTGCACAGTGCAGTTTTATAATTCAAAAAACCCTACATTTTTGCACAGTGCAATTCTTTGTTAAAAAAGCCCAAAAAAAATTTTTTTTGCACACTCCAAATTTTTGAAGGAATCATCTATTTTTACGATCTCTCTTCAGTGGAAAATGCGGTGAGCTTTCGCTGGAACAGCGCCTGATCGAGTGCGAGAAGGCGCTGCTGAACACGTTGGAGCCGGACGCGAACGTCCACAACGACTTTATGCGCGCGCCGGACATCCATCCAAACGTGCTGGAGGTCCTGAGCCACATGCACGACTACATTGTGGACGCGGGCTTCCGGCAGGCGGTCATGTCGTCGTTGCCGGCGCAACCGCTGGAACGGAGCGATATCAAGTCGGAAAAGTCGGAGGATGGGCATGATAACAAGGACGCGGAGAGTGATGGCGACTCAGTTCGTAGGTTTTTGATGTCTGGTTTGGAGTTGGCTACTAAATTTTGCGGTTCGCGCCGGGTTTGGGGTAAAAAAAATATTTGAAAGTGAGCTTTGACCAAAAATGATGACTAAAATAAGATGCCCATATCTCAGCTGAGATTGTAGCTGATGACCTGCTATTTACAGCAAATATTTATCAATGCATATAGTAGTTATTTTCGGGATATTAAGCTTTTCCTCTTATTTTTGTTTGAGATACACCTCAATATTATCCATGACCTATTAATGCGAAAATTTTTATTTTTTTTTGCTAAAAACGAAGTAATGTCCGTATTTTTAGGCAATGTAAAAGGCTTGACATTATTCTCAATTTGGCGTTACTAAATTTTGCGGTTCGCGCCGGGTTTGGGGTAAAAAAATTATTTGAATAGAACTATGACCAAAAATGATGACTAAAATAAGATACTGATATCTCAGCCGGGATTGCAGCCGAGGACCTGCTATTTATAGCAAACATTTATCTACTTATAAGGTAGTTATGTCCGAAATATTAAGGTTTTCCTCTTATTTTTGTTTGAGATACACCTCAATATTATCCATGACATATTAATGTAAAAATTTTTATTTTTTTTGCTAAAATTGAAGCAATATCCGTATTTTAGGAAATGTAAAATGCTTGCCATTATTCTCAATGGCCTACTGTATCTTTTTGCATCAAAAACTTTTTTGGGAAAACCAAAAAATAAGGTTTTTTCACCTAAAAAAACATTTTTTCCCGAAAAACCCACTTTTTCCAACAATCCGCAAATTTTTTGGCCATCTACTATAAAATTCATGTCGTAAATCGAATAAAAATCCTTTTTTGGTCCCACACTCGAAGTTTTTTATACACTTTTATCGTCTCTTTGACGTCTTTTTGGATATTCTTCGCATCTTCTGCATGCTCGTCGAGCGCTCAGCATCTTGTTGACGCCGCCGCAGTTTGGAGGAATTCCTTTTTCGTCACGCGGCGACGTCATGCCGGCCTGTTTTCGGGGTCTAAATTTGGGCCGCCCTTCCGGGGGAATTTCGGGGCCCTTTGACGTGCCCCCTTTTCGCGAACGGAATTAAAATGCTAATAAAATCAACACGTTGCAAAACGTACGTCAAAGGCTTGGGGGTGGGAGGTCGCGAGCCCGTGCAACCACAACCATCAGCATTGTGGTTTGAGGCGAGCGCGTTTCAGCGGGTTTTTTATGTTATACTTGATATCTGTGTTGAGTGGGGGTGGAAGATTGGGTCGGGGTGGGTTTTGATGTACTTAATAGGTGAAGCAATGTGTTTGTAGATGATTCTAAGACATCTTGGCTTATTTTACAATCAAAATCAGCCATGATAAAATTCACTTTTACTTTTTTTTGAGGAAAAACTTTTTTTGATGACTTGATGTCATGGATAAGGTAAAAAATGGCAAAAATAGATGTTTATGTACTTAGTAGAAGAAGTAACGCATTTATAGGTGATTCTAAGACATCTTGGTTTATTTTACAATCAAAATTAACCACGGTAAAAATCAGTTTTACCTTTTTTTTGAGGAAAAACTTTTTTTTGATGACTTGATGTCATGGATAAGGTCGGATGTGCCTAATTATGCATTATATAGGTCAATTAAATCGTGCGTAGGCGATCTTCATGCTCTTTGCTTAATATATGCGTCAAAAATCCATGGTAAAAATCGATTATTTACTGTTCTTTGAGGCAAAACTTTTTTTGATGACTTGATGTCATGGATAAGATAAAAAATATCAAAAATAAGGTTCAACGACCATCAATTGCTGTATCCAATTATTTTTCAAGCCTTCTAGATTACTCCCACACTGTTTGCAAAATATTTCCCAACGTTACAACATCGTAAAATCCCTATTTTCTCTTTTCCTCCAGCATTTTGTTGTCCTCGCCCAAAATACCCGCAGATTCTTTGTAAGCGGGGTGTAATTATGTTTGGGGATGGCTTCTTGGCCCACATTCTTCTTCAACAAGTCCTATTTTTGGGCGCTCTTCGCCTCAACGACCTTGTTTTCCGCCTCCACAAAATTTCTCGAAAATATGTTTCGTGGGGGGAAACTGTCGCTTTTGTAACCGTAATCCGCAATTGGCCACCAAATTTTTGTACTCTTTAGAGTCAAAATTTTGTAAAGAGTCTGTCAATTTCATTGTTATGGGCTATTTCGGAATGGGCGACATTTTATACGATGAGTTTTGAAGTTGGCGAAAAAATTTGGTTTTTTCGAAATTCTGGACGTATTTTAGCTAATGTCGTTTGGAAAAAAGGCTTGGAAAATCTCTTATACCATTTGTCACACAGTAAAAATCATAATTTTACGTTTTTTACCCATTGGATTACTGTAATTTATAATTTTCTTCCAAAAAATATTCTCCCCAAAAAACATATTTCCCAAAATCCGCACGGAATGACATCAACCGCAGCGGAAGATGGGAGAAAAATGTTTCGAAAAATTGGAGCGAATGGCGCCAGTTCCTTTTCCGCGCCCCCCGTCCGGCCGCCGACGAGGAGCGGCCGGCCCACCCGAAAATAGAGCGGGTTTTGTGTCGGGAAACGCTGTTTTTTGGGCGGTCGGGCGGATGTGTTCGGAAGAGCTGGCCACGCTGAGGGATGCACTAGCTATTGGTTTTTGAATTTTCGAGTTTAGTGCCGGGTTTTCGCGCTGAGACCGAAAATTTCGAGGAAATTTTAGGGAATTCGAGAAATTCGAGGGATTATTCAAATTTTTTTAGGGATTTTTGAGTTTCTCGAGGATCCTAGAGTCATACATTGTTGATTGATTTAAGTCTTGGAGCTTTGACAAGCGTATTTTACAATTTTTTTCGAGATTTTTTTCTTTCACCACATCTGATATATAAACCAATATAAAATGGCTCCAAAAGCTATGATACCCAAATTTTGACGCATGAAGATTAATATTTCTGACATTTTTAAGTCTCTGAAATGTTAATAAACCTGGTAGGTACACTAGAACTCTCGTATTTTACCATTCTTTCGACCTCAAACACAAAGCCCAGCTTTTTTGAAAATTTCCGTCAAAATTGGTTTTTATGCAAATTTTTGGCCATTTTCGCAAATCTTATCGTATTAAAATTACAGAGGAGATATTTTTACACTATATACGACACATTAATTTTATATTTTACCCTTTTCCGGCGCGAGATAACCATTTTTTTGTAATTTAGTCATCAGATGGGTCATGTACAAGATCTTGCTATATCTTCCGCAATTTCCGCGCTAATCAAAAAACTTTTCGCCCAACATACGTCCTACTGTCTCTGTTATCACCGACAAAACGCACTTCCCAAACCTTTGGCCGGAACCCCCATTTCCGCGCCCAATTTTCCGCATGTCCTCGGCGAAAGTTTGGGGCGTATTTTAATTACCGCCGCTTGCAAAACACGTGCACTTTCGTGTGTGTGGGGCGCCGGGTGAGGAAATAAAAAGCGAAAAAACACACTTTGCATTCTTTTCCGACAAAAATTTTTCTTTGAAAGAAACGAAAAAAAAAATTTTTTTTAAGAAATTCTCTTCCTTTTCGTTCAATCGGGGCCCGGAGGGGAAAGAAAAGAGAATTGGGTGGTGTGGGGGGAGAATTCGCCGCTCTCCGGCGTCTTTTCTTTTCGCAATAGACCGGAGGGGCTCCTTTAAAAAACACTACGAAAACGAGGCCACCGCCCTGCAGCCCTTCTCGCGGGAAATCGCCCCGAATTTCGGTGGGAATTGCGGCTGCAAATGACCTTAACTATAAGTTGGTCGGCTGCCCCGTGCCATAAACTTTGTTTTCGCCCCCATTTCGCAAGAATTCGGCGGGTTTTGTCTGTTTTTTTGGTGAATTTTGGGGGTTTTTCGGGGAAAATGGGTAAAACAATATGAATTTGGGGCTTTAAAATTATTTTTTAGGGCTTTAGAAGACTTGTTAGGCCTGTAAAAGACTTGTTACGAAAATATTTTTTGTTTCAGAATCGCACAGTGCAAAAACGTGGGCTTTTTTCAACTAAAAATTTGCACAGTGCGAAATCGTAGGCTTTTTTCAACTACAGGGTGGGTCAAAAAAAATGGACATAAATTTTTCTTCGATTTTTCCTGCCATGAAACAGTTTGTGAAAAAAGGTATATACGGCATGAAAGTACTGTGTTAAAGGAACATAGTTACTGTAGAACTTTTGTCCTATCTGCAAAAGTTTCTAACATACGGTTGCAGGAAAGTCACCGGGTCAGCGCGCCAATTCCCGCGGCAAAATTTCAAAAGATCTTGCTCCTAAATTTTTTAGAGCCGCCATAAAGACATACCAAGCGGTCTAAGCAAATCTAGGAGACCTGTCCCCTTAGACTTTAAAAGGATTTAACCCAAGCTTTTCGGAAAATGAAGAACCAGTGACCAGAAGTTAGACACTCGGGCAGGGAAAATCGACCTTCATATGGGCTCTTTCGGAAAAAACGACGCTCTTCCAAACGTGGTGAACATTTTGAAACTAGTTACCCCCATACGGTGTTTACTACTATATGATGAATATACTAAGCGCATTTTTGACAATAGTACCACTCACTCAGCAAGATGGCAAGCAAAAAATCGATTTTTTTGACTTTTTGATGGGTCATCGCAATAATACATGGATTCTGAAGGCTAGCTGCATCCTCATTTTATGAAACTGACTTAAAATGGAAGAAAGGGGTCGTATCACCTTGATATAAAAGTATCCCGTCATAGTTATCCGGCACGTTGAAAAACGCCAACAAAAAAGAAAAAATTTTCTGGTCAAAAAATATCAGCGTCTCTGGGTATAGCCGGCTGAAATTTTTTAAGGTCTGCGCACGGCTGATGCAAGCTATTATCAAATCAACTGCTGGCCCATGTAAAGCAATGTTTGATGTCTTACAGTGACCACTTTTTGCCATCAATAGCATGAGCCGGGCTCCCCTGCGACTCTTGAATGTCAATTATCTCAAAAATCTAGAATTATCTAGATGGACCTCTTGTGGATCACGTTGAGAACTGCTGGGGCGAAATTAATAGAATACTATCAGCTTTTTTGCTTCTGTGGGCTCCCCTTAGTGTCATGATAAACAGTCAACCACCAGTTTTGGGCTGGTCGTAGAGATTCAGGTCATTGAAGATTTTTGGACTCAAAAAATTTTCGGAAAACGTAGTCAGAATATGGACTGGTCGAGCATTTTGGCTTGTATCAGCGGTTCAACAAAAGTATATAAAAAATTTAAATAGTTGTGATAAAGTAGGATTGTTCACAATTCTAAAACTATTTTACTTTCCGTTGATTACGGTATTCGTGCCGGGATACACCGACTTGTAATTTTGTCCATTTTTTTTGGCCCACCCTGTACAAAATTGCACTGTGCAAAAATCTTTTTTTTACCATCGGAATTTATCCCTTATCCTCGGTTTTACAGCCGTTACAGGGCATTTACAATCCATTTCACATCCGTTTTCACTCTGTTTTTTCAATTTCTAATTGATTTTTCCCGATTTTTCTGCATTTTTCACCAAAAAATGGCAAAAACAAGAAAAATCTGATGTTTTTTTAAAAGTAGACAGGTTTTTTACAGTATTTTATGAATTTACATAGCATTTAAGATTAATTTCATATTAGTGTCTCTTCAAAATCGTCTATTTTCATTTGATTTTTGATGATTTTTGGGCAAGAAACCCTAAATTACGGCAAAATAAATCATTTTTTATAGAAATTAACTAACTTCTGCGTATTTTACCACTCTATAAGGCGTTATCAATCATTTTCACATTGAGTTTTACCGGATTTAGCTATCTTTGCAAGATTTTTTAAAATTAAAAAAAAATTTTTTTGACAAATTTTTTGATTTTTTTACTTTTTTGGCACTGAAAAAAGATGTAAAATACGCCCCTCGACTCACTGTGAATTAAAGCAAAATTTCCCATCTTTTTATTCAATTTAAACCCAAAAGTTTTATAAAATTCCATAAATTATTCCGAATTGGGCCCATTTTTTGAATTTTTTATCCGCCCCAGGCGGTATATGAACTCTTATTTCTTGCCGTTCTAATTTTAGACTCTCCAGGTTTATTTCGCCAAATGTCTTTGGTATTTACGGCGCCGGAGGGCGTGAGCCCGCAGGGAAATTTGGAGAATTGGCCTATTATAATATATTAGGTCATTTGACGGGGTCCGCGGAGGTTTGGGGGTGGGAAATGTGGACTGAGGATATTGAATTTCCCAAATTTTGTTGTGGAATATTTAAATTTTTAGTTTTTTTTTTGAAAAAATTTTTTGAATTTTTTATTTTTTTTTTTATAATTTCTTTATTTTTAGGGGGAAAATTAGAAAAAAAATTGTGTGTATGTATTTCTGATGCTCGTTGAAAAAATACAGTCTTTCTTTGGCTAAAAAAACATTGCATTTGACTCTTCGGAAAAAAAAATTTTTTTGCACAGTGCAAAAATGTAGGCTTTTTTCAACTACGAAATTGCACTGTGCAAAATTGTAGGCTTTTTTCAACGAGAAAATTGCACTGTGCAAAGAAGAAAGAGCAAAAATTTTTTTTGTAAAATACGAATTAGCTCTCTTTTTTTTGATTTTTTAGACATTATCTAAGTTTTTTTTCAACTTTTTAAAATCTGCACTGTGCAAAATTATAGGCTTTTTTCTACTAAAATCTGCACAGTGCAAAAACACAAGCTTTTTTCAACTAAAAAATTGCACCGTGCAAAAACATAGGCTTTTTTCAACTAAAAATCTGCACAGTGCAAAAACACAAGCTTTTTTCAACTAAAAAATTGCACTGTGCAAAAATTTAAAAAAAAAAATTTTTTGATTTTACATTGAACTTTTCCAATTTTTCGATTCATTATAAAGTGCACGTTGAAAACCATCGTATTTTACCTCATCCCTCCACTTTTCAGACGCCTCTTCCTCCTCGTACGAAGACCAAGCGCCGGCCACCGTTTCCTCGGCCACCAACTCCACCACTTCGGCCATCGACACGCACACGTTCGCGCAGTCGCTGCACACGCCGCTTTGCGCCGAGGCGTTGATGAGCAGTCAGCCGATGGTGCGCGAGACGCCGGCCCCATCGCGCGAACCCAAGATCAACGGACTGTCCAACGGCACGAACGGCCTGACGACGGCCGCCAGCCGCAAGAGGAAGCATGAGGAGAGTCAGTTGGAGCTGATCGAGATGAAGAAGGACCTGCTCAGAGTGAGTTTTGGGGGGCGGGAGGGGTTTGAGAGTGGCTCCCTGATAGTCAGGGTTTTCGTGGTGGGACCCAAAAAATTTGTTGATATTTGAAATTCATGAGCTTGAAGTGCTTAAAGTCGTTATGGAAGTGATAAAAAAGTGTTTTGGAGAGTTTTGATGACTTTCCCTGATCTTCAGGGTTTTCGTGGTGGGACCCAAAAAATTACCGATTTTTGAAATTTATGGACTTGTAGTCTTCAACAAGCTTATAGAAGTGATAAAAAGCGTTTTAGAAAGTTTTGATGACTTTCCCTGATCTTCAGGGTTTTCGTGGTGGGACCCAAAAAAGTTGCTGATATTTGAAATTTATGGGCTTGAAATGCTTAAAGTTGTTATAGAAGTGAAAAAAAAGTTTTTTAGAAGATTTTGATGACTTTCCCTGATCTTCAGGGTTTTCGTGGTGGGACCCAAAAAATTTATTGAAATTTGAAATTTATGGGCTTGTAATCTCCAACGACCTTATTGAAGAGAAAAAAAAGCGTTTTAGAGAGTTTTGATGACTTTCCCTGATCTTCAGGGGTTTCGTGGTGGGACCTAAAAAAGTTGTTGATATTTGAAATTTATGACTTTCTAAGCTCCTATGACCTTATGAAGGGATCAAACGGCGTTTTTTAAGATTTTGAGGACGTTTCCTGAGGATCAGGGTTTTCGTGGTGGGACCCAAAAAATTGCCGAGAAGTGAAATTTCTGGGCTTATGACCTCCAATGACCTTAAATAAAGCATACAAAACGTTTTAGAAAGTTTTGATGACTTTCCCTGATCTTCAGGGTTTTCGTGGTGGGACCCAAAAAAGTTGTTGATATTTGAAATTTATGACTTTCTAACCTCCTATGACCTTATGAAGGGATCAAACGGCGTTTTTTAAGATTTTGAGGACGTTTCCTGAGGATCAGGGTTTTCGTGGTGGGACCAAAAATTTTTATTTTTTTTTTGATTTTTGCCTATTATTCGACCGAACCCACTTTAAAATAGCAATATAAATTTTAAAAAATTCAATCAAGCCTATTTTGCCAAGTTTACAAAAAAATTTTTCGTCGATTAAGACACATAATTTCATCGTATAAAATGTCCATTTTCCATTAAATCTCAAAAATCTAATTCCAAATCCTTTCAGCTGCAACAAGCCGCCTTCGAGAAGCAGATCCAGATGTTCGACGAGATGGTGGGAACGCTACGCGAGATGCGCCGGCTTCTCGAGTACCAGAAGCCGGTGGCGCCATTGCAACTGTCCGCTCTCGCCAATCCGCCCACCACGTCGGCCACGTCGCCGCTGCTGGGCCGCGACCAGAGTGGGCTGCACCACCTGGCCGCCTCCTACCCGCTGCTCAGCCAGCTGCCGCAGAGCGTGGTGAACTCGCTGGCGTTCCTGCAGGCTCAAAGTAATGGGACACAACCTCAAATCTTGTAAAATTTTTTGTGTTTTGGGTTCTCTGGCCCATTCTCCGATGTTCCCCTTTCATGCGCGGAGCGCGAATTTTGGGTTTGAAGCGTTTCCGAGGCGTTTGCCGGACTCTCCCTGATCTTCAGGGTTTTCGTGGTGGGACCCAAAAATGGTCTTGAAAATGGGATTTTTGAGTTTTATCGGAGAAATTGAAGCCTAAGGCTGTTTAAAAATCGTTTTTGAGCTTTTTCCTCACCGATTTTTTCGGTGAAATCTTCAAAATTCAAAAAATTGGGTCCCACAACGAAAACTTGAAAGTTCAAAATTCCGACGCAAATGGCCTCCCAATACTACGAGAGCCCAAAATTCACTCCGTAAACTTGATTTTCATCTACTTTTCCACCCGAAATATTCAAATTTCCGTGCAAATTCACCTCTTTCTTTGTGTCGAAATTATGCAAATTTTTCGCATTTCCCCGCCCCGATATAACCGTCAATTTGCGAACATTTAGTCATATTGTCATTGTACCTCTTTTCCTCCCTCAAATTTTATCGAATGTCGAGTTTTTCGTGTCGAAATTTTTCTTCAATTTTTCGAATTTTTTGATCTCAATTTGCGAACCGTTTTTTCAATCGTATGTCCATGTTACCATGGTAAATAGACAACAGATTCATGGTGATCACTCTGCTCTCCCCGTTCCGGTCTTACTTTATGCTGGCCGCCCGAGTTTCGGGGGCCAAATCCCCTCCGGCAAAATTGGCTGAAATTGTAAATTTTTGGGCGATTTTGGATATAAAATATGTTGAGAAGTTATATTTAGCATTTCAGTAGGATCTACGAGCTTTTTGAAGCCAACAAATCGGGTTTTATTGAGGATTTGACCTTATTTTAGGCTAAAATTAGCCAATTTTTACCTAAAATAAGGTCCAAACGGCCCTTTTTTGATGCAAATGAAATTTTAGCCCTCTAAAAATTTCTAAAATACGATTTGCAACCCTTGAATCTTCTGAATCGAAATATTTTTGACCTTATTTTACCCAAAAATTACCTAAAATAAGGTAAAAAAATCCCCCGAAAATCGCGTATTTTATATCCGAAATGCCTTCAAAACCCTCCTAGTTGAATAGTCTCCACATAGCATGCACATTATGTCTCTTAAACTGTAATAATTCGAAGTTCTATCCGAGTTTTATTCCTTTCCTTCTTCCTCAAATTTTCGTTGAGATGGATTTTTATTTTTTTTAATCAAGAGTTTGGAGAATAAATCTATAATTAAAATTTGGGGGTTTTTTGTATTTTTTTATTTGAAATTTAAAAAAATTCAAAAAAAAATTTTTTGCACAGTGCGGTGAAAATAAATTTTCGCACAGTGCGAAAATATAGGCTTTTTTGAATTAGAAAATTGCACTGTGCAAAAACATAGGCTTTTTTCAACTAGAAAATTGCACTGTGCAAAAAATAAAAAATATTGAAAAAATCATTGTAAAATACGTTCTTCGAAAGTTTCTCGCTGATATAGAAATTTTTATTTTTCAACTACGAAATTGCGCCGTGCAAAATTTTTTTCCAAATTGAAAATTTTACTGTTTTTTTTTTTTGACAATTTACCTCTGAATTTGCCTATTTGTCTAACTAAAAATCTGCACAGTGCAAAACACTAGGCTTTTTTCAATTACGACACTGCACTGTGCGAAACCGTAAGCTTTTTTCAACTACGAAATTGCGCCGTGCAAATTTTTTTCCGAATTGAAAATTTTACTGTTTTTTTCGACAATTTACCTCTGAATTGACCTAGTTGTCTAACTAAAAATCTGCACAGTGCAAAACTGTAGGCTTTTTTTCAACTAAAAAATTGCACTGTGCAAAATTATAGGCTCTTTTCAATTAGAAAATTGCACTGTGCTAAATTATTTTTTTCAAATCGAAAATTTTACCGTTTTTTTTTGTTTTGACAATTTACCTCTGAATTGGCCTAGTTGTCTAACTAAAAATCTGCACAGTGCAAAAACAGAGGCTTTTTTCAATTAAAAAACTGCACAGTGCAAAACTATAGGCTTTTTTCAACTAAAAAATTGCACTGTGCAAAATTATAGGCTTTTCTCAACTACGAAATTGCACTGTGTAAATTTTTTTTTTAAATTAATTTTTAAACATTTTTTTCCAAATTTTTACATCAAAATTGTAAAACAAAATATTTTTTTTTTATTTTTCAAAACAAAAAAATGTCATTCAATGTGGATTTCCCGTGTAAAAAAACATTTTTTTACTATCTACAGTGCACAAATAAAAAAGTTTCATTCATCGATCAACCCATATCCTTTTTGGGGCGGAGTTGTGGTCAAAATTTGTCGGAGTTCTCCCAAATTTTTGCGGGCGCTTTCGCCGCCCCGAGCCGCCATTTGGTAATACAGCAGGCGGGACAATCCAACGATCCCCACAGCCATGATGATCATGATAAAAAAGGTCAGAAAGTTGATGTATCTGGTCCAAAGCAGTGTGTCATAGTAATTGGGAGCCGTATCTTGGACCGCTGTCGCATTTTCAGCGGCTTTTGTGGTGGTCTCGGCCAAATTTTGGGGGTTTTCCGGCGATATTGTACTAGATATTACTTCTGAAAATTTAATGGGGTAAATTTGAGTGTTCGAATGCCGTTCGGAGTGCCGAAACCGGGTCCAATTTGAAGTTTGTGGGATTTTTCTGGTAGTGGGAGTACTGTAGGTTACTGTAGAAGAGCCAAAAAATCTTGTCGAGCTCCCAAATCGTCGAGAATGGCCTTTTTTCCAAGGAAAATCGGTAAAATTTCGGTTGTGATGACTTTTATGGTCGAAAATTGTGGTTTGACGGGTGGTTGAAGAGGTTGTTGCTGAAAGGAAATGTAATTTAGACCTCAAAATGTAATGTTTTGGTAGAAAAATTTCAAAAAATACATTTTCAACTACATTCAAAATTGCACAGTGCAAAAATGTAGGCTTTTTTGAACTACAAAATTGCACTGTGCAAAATTCTAGGCTTTTTTCAGTTAAAAATCTGCACTGTGCAATTTCGTGGTAGAAAAAAGCCTACGTTTTCGCACAGTGCAAATTTTTAGTTCAAAAAAGCCTATAATTTTGCACTATGCTAAAATTTTTTTTAATTTAAAATCAAAAATACAAAAAAAAACCCCGATTTTTTGCAAAAATGTAGGCTTTTTCAACTACGAAATTGCACAGTGCGAAACTCTAGGCTTTCTTAAACTACAAAATCGCACCGTGCAAAAATTGGGTATTTTTTTGTACTTTTTATTTTATATTTAAAAAATTAAAAAAAAAGTTTTTGCACAATGCAAAATTATAGGTTTTTTTAACTAAAAATTTGCACTGTGCAAAATTATAAGCTTTTTTCAACTAAAAATCTGCACTGTGCAAAAAATTTTTTTTTTTGAAAAAATAAAATTTTCTGCCTCTAAAATTTTAAACTCACTCCCAACATCATCATCGGTTGAATTAGAGCACGGGCATCGGTTCCGCGTCCACGGCAGCCATCGAAATTTGTCTCTTGTGCAACAATTTTTTCGCCGAATTTCGGTCCCATTACTGTGCAAAATTCCCTGCAGACTTTCGAAATTAATCTTGTCCGTGGAGAGGGTGGAATTTTTTTCGACCTCGGCCAGAGTGTCCAGCCAAAAATGGACGCCATTCTCGTCAAAGTGTTGGTTATTTATTGGGGAGGGGAAAATTTTGGAAGTGGAGTTCAAATCCACCTTGATGTAGTAGAAATTTTGACCTTCCTTGTCCGTCTTGGGCCAGTCTGAAAATAAAAATGAGTTGAGAAAAAAATTTGGGTCCAAAAAAACGTGATTTTTTGAAAAAAAAATCAACGAAAAATCCGCACTGTGCAAAATTTTTTTTTTTTTTTCAAATCGAAAATTTTACTGTGTTACTTAAAATCGCGATTTACTTCCTAATTTGTGCCTATTTGTCTAACTACAAAACTGCACTGTGCGAAAACATAGGCTTTTTTCAACTAAAAATCTGCACTGTGCTAAATTATTTTTTTCAAATTGAAACTTTTAGTGTTTTTTGACGATTTACGCTCATTTTTCTAATCAAAAAATCTGCACAGTGAAAAATTCTAGGCTTCTTTCAACTACGAAATTGCACTGTGCAAAATAATAGGCTTTTTTCAACTACAAAATTGCACTGTGCGTAAAACATCGAAAAAAGTTTAAATTTGGATAAAAAAAGGTTTTTTATTGGAAGGTTGTGTTGTGTAAGCGTCTTCAGAAATTTGTATTTTACATTTGAAAAAATTTCGAATCATAAAATTCAAAAAAAAATTTTTTTTTGCACTGTGCAAAAACGTAGGCTTTTTTCAACTACAAAGTTGCACTGTGCCAAAAAAATTTTTTCTGAGATTTCAAAAAATTTTTTCCCAAAAAATTCCTACCAGTATAAGGTTGTCCAGTCATCACAAATCGTCTAATTACATCGGGGAAAAACTCTTTTATGAAGCTGGAATTTTCGCTTTCCAAATCGTCCAGTTCGGTGAAAATATCCTCCGCGGTCACTCCAATAAACGTCTCCCGTTTATTGACACTTGCCAATCGCACGAAAAACGCATTTTTTGCGGAATTTGCAATCTCGGCCGAGTCGTTGAAAAAGTTTTCGCACGCGTTTAGCGAACTTTTCGAAAAATATCCGAACAAAGAGAGACTTTCGACACATTCCTCCTGCTCGTTGGACAAATTTTGATCCTCAAATTCGTTGGTGATGGCCAGAAGGGGCTTGGAGTTGAAATATTTCTTGGGATTTTCCCATAAATCGCTGTAAATCAGGAGATTGTCGATTTGTGGGCGGAAAAGCGATGATTTTTGGGGAAAACCGGACGGAATTGCGGATATTAGAGTGTTGAATGAAGTGTTTTGAAGACAAAGAAGTTCGTCCGAGAGCGAGGAAGAGTTGTGACACTGGAAATAAAAAAAATTTAAAAAATAAAAAAATTTTTTTTTTTAAATTTCAAAAATTTTGGATAAAAATTTCAGAAAATGCGCTGCAAAGCAAGGAGAACTCGTATTTTACCTTTTCCAGAATTTTAATACCGCAAAAATTGAAATATTTTGCACAGTGCAAAATCGTAGGCTTTTTTCAACTAGAAAATTGCACAGTGCAAAAAACATCAAAAAAAGTTTTAAATTTGAATAAAAAAACGTTTTGATAGGAAGATTGTGCTGTGCAAAGGTCTTCAGAGATTCGTATTTTACAATTTAAAAATCACAAAAACTTTAAAAAAAAATTTTTTTTGCACAGTGCAAAATCGTAGGCTTTTTTCAATTAGAAAATTGCACTGTGCAAAAAACCTCGAAAAAAGCTTGAATTTCAATAAAAAAAACGTTTTTATGGGAAGGTTGTGTCGTGAAAAGGTCTTCAGAGATTCGTATTTTACAATTTAAAAATTAAAAAATCACAAAAAGTAAAGAAAAAAATTTTTTGCACAGTGCAAAACCGTAGGCTTGTTTCAACTAGAAATTTGCACTGTGCAAAAAAATCAAAAACTAAAAAACGTAAATTACGACGGTATGCCAAGTCAATAAAAAAGAGACGGAATGCCCTAACTCGTATTTTACAATCTCCAAAAATTTTTTCTTCATATGAAAAAATCAACTTACCCCCACGGTTTCGCTGACTTCGACTGAAATTTTTTGGCTCGGATGATACAAAATTGGGGCTATTCCAGAAAACACAATAATTCTATTGAAATGTGAAGGATTGATTCGGGTCGAAGTGGCCAAATAAATGACGTCATCGGCTCCAGCGCCTTGACCCATCAAAGCAACTCGGTCCGATGCTCCGCCAAAGGATCCAATCTCATGATTGGTCCATTCCAAGGCTTGAATCAGGTCTAAAATACGATAAAAAAGTATATGAACAGAAAAAACGTATTTTACAAAAAAAATTTTTGTTACTTTTTTGCACAGTGCAGTTCTCTAGTTGAAAAAATCCTATGGATTTACACAGAGCAGAATTTTAGTTGAAAAAACCCTATAGGGTTGCACCGTGCAGTGCCTTTGAAGTGAAAAAAATGCGTTTTTACGACTAAAATACGGAAAATTTTTCAACCTTATAAGAAGTAACGTATTTTACAAAAAATTTTTTTTTTAATTTTTGATTTTTTCACACAGTCCAATTTTTTAGAGAAAAACGTTTATTTTTGCATAGTGCAAGATGTCTAAAACATCGAAAATTTTTCAAAGCTTTTCAAAAACCCTATTTTACAAAAAAATTTTTTGATTTTTTTGCACTGTGCAATTTTCTAATTGAAAAAAGCCTACATTTTTGCACTGTGCAACATACTCTAAAACTAAAAACTCCAAAACACAAAAAATTCCTCACCCCACAGTTGCAGATTATACGGAGCGGAGCCAGTCGACCTTCCCAGGTCCAGATTGCCGAAGATTCCTTGGCGATATTGAGGCACGACGACCACAAAATTTTTGCTCGCAAATTTTTTCACAATCAAATTTTCGTTAAATTTGGGGTCTTCGCGTAGGTCATATGGCGATGAATTTATGTAGAATATCACTGGGCATAATTTGGACTGAAAAAGAGGGACATTTTATACGAAAAATTTTAAAAATTTGGGAAAAATCAAAAAATTTTTTTTACCAAACATCGATTATCTGCAAAAATATTTATGTACAGGCAGTCCTCGCTGTAACTGGTGGCAACGTTGTCCAATGAATAGCCGGGGTAGCAGTTTGGACGATAAAAAGTCGCATTATAACGGCCAGTCCAGGCGTCCTTGGCCACCGCGTAGTGAAACCGTTGTTCGTTGGTCGGTGGGTTTGCATAAGGGACACCCTGAAAAAATGTTGTCTAGAAGGCCCAAAAATTCTATTTACTTTTAGTATTTATCTTTTTTCCGCACTGTGCAATCAAAAGTTTGCATTTCGCACGGTGCAGTTTAATTTTATGCAAATTTCTTGATGCACAGTGCGACCAAAAGGAAAAAAATTTTAAGGGAAGTTGTCAACTGCCTCTGGCAATATCATAAACTTCTTTTTTAGTAGATACGATATTTTCATTTCAAAATATTTCACACTCTTTGGACTGCACAGTGCAGTTTCAAAATTGCCGCACTGTGCGGCCAGTTTTCAATTTCGCACAGTGCGAAATGTCGCTGTATACGCACGGTGCGTCATTTTACTCGTCGCAATTTTATCTGCAATCAATTTTTTATTTCGCACCGTGCAATCAAAAATTTTTTGTTTTCGCACCGTGCAGTTTAAATTCAAGCGAATTTCTTGATGCACAGTGCGACCAAAAGGGAAAAAAATTTAAGGAAAGTTGTCAACTGCCTCTGGCAACATACTAGAATCGGTTTTTTTTCGTAAATACAATATTTTCACTTCAAAGCATTTCATTTCTTTCGACTGCACAGTGCAGTTTCAAAATTGCCGCACTGTGCGGCCAGTTTTCAATTTCGCACCGTGCGAAATGTCGCTGCATACGCACTGTGCATCATTTTATGTGTCGCAGTTTTACTTCCAGTCAGATTTTTATTTCGCACCGTGCAATCGAGATTTTTTTGTTTTTGCACTGTGCAAAATTCAAACTTTGCTTGAAAAACATTTTTCCCGCAAAAAAATCAAAAAAAAACGACTTACTCTCCACACATTGACTTTTTGGTCTCCAGTGAGCAGCTGAACACCGCTTACCACTCCATTCGTGGTGCCGACTTCAACCGCACATGTGTAACATACGAAGCAGGTGATGAACAGGAAAAGGTGCTTCATTCGGGTGGAATTTGATAATACAAGCGGGTTGTGAGCCCTTTTCTTGGTGCGTTTGGCGATTTCGGACTGATAAGATATGTGTTTTCGAAATGATTTGGTTGATAATCATCCAAATGTTTTTATTGACAGTTTTCGATGTGGAAACAGTGAGAGCGTAAAGGTCAAGCGGTGAATAGCTTGGAAATGAAATGGACGTTCGTATTTTAAAAGATTTTCGGGATTAAAAAACAATGGATTTTAGGGCAAAATTTATATTATACTTGATATCAAATGAAAGAAAAAAGTGATTTTTGGAAAAACATTTGACTATAATCAATTTAAAATACTAGTAAAAAGTGTGACACGGCAGACTACACCAATTCTGATCAATTATTTACAACATGAAATCAAAATTTATCGCTTTTTAAAGTTTTCACGTCAGCTGTTCATGGATAATATAATTTGATGCCCAACCTTCAAAATTCCTTACAAATACCTCAATTCTTCATGTTCCAGCCCAAAATGCTTCTTCGCATCTTCCACCTACCAAACCTTACGTTTTACAGCAAATTTTATATTATACTTGACACCTGATGTTCAAACCTTCAAAAAATCAAAATTTGTCGAAAAAATCTTCAATTTTTCTTTCTAAATACCTCAATCCTTCCTTTTTCTACCAAATAATCATTCTTGGCGTCTTCCACCTACCAAACCTTACGTTTTACAGCAAATTTTATATTATACTTGACACCTGATGTTCAAACCTTAAAAAAATCAAAATTTCTCTAAAAAATCTTCAACTTTTCCTTCTAAACACCTCAATCCTTCCTTTTTCTACCAAATAATCATTCTTGGCGTCTTCCATCTACCAAAGCTTATGTTTTATAGCAAATTTTATATTATACTTGACACCTGATGTTCAAACCTTCAAAAAATTATAATTTCTCGAAAAAATCTTCAGCTTTTCCTTCTAAATACCTCAATACTTCCTTTTTCTACCAAATAATCATTCTTGGCGTCTTCCATCTACCAAACCTTACGTTTTACAGCAAATTTTATATTATACTTGACACCTGATGTTCAAACCTTCAAAAAATCAAAATTTGTCGAAAAAATCTTCAATTTTTCTTTCTAAATACCTCAATCCTTCCTTTTTCTACCAAACAATCATACTTGGCGTCTTCCACCTACCAAACCTTACGTTTTACAGCAAATTTTATATTATACTTGACACCTGATGTTCAAACCTTTAAAAAATCAAAATTTCTCGAAAAAATCCTCCATTTTTCCTTCTAAATACCTCATTCCATCTTTCTTCTATCCAATCATCATACCTAACTTCCTGCATCACTTCAAACTTTCAACTTATCACCCATTTTATCTTCACCTTCTACTTAACAATCTAACTTAATATTTACAGTGCTACACGAACGGGGACCATCCAAAATACATTCGGGACAATGACTCTTCGTCCATGGCGAGTTCAATGAGCTTGGAGACGAGGACTCGTTCGTCGGTGATGGGTCCAATTTTGGGTTGTATTGTCGTGTGCAAATATCCGTCCAGGCGGTCGCGGACCAGCTCAATCCGGTCCTGCACACTGATGTTCGTCAAATTGGAGCGTCGAGTGTAGGTGGCGTGGTCGTTTTCGTCGTCGATTCGCCAATCGATCAGTGGGTCGTAGATGAAACTCTTCAAGATCCGCAAAATCGCGGGCTTTTCGGCCTGGAGGAACTTGATTATGCGCTCAAACGCGATCCTGAACCGTCCTTCAACGCCGGTGGGGCCGAAGGCGTCGACAACGTTTCGCGTTAGACGGAATGGAACTATCTGAAAAAAAAATTTTAACACAAAAAAAATAAAAAAAATCTACTAAAAACCACATTTTTCGTTCAACAAAAAGCCAAAAAAATGCCCCAAAATAGTTTGTCATACAATTGATTGGCTTATTTTATCAACATTATTTTCCGTCGCACTGTGCAAAAAATTTTTGGTGACTGCACCGTGCAAAAATTATTGACACTGCACTGTGCAAAAATTTTTTTTGTGACCGCACTGTGCAAAAAATTATTTTTCGCCGCACTGTGCAAAACATTATTTTCCATCGCACTGTGCAAAAAAAATTGTGATCGCACCGTGCGAAAAATTTTATTCTGTCGCACTGTGCAAAAAAATTTTTTGGTGACTGCACCGTGCAAAAAAAAAATTCACATTGCACTGTGCGCACTGTGCAAAAAAATATTTTCGATTGCACTGTGCAAACAAAAATTTTGTGACCGCACTGTGCAAAAAAAATATTTTTCTTCGCACCGTGCAAAAAAAAAAATCCGCGCCGTAAAAAAATTAAAAAATAAGTGCAAACTACGTTGTCTATTCTAAAAAGAAAAAAATACGATTGTAAATCCTCAAATTCATCCCCAAAATTCCCCAATTTACCAATTTTCTAACCAACTTTTCGACAAAAAAATGTGATAAATCATCTAAAATAAGGTCCAAACCTCTCGCTCTTTCCACGAACCTCGTTCCAAGCTCAATTTCACTTCTTCTTATCTCCCAATCATCCATATTCACTCACAAAATCTAAAAATTTTTAGCCATTTTTAGCCGCTTTTTCAAATCCGCACAGTGCAGTCAAAAAATTTTCAAAAATTCTCAAATTTCCCTCCAAAATAATCCCAAACTATATAAAAATTCTCGTCCTTACCTCAGGAACAGTCAACATTTCCCCGCTATTGAACAATAGATTGAAATCCACATGCATGACGTCACCATTTGTGGCGTCCACAAGAATATTTCCCAGATGCCGGTCGCCCAGCCCGACAATATGGCCGAGAGCTGACATTGCGGCCGTGGTTACGGTGTAGTTTCGTTGCTTTTGGTAGTAGGCCGAGGGGTTCATCGCGGTCTTTCGGAGATAATTTCCCATTTCGGCGTGGAAAAGTGGTACCAGCTTGTCCTTGTAGATTCGGTAGAGCTCTTCTTTGGGCAGACGCTGAAAAATGCCATTTTAATAAGAAATTATTCCATTTTTCACCACCAAAATCTTTGTTTTACCGTTTTTATAGCCAAATTCATTTTTTGCACAGTGCAAAATTTCCAAACTCAAAATTCCGGAAAAAATCGGTATAAACCCCAAAATTTTTTGATTTTACAGTACTCTATATGAGTCAACAAAACCGGAGCAGTCGAAAAAATTAGCATCACACCTCAATCTACCACATTTTATACAAAAACAAATTTTTGCACTGTGCAGATTTTTCGGACTCAAAATTCCAAGGAAAAATCGACTGAATCTTCAAATATTTTAATGTTACTGTGTTCCACATACCTCCAAAAATCTTGCAAAATCCATGAATAATAAGCTATAATCAAACCACTTCGTATTTTACAACTCTCAAAATTTCGCACAGTGCAAAAAATCCACGTGTTATTTCCTGAGGGGATGAAATTCGAATCATATTACAATCAATGTTGCAGTATCCCAGAGACAGAAAAAACATTTTTCAATAAGAAAATATTCAATTACACATATGCAAACATCAAAAATTATAAAAAAAAATCTGCACCGTGCGAAAATATTTCAGTCCCGATTTTACAGAACCCCAAATAAAAAATGGTTTATAAAATCGTATTACAGTACCCCTAGAAGTGGTTTGAAGTCATAAAAAGACGAATAAAGTTAGCAGCCAATATAAAAATCCGTATTTTACAATTTCAAAAAAACCCGCACTGTGCAAACACAAAGAAGTTGTCAAAAAACATTGAAAATCACATTTTGAAAGTAAAAAATAATCGTAAAAATTTTTAAAATAGGTGAGAAGGCCATTAAATTTTTTAAAACAGCTTCAAATAAAAAAAAATTTGAAAAAAAATAAAAAAACTTACTCCTTTTGACACCCTTTCCCTCAATTTAGCCAATGCGTCTCGATTTGTGCATCTTCCATTCTGAATACAGTTATTGAAGGTGTCCATGTGGGGGATCCACTCGATGATTCCGCCAGTTTCTTCTAACGGGACGACATGATACGTTCTAATGCGATAATCCCTGTTTTTCGTGTATCTGCTGGTCAACATTCGTCGGTTCAGCATCTAAAATCGATTATTTTTTGCTCGGTACATTGAAAAATAAAAAAAAAAAAAAAAAAAAAAAAAAAAATAAAAAAAAATTTTTTTTTTCAACTCGTATTTTACCCCTTACCGTTGCCAATTCCAGGAATCTCATGTCTTTTCGCAGTTCGTCTGTTGGTTTGCACAGAATCACATATTTTTCTCCGTCGGTTCCGATCAAAGTGAGGCGTTTTGGGCGGGCCAAGGAGTTTATTACCTAAAAAAATCAATTCAATGAATAAATAGCGTATTTTAACAAAAAAATTGATAAAAAATTTCGTAAAAAATATCAGAAATGAATTTAAAAAAATAAAAAAAATAATAAAACAATAAAAAATTATTTAAAAAAATAAAAAAAAAATAAAAAATTATAAAAAAATCCAAAAAAAATATTTTTTAATGAAAAAAATCAAAAAAAAAATTTTAAATCGAAAATCATTTTAAAATAAAAAAAAAATTAAAAATTTCAAAAAACCTACATGGCAATCGCTGACGACCTCATGAATCATCACACAATCCCTCGGAATCTCTCTAAACGGGCTATCCAAGTATTTGAAAAACAGCGGGATCGACGGTTTCATGATGTTCTTTTTATTTGCCGCTGACACTCGGCGATGTCCAGTGTGGATGAAGCTCATAAATTCGACAAAATTTTTCTTCAAGTCCAACGTATCCGCGTTGATTTTTATCGAGGAAATTCTGAAAAAAAATTTTTTTATTAAAAAAATATTTTTTTTTAAAAAATTATTTTTTATCGAAAAAAATATTTTTTTTTTCAAATATAAAAAAAAATACCTGGCAAGATTATCAGCCAAAAATCGATACATATCGAGGACTGGTTTCACCTTTCTGTCGTGTTGTTTGGCGAGTTCGAAGACTCTGTTCATGGCTTCCGCTCGTTCTCCGACTAAAATAAATCAAATTATAGGGTCAAAAAAATCATAAACTTTTCGTATTTTTTCCCTCAAATCAAAATTTCAGCAAAAAATTTTATTTTTTAATTTTTTTTGCACAGTGCAATTTCGTAATTGAAAAAAGCCTACGTTTTTGCACTGTGCAAATTCCTAGTTGAAAAAAGCCTACATTTTTGCACTGTGCAATTTTCTAATTGAAAAAAGCCTACGCTTTTGCACAGTGCAATTTTCTAGCTGAAAAAAGCCTACATTTTTGTACAGTGCAAAAATCTAGTTGAAAAAAGCCTATACTTTTGCACAGTGCAATTTTCTAGTTCAAAAAAACCTACATTTTCGCACTGTGCAATTTTCTAGTTGAAAAAAGCCTATAATTTCGCACAGTGCAATTTTCTAGCTGAAAAAAGCCTACATTTTTGCACAGTGCAATTTTCTAATTGAAAAAAGCCTATATTTTTGCACTGTGCAGTTTTCTAATTGAAAAAAGCCCACATTTTCGCACTGTGCAATTTTCCAGTTCAAAAAAGCCTATACTTTTGCACTGTGTAGATTTTCCCTCAAAATTCATCAACTTTTACGCGAAAAAGCTCAAAATCTCACATTTTTTCGTTGAACATCTCGCTTCGCCCATTGAGAGCAACGTGCATTGATGTGGGTATTCATTCAGCAACGACCGCATGATCTCCATGACCACATCGGAGTCCTGTTTTTCGGCTTTTGAGAGTCTTGTGGCTAGCAGGGAGAAGACCAGATAAAATTTCTTCTTCGGCAAATCGTTGAAGGCTTTTCTGATGAGAACGAATGGGGGGTCGTAAGTGGTCACAAAGAACTTCTCTTCCTCTTTGGGTGGAGGGGGCGGAGCCTGAAAAACAAATTTAAAAAATAAAATAAAAATTGCACAGTGCAAAACCGTAAGCTTTTTTCAACTACAAAATTGCACAGTGCAAAATTCAAAAAAAAAATTTTTTTTAAATATGTAAAATACGGTTCATAAAAAAAGATGCGATGACTCACATGACTTTTTCAACGCTTTTAAACCATATCCCAAGCAAAAATCGAACCTTTTTTGAACTAAAATTTCGCAAAGTGCAAAACCGTAGGCTTTTTTCAACTACAAAATTGCACAGTGCAAAATTCAAAAAAAAGTTTAAAAAATATGTAATATGCGGTTCATAAAAAAAGATGCTGCGACTCACATGACTTTTTCAACGCTTTTAAGCCATATCCCAAGCAAAAATCAAATGTTGTTTGAACTAAAATTTCGCACCGTGCAAAACCGTAGGCTTTTTTCAACTACAAAACTGCACAGTGCAAACAAAAAAAAAAATAAAAAAATGCAAATTTTTCTCTAAAATACCAAAAAATGCCAAAACCCATGTCCAAAAAAGGCTCACACTCGACTTATCAGCTTCTTTTTTCTGTTTCCTCGCCAATTCCCGGTTCGAATCCAGCCATGCGGTGACCATTCTGGGCATGACTTCGTGTTGGAAAGTGTCGCCGCGTCGCATCGTTTCGGTGCACAATCGAATCAACAGTCTAGCTGCTTGATCATGGGGCTGAAATCGGGTCATAATTCACAAAAAAATCAAAATAAAAAAAAAAAAAAAAAAAAAATTGAAAAAAATTTTCAAAATTCCAAGAAAAAATCGGTTGAAAAAATCGCAAAAACATCCAAAATAATCCTCAGTGTGCCTGAAACCCTTTCCACTCCGGAAATTCTCAAAAAATCGCAAAAAAAATTTTTCAAAAAAACCAAAAAATTTCAAAATTCCAAAAAAAAAATTGGTTCCAAAAATCCGAAAATAACAATTAAAACCAGCCTCATTGTCCTGACATTCCTCTAAAATACCAAAAAAACCCAAAAAAATCGCTCAAATTTCCAAAAATCCCAAAAAATTGCAAAATTTCCAAAATTTCCCTACCACTTCGAAGGCGCTGTCCACGAACATCGTATATCTGTAGAAAAACAGCTCACTGGCGGCTCCGAGTGCCTCCAGGTTCTTGCACAGCTTCAGGAGCTTCGAGGAGCCGCTAATTTGTTCCGTGGACATCATGTCCAGCATGGTGATCATGGATTCCTCCCAGCGTTTCGTGTCCTCCTGGCCGGCGAGGTGGGCCAACGTCTTGGAGTTGTGGGGGTGCTTGAAGCCGCTGTCCGCTTCCTCGGTTTGGGTTTCCAGCAGGTCCCAGCAGAGGGGGAAGTAGTCGGAAATGGCGCGCGCCATGATTTGGACCGGATTTTTCGAGGAATCCTTGAAAAATTGGGGTTTTAACGGTGAAAATGCCCAAAAACTGGCTCATAGGGGAAGTTCTCCAAGTGCGACGCTCAGATTTTCTTTAAATTTTGTACAAACGTCGGGCATGGACTAAATATCAATTCCTGAAAGTTTTAGCTCGCGCTTTGCAGGCGCCGCCGAGATATCGAACGATTTTTGCCGCCGAGAGAGCACGCTAAACGTGGAGAGCGGTCAGAGAGAAAGGCGCTTTTTGGCCATAACTTTGGCAGTTTCGTGCGGAAAAATTTGATTTTTTGTGGAAACATTATCCTTTACGGCAGAAATAGGCATGAAAATTCTCGTGCCGAAATTCGGCAAAAAGTCCTAAATTTTCACCCACTTTAAGATCTAAAAATCTCGGTTGTCTCTGCAAAGCGCGAGCTAGGATTCTCGCATATATCTTAGAAAAAATTGCTCTAAATTTGTGCCAAGTTTCATCAAAATCTGGGCGTCGCACTTGGAGCACTTCCCCAAGATATTCAAAAAATCCGAAAATCGAGCCAAAACTCCCACCTTTTTCTCCATGTAATAGTAGGCCCGTTCAATCTCCAACTCCAGCATATTGGAGCCGTCTTTTTTGGCTTCGGTGAGGAGCGGCAGGACCGTGTGCGTCATGTCGTTTTCGCGGGCCAGTCTGGCGCTCTGCACCAGCAGTTTCGTTAGTCCGTCTTTGATTTCGTTTTGCGGTCGATGGAGTGAGCGCAAAATGTTGCGCCGATTCCGCAGGATCGGCTCCAAATCTTTGGGGGTTTGTCGGACCAGGTGGTCGCGCGCGGTCCACGCGTCCAGGATCTGTTTTACGGACTGGTGGAGGGCTGATTGGGTTCCTGAAGGTTAAAAAAATCAACTTGAAGGGGGGAAATAAAAAAATTTGAGGGAAAAATTGGATTTTTTTTTATTTTTTTTTTTTTGAAAATAACCAATTTACCCTGCCCAAAGGCAAAATCAAGCCTTCAAAAGACTTTTCAAACTACCTGAAGCTAACTTTTATTCTGAATAGTATACTAAAACCCCAAAATTATCCAAAAAATTAAAAAAAAAAAAATCAATTTTCCAATTGGTCTCCTCTTACCCTGCTCACATAAAAAATTATACTCTAAAATGCCCTAAAAGTCTCCTTAAAAACTTTTCAGGTCATTCTTTTTTCAAAAAAACTTCAAAAATTTTACAAAAATTTTTGAAAATTTCCTTTGGTCCCCCCTTGCCAAAATTTTCAAAAAAAAAAAAAAAAAAAAAATAATAAAAAAAAATCTCAAAACCCCATCCCTCCACTCCTACCTTGCACACTGGTCTGAGAAATCTCCATGATGCTGTCCTGTGTTTCATTTGGATCCACTTTTTTCCAGATATTCTCCATGGAGCGGTCCGAGAGCTGCGGCCAAGCCAATTTCAAGTCCTCCAGTGTGTGTAAATCCTGCACAAACTCGTATCCGACGCTATAGGGTCTTGTGTTGTCCACTCCTTGTTGTGCCAGGGTCTTCATGAGGTAGACTTGTGCGAGGCTCAAGTGTTTTTTCGCCTCCTCGAACCGTTTCGTTCGGCATTTCTGGAGGATGACGGTGAGGTCCGCGCCGAACGTGTGCTGTTCGGTGGGGTCGTAGATGGGGTCGTAGTCCTCATAGGGGGTCCATTTGGTGAGTGGTTCGAGAACTCGCATGCCTTCTTCGAAATCGTTGTAGCAGCGTTTCGCATTTTCCGTTACAGTGTCCATGCGGTACTTTTCGAGGAGTTCCCAGCGGTCCAGATCGTCGGTAATCGGGTGCTCAGGGCCTGGGATTCTCGATTCGTCGAGAATTTCGACATTCTGCAAAGAAAAATTCGGATTTTTTTAAAGTCGAAAATTCTCGCACTGTGCGGGGAAAAATCTCAAAATTTCACTCAAAAAAGAAAAAAACTGAATTAAAAAATATGTCATAATCATTCTTTCTGAAATTCCCTTCAATTCTAAACACCATCAACTGCAATTTAAACCCATCTTTTAGCAAAAAAAAAACAAAAAAAAATAAAACACCTAAAATATCAAAAAACCTCAAAAAATCCGTAAAAATCAAGAAAAAAAAAACAATCTCTAACATTCCACATAACGTAGTCGGCCCTAATATATAAGTACATAGACAAGATTCTCGTATTTTACCCTCCTCTCACCTTTTTTCCGCCATTTTTCCCTCCTAGACCACCTGAAACAACATTGTCCATCATGCTGGAATCCTCCGTGATCTCGACCTCCGGCTTCTTTTCAACAAAATCTGTGCAGTCAACTCTATTTTTAAAGACCATATTCGTGTCATTCAGTCCATCCAAAACCGAGCCGTTGGCAATTGAAGAGAGTCGGGTTTTCTTTGATTTTCGGGTCAAATCCTGGTCTGGAGCTCGTTTTCTGTCGGTTGATGGGGCTGAAAAAACTCTCAGATTGGCAATAAGTCAAGTATTTCTTCAACCTGGCCAAAAAGTTTCAATTTTAGGTATGAAAATTCGAAAAAATGGGAAAAATTTGCAAAAAGGTCTCTTTTTTCTTGATATTTTTTATTTTATTAGTTTAAAAATTATCTAAAAGATATAAAATAACTCTCATCTCACTGCGATGCCCTTTATCATCAAATAAGATCAAACAAATCTCAAAATTAACAAATTTTTCAAACGGTCCCCTCTTGCCTTACCCACAAAACCAAGTCGAAAACACACTTCCCAGCTCTCCAAAACATCCCACGCATCAATTCCCAGCACTTACCGTTCTCTTTTTCAACCGCGTTATCCCCGTTTTCCCCGGGTTTTTCATTTTCCCTCTGGGCATTTTCTGATTCTTCATCGGTATCACTGACAAACGCCAAAAGATCCTCTTCATTTCCGCTTGTTTCTGGCGTAATACTGCTGGTTTCGGGATCAATTCGAATTTCTTCCGAGTTTCGGCCGCTGTTTCGGCCGATTTCGCGCATATCCACCATGGTGTCAATTTTCGGTATCAGTTCTTCGGTTCGGTCTGAAAAATGCTTTCAAAACAAAAATTCAGTCTATTATTAACTTTTTAGTTCTTCAAAACTTTGCACAGTGCAAAAATCTAGTTGAAAAAAGCCTACGTTTTTGCACAGTGCAAAATTCTAGTTGAAAAAAGCCTACGATTTTGCACAGTGCAAAAATCTAGTTGAAAAAAGCCTATGCTTTTGCACAGTGCAAAATTCTAGTTGAAAAAAGCCTACGTTTTTGCACAGTGCAAAATTCTAGTTGAAAAAAGCCTACGTTTTTGCACAGTGCAAAAATCTAGTTCAAGAAAGCCTACAATTTTGCACTGTGCATAATCACAGGATACCAAAAAAATGGCACCGCTTCAAATTGAAATTTAAGCGCTATATCATCGTATTTTACCTAATTCCGTGTCGACCAATTCCCATTTGCCCAGTTCAATGGCTGCTTGACATTGTACTTGATAAACATCCGGATAGTCCCGTTTCAGAAAGCGTCGCTCTTCGGGTGAGAATCGTTGAGCAATATAAGAGATGACAAGGTCTGGTTGGTTGAATAATTGGAGGAAATGGACCATAAACTCCTGAAAAAAATTTTTTTTTTCAACCGGTCGCAAAATTTTTTTTCAAAAACACGAGAAAACGGTTCAAATCATCATAAAACACTCTAAAAATTCTAAAAATACCTTCAAAACTCAAGCCTTTGTTCCTCCCGCACAGTGCAAAATTGCAGTGGAAAAAAAGCCTAGACTTTCGCACAGTGCAATTTTTTAGTTGAAAAAAGCCTACATTTTTGCACAGTGCAAACTTTTAGTTGAAAAAAGCCTATGATTCTGCACCGTGCAAAAAAAATTTTTTTTTTTTTTTGAAAATTTTATCAGTCGGAAATTTTTTTCTGAAATTTTAGGGTATCAAAAACACTTCATAAGTCAAAAAAAAACTCCAAAACTCCCTCTCCTCACCCGATTTTCCCCTGAAATCATGGGTAATATTTCATGATGGTCCCCTCTGGCGTACGCGCATTTGATCGTCTGCAAATCCGTGGGTTTGTCATTCTTCAAGATCATTGCATATGCTCCTTCGTTGTTTTCGAATTCCTGGAGGTTAAAATTCAAGGACTGGACCAGATCAAAGATCATTCTGTCGTAGCCGGGTACTCCGCGGCCGTCTTTCTTTATCGAATATTGCTCCAAAAGACGTTGTGCTCTGTAGAAATTGTCGCAGGATTCGGCCGCCTCCACCGATGCCGGCATCAGGTCCTCGGGGCAAATTCGGTATTTTAGGCTTTCTTCGATGAAATACAGCAAATTCGAGCGGAGTTCTTTCTGAAAACCGGTTTAAAAAGGTGTAAAAACTCATTTTTCAATAGCTAAAATATAAATCCCAGAGTTAATCCAATAAAAAAAACTTTTGAAATTTATTCTGCACAGTGCAATTTCATAGTTGAAAAAAGCCTATGGTTTTGCACTGTGCGGATTTTTAACAGAATTTAGGCCATTTCTCAGCGATTTTCACGTGGAAAAATTTTTTTTTTATTTTCTCTTCATCTCTAATAAAACACCAAGTTTTCTTTTAAAAAAATTTCAAAAAAATTAAAAAAAATTTTTTTGGATAAAAAAATTCTAATCAAAATCAATACAAAACATTGCTACAAATACTCCCCAATACACAAACATCCTTCTTCCGCCATTTCACATCGAAGCACAATGCTAAAACCATTCAAAATTACCAAAAACTAAAAAATAATATCCAAAATCACCTAAATTAATATCCCGGCTACAATTCTGAACCAAAAGCCAATTAGAAAATACTTTCAGCTGCCCAAAAATTCACATATTACCCCTTCACATCAAAAATCAACAAAGAATCCCTCAAAAATTACCAAAAAATCTAAAATAATATCCAAAATCGCCTATTATAATATAAAAACTGCTTTCAGAGCCCAAAAAACCGAGATTTCATCCAAAATTTGCTGCCCAAATCTCCGGTGATCCCTTCCGCTTACTTTGATTTTCTTTGTTTTTGCGTCCTTCGCGACAATTCGATACAAATCGTCGATTAATTGGAAGATTGTCTGGCAACTCTCGCTGATGTCTTCGCGTCTCGCGGGGGAGTCCTTTTTCACCGCGGCGAACACATGTTTCGCCTCGGTGATGAGGAATTCGTTCACCTTGTGTTTGTCGAATTCGTTGAGGCATTGGAAGACGACGACGGGCAGGAAGTCGGCGTAAATGAAGGGCATTTCTTCGCCGGAATGGGACTTGGAAAGCGCGTCGAGGATCACGAATGGGATCATTTTGATCTGAAAACCGTGGTAGGGAATATTTTCTTTCGTTCATGAAGACAAAACGACATTTTTAGCAAAAAAATCACGAAAAAAATCGAAAAAAAAATTTATTTGATTTTTCGAGAGCTAAAAATTTTAATTTTTTCCGCATAGCAAATGCTAAAACTCTTTGAAATGCCTTCGAAAATGCTAATCTTAACCTATTCTAAGTTCCAATAAAATTCCAGTGCTTTTATTACAAATTCCGCCCATTTTCCGGAGAAGCTCCGCCCACTTTCAGTCGAAGCTCTGCGGAGCTCCGCCCCTTTTTCTCTACTGTTTCCAGAACCTTCGAAAATAGCTCAAATATTGACCAAAGTCTTCGTTTTCCTGAAAACATTTACTTTTCGAAAAAAAATTTAGCCTTCTTTAAGCCCTCCCACTTTCAGGCGAAGCTCCGCCCACTTTCAGTTGAAGCTCTGCGGAGCTCCGCCCCTTTTCCTCTACTGCTTCCATGACCTTCCAAAACAGCTCAGATTTTTACCAAAGCCTTCGTTTTCATAAAACATTTATTTTTCCACCAAATATCACGTCTTTTTTTTTAAAGCTTTCCCATTTTCAGGCGAAGCTCCGCCCAGTTTCCAGCGAAGCTCTGCGGAGCTCCGCCCCTTTTCCTCTACTGCTTCCAGGACCTTCCAAAATACCTCGAACGTTTATCAAAGTCCTTTCTTTTCCTGAAAACATTTACTTTTCGCCAAAATAACACTTTTTTTTTAAGTCCCGCCTACTTAAATCTGAAGTTCCGCCCATTTTTAAATTTGCCCCAAAATTATCCATAATGACTCAAAATTAATCAAAACGTTTCAAAAACATCTACAAACCCTCCATTTACCTCTCGGCTCAACGTTCTGTACCACTGGACCAACCACATGGAGTGGCTTTTGATCCGCTCCTTGTACTCGGCTCGACAAATTGGGACCATGTAGTAGCCGGTGATATTGTTCGCAGTTATTGTCGCCGTCTCATAGGGGCCCAACTCCGGCATTTCTTCGCGGATTTTCTGGAATTTGGGGCCTGCGAACTTCAGGTCCTGGCAAATGTATTGAAGGCACAGTGCGGCCATGTCCGACTGGCCGCCGGATGGCGCTTCGATGTGCCAGCGGAAGATTTCGTGAACGAATTTTCGGACCAGCTAAAATTGGAGGCGAATTTGAGGCATTAGGTTGTTTTAGACATTTTTGGATATTGCACATGGTATTTTTGTTGTTTTTGATCTGTTTTCGTGAGGTTTCTTGAGAGAACAAGGTAAAATAAGGAATTCTAGAAATGTGAGAGCATTATTAAAATGAATTTTGGTGGTAAATTTGAAACAAATCGCTGATTTTTGCCTGAAATAACTTTTTTGATTTTTTATCGGAATAGTTTCCTGAGAAGCGTAAATTTGCTACAACTTTAGCATAGGCACTTAAAACAAGCCTCATAACAATCACAGAAAATTTCAGCTCATGCGTTTTGTGGAGATCCGAAGTATTCAACATCCCTTGCAAGCAAGAGATTATGGAAAAGGAGGAGAGACGGTCAGCAAACAATCGCTACTTTTTAAACAAAGATTTTATTAAAACCTTCATGATTTCTGGTGCAAATTAACGCAACCAGAGATCCCCTTTTCTCTGACCGTCTCTGCTTTTTCTATAACCTCCTGTCTGCAAAGATTGCTGAACACCTCGGATCTCCACACAAAGCTTGAGCCCAAATTTTCAATGATTTTTATGAGACTTATTTTGAGCGCCTATGCTAAAGGTGTAGCAAATTTACGCTCCTCAGGAAACTATTCCGATAAAAAAATCGAAAAAAAGGTTTAAATCAGGCAAAAATCAGCGATTTTTTTCAAATTTATCGCCACGATTCTTAATAATGCTCTCACATCTATAAAATTGCTTATTCTGCCTTTTTTTCTATCAAGAAACCATAAAAAAACAGATCAAAAACATCAAAGATACCAAGTGTAATATTAAAAAATGGCCAGACTAATACCAAACCCTAAATCAATCGTTCCCTTTACACTAAAAATCGCTCAAAACCTCTCAGTGCCGCCCTCCCAACCTACTCCCACTTCATCCGTATACAGAGCCATATTCGTTTTGGGGCTGTCGTCCTTCCAAGTCGGAGTGTCCATCAGGGCTTTCGGATCGATTGCTGTGATTTGGCCAACAAAACTGGCCAAGGTGGAGAGCTCGAGGATCGTGTTGGCTTGTCTGGACAGCTCGAAAATCCGATCCAACAACTTGGCTTTCGAATTGTAATCCGAGTAATCGATGAGCAGTTGACGAGAAATTGTTGGTAGGATAAATGGGGTCAGATGGACGTTCTGTTCCATGGCGGAGAGGGCAACTAATTACAAATCAAAATTGAGATTTTTCAAAAAAAAAAAAAAAAATTTTTTGCACAGTGCAAAATCGTAGGCTTTTTTCAACTAAAAATTTGCACTGTGCGAAAACGTAAGCTTTTTTCAACTACGAAATCGCACTGTGCAAAATCGTAGGCTTTTTTCAACTAAAATTTTCGCACAGTGCAAAATCGTAAGCTTTTTATAGCTAAAATTTCGCACAGTGCAAAATCGTAGGCTTTTTTAAACTAAAATTTCGCACAGTGCAAAATCGCAGGCTTTTTTCAACTAAAATTTCGCACAGTGCAAAAAAATTTAAAATTTGCAAATGTAAAATACGATGAAAAAATTTCAAAAACCAATTTTTCAGGTTTAAAACGACTTACTTTCGGCCACATTCGGGTTGATACTGCATTTCCTGGGGACTTGGAAGATTGCCGAGTAAAGCAACTTAATATCGATCGATTCTCGCTCGTATTTATTGCTGAAAATATTCCAGCGAAAAGAATTGACCTACGTAATCTTTTTTCGATCCAATTCCTTGAGATACACATCGGCCAAACATTGAAACTGGTCGATTTGCAAGAAGTAAAATAGCAATTTGAACCTCATTTTAATCAGATTTTTAAGGTCCAACTTAGGTATTAATGCCTTCCAGACTTCAGCAAAGTTCTCCACAGGCGAATTTAAAATCCATAGGGTGTGGCAAATTTTGGCGACATGCTAAAAATAAAAAAAATGGGAAAAATCCAAACTTTTTGAGGAAGTACAGTAAAAATGTAACCGAAAGGATAAATTACAGTATCCCAAATAAATTTCCAGCCATACTGGGTATTCTATACCAATCATTTTTCCTTTTGCACCCCTAAATTGTAATATGTAATCAAAATTTTGCAAAAAAAGTCGGTTTTTGAGCAAAAAGTCGAAATTTTTCAAATTACAGTATCCCAGAAGCCTCTCAAATAGTCTAAATTCTCTGAAAAATCTATTGCCCAGCTTACGCATCCCTCAATTTACCCTATTTTTCATAAAAACTATTCAAAATCAAAATTTCAATTTCAAAAATTACAGTAATCCAGAGCATCCAAAACCATTCCAAACTGCCCAAAACCCCTTCCAACTCCCATTACCTCCCTCTAAGCCTACAATTCCACTCACCGTGTTCAAAATGAAGCTACTAATCGCCTTCACAAACTCCGTCAGTCCCAACGCGATGACTTTTTTTCTCTCGCCAAAGTACGGCTGCTCAATTAGGTCCTGTCTCAAGTCGATCATGAGGCCGAGGAACTGATTTCGCACCAAATCATTCCACTCGATGGCCTTCGCGGCGGCGATTCTTTTCAGCATCGAAAGAGCTACATCTCGGTCCGTTCCCATGTGGAAAATGCAAACCAAAATGGATTGGAAGGTGTTTCGCTTGACGTAATGGTCCTGAAAAGTCATTGTGAGTCTTCAAAATCCATAAAAAATCAAACGAGGTCATTTTTAGCACAGTGCAAAATCACAGTTATAAAAAGCCTATATTTTCGCACAGTGCGAAGTTCTAGTTATAAAAAGCCTAAATTTTTGCACTGTGCGGAATTTCAGTTATAAAAAGCCTACGACTTTGCACTGTGCAAAATTTCAGTTATAAAAAGCCTATGTTTTCGCACAGTGCAAAATTTCAGTTATAAAAAGTCTAAATTTTTGCACAGTGCAAAATCTTAGTTGTAAAAAGCCTAAATTTTTGCACCTTGCAAAATCACAGTTATAAAAAGCCTATATTTTCGCACAGTGCGAAATTCTAGATATAAAAAGCCTAAATTTTTGCACCTTGCAAAATCACAGTTATAAAAAGCCTACGACTTCGCACAGTGCAAAATCTTAGTTGTAAAAAGCTTATATTTTTGCACAGTGCAAAATCACAGTTATAAAAAGCCTATATTTTCGCACAGTGCGAAATTCTAGATATAAAAAGCCTAAATTTTTGCACCTTGCAAAATCACAGTTATAAAAAGCCTACGACTTTGCACTGTGCAAAATTTCAGTTATAAAAAGCCTATATTTTTGCACTGTGCAAAATCTCATTTACAAAAAAGCCTAAATTTTTGCACTGTGCAAAATCTTAGTTGTAAAAAGCCTATATTTTCGCACTGTGCAAAATCTCATTTACAAAAAAGCCTAAATTTTTGCACTGTGCAAAATCTTAGTTGTAAAAAGCCTATATTTTCGCACTGTGCAAAATCTTATGTGTAAAAGCCTATATTTTTGCACTGTGCAAAATTTCAGTTATAAAAAGCCTAAATTTTTGCACTGTGCAAAATCTTAGTTGTAAAAAGCCTATATTTTTGCACTGTGCAAAATTTCAGTTATAAAAAGCCTAAATTTTTGCACTGTGCAAAATCTTAGTTGTAAAAAGCCTATATTTTTGCACTGTGCAAAATTTCAGTTATAAAAAGCCTACGACTTTGCACAGTGCAAAAATTAACGGAAACTCCCCAGACATTCGCCCAAAAAACAGTCGATTTGCCATTTAACTACTAAATTTCCAACTTCTACTCAAAATTTTATCAAATCTCATCCAATTTTACAATGATCTTACCAATGGATGTCCAGTAAAATGATAAATTGCGGACGTGAGTTTGTCCTCGCTGAGTGTCTTCCTATTCAGCATAAAATAATCGAAAATGAAGGCAAGATTCTTCCCGACGTATTCCTCGACGGATCCATAGGATTCCACGTGTGGTCCGATGAAGCCCATTATTTCATCTTTATGGGCGGCGAGGTACTTGTTGAAGAAAATTCGAGGCAGCATAAAGCATGAGTACTTTGAGAAGAACCTAGAAAGTAATTTTCCAACTTTTTTAAGGTCAAAAAGGGCAATTTTTGAAATTTTGATATCTAAAACAACATTAAATTGCAATTTCTGATAACTTTCTGAATTTTTCAAGAGTTTTACTTTGTAAAATACGATAAGGACATCTTCGTCATCAATTATGACAGTGAGATCCACCAAAATTCAAAAAATTTTATATTACACATGCCTAGGCCAACATCAAAAAACTTACAATTTTAAGGTTTCGCTTTTGAAATCTGCCTCTGACATCGTAACGGGCTTTTCCACACATCCAGCAGTCAGAAGATATGCCATACTTGTCAAGAAATTGAACGCACTTTCAACTCGATAACCCGAGAACTGAAAATGAAAAATTTTAATAAAAAATCGGCCAAAAAATGACAATTGATGATGTAAATACAAAAATAAGGACGTTAAACGATCCTCCTTCGTATTCCACCTCATTCGGTAAACAAACTTTGAAGTTATAAACGATTTTCCTAAATTGATACCTAAAACAATATAAAATCTTACGGATCCGGCGAAAATCTTGTAATCCACGATTCCAAAAATCTGATCAAAGAATCTTTGACCAAAATACGATACAAAACAGGTAACATCATTCGCTAGAAACTGTGCCGACGTGTAGGAAATCACATTTTGAAATAATGGAAGGAGCTTTTCGAAAATGTCTTTCGAACTCTCTCCAGTTTGTGATTCGTATTTTGGAGAGAGAATATGACCTGATATGAGGATCAGCCATCCGCAAAGCTCTTTGAGGCTGTCCAAATCGAGAATTCGACTAAAATGGAGGGCAAGTGTAATATAAGATTCGTCCTAAAAACAGAACAAAAAAAGTAAAACCTTACTTATACATCCTTCCGATAAGGATCGCAACCTCTTCCCACTCTTTGTACGCGTTGAAGATGGGGAATATTAACCCAGGGTCGTAGCTGCAGGCCATAACCGTGCTCAACGTAGTTGAATCAAATATCAAGGTATAAAGGTTCTTGCTGAAAATAGCCACTCAATTCTACCTCTCAAAAGAATCGGAAACTCGGTGGAGAAAGTTTTCGATATTATTCTTGACGTCAACAACAAACTGATCAAACCTCCAATAAACTTGAAGGTTAGCAACTGTAAGGCTTTAGAATAGAAAGGTAGCAGTATAACTATTCTTTGAGTTCCAAAATCACCCATCTATCTTCGTCTTTCACCGAGAAATTAACAAAACCTTATCTTCATCAAGTACAATATCGGAAAATCTCGATTCCCACCTGACTGTCAATCTAAACCAAGAACAAAAGCGATGAAAAGCAAGAACATACCTCAGTTCATGATCTAACGGTACAATCCGCTCGACTTCAATGGTCGAATTTGCTGTAGCCTTCGCAAAATCCTTCTTCAAGGCATCAAAGAATTCCCGCCGAGTTTGCTCACTGTCTCCCAAACTTGTCGGTATTGAAACCGGTTGAACTTCGTCCGCTGAATGCTCTAGTTGTGCTCGGAACCCATTTATAATACTATCGTCCATCAAAATCGGAGAGGCAGACCTATCCGGAAGATCCGCGCTCATCTCTACCTAAAGTTAGAAAAAAATACAAAAAATAGCAAAAATTTTGATAGAAAGGCAACGCTAGAGGTAAAACAAGGTCTGTAGAAAATTTACAGACCATTTTTTACCCGTTTAGAGGCTTATCTTACTTTGTATTTGCAAAAAACCGGAAAAAAGTTCGAAATTTTTGGAAAATAAATAATTTTTTTCAAACGAATTCTTCCCGCGAATTTTCGAAATAGCAGCTCGCAAAAAGGTTGCGCCCGAGGGTGAAAAAGACTACGAAGAGTAGGGAGAATAGATTTTGATTGGCCAAAACGGCTTTCCCGCTGATCCTTGACCTTATTTTAGACCACCTGGACATCAAAATTTAATAAATCCTTTTTCATCAAATTTTTAATGTCCAAAATTTGCGGAATGCTTGTGTAATAGTAAAATACACTCTCGGCTTCACTATGATGACATTTTCCAGTTGATTATTGCCTTTTCCAAGGAATTCTGAGCTTTTTTTGAAGATCAAGTTGACTTCTTGGTGTTGGTCAACTTGATGATGAAAATACTCTGAGATCTCAAAATTTACGGTCGATTTAGTATGTAGTCTGAACAGAGTATTCCATTAGCTACATTTTGACGTCAAGATCTCCTCAGAAATCCATCATCTTCACTCTTTTTTGTCCATCTCAACTTGACCTTACTTTAGACCTCAAAAAAATTTTAAAAATCAAATAAAAACCAATCTCCAACAAATTCAAAACATTCTTTATTTACAAATCAGTAAGCGACAAAGGCCATGGGACTTTAGTGAGGCTAGGCGCCACCTTCCGGGGCCGGGGCGGCTTCTGGAGCCGGGGCCGGAGGAGCTTCGGCTGGAGGTGGAGCAGCGGCTTCCGGAGCTGGTGGAGGAGCGGCTGCCGAAGGTGGTGCCGCCTCAGGAGCTGGAGCAGCAGCGGGTGGGGCTTGAGCCGAGCCAGAGCCGCCACCCAAGGAGAAACCGGCACCGTCAGGACCACTGAAAAAACGATGATTTTCATGAAAGGGAGGTCGAATCAACGATCATTTTCATCAAAGAGATGGAAAATTATGAGGTCAAAAGTGAATAGAGAGGATTTGTAAGAACCCTGGAGCCGAGAGGGAAGAAAAAAATTTACGAAAATTACAGTAACCCACTTGAAAATTTATATTTTGTCAAAAAAGGCGATTTTCCCCCCTAGAACCGCGTATTTTAGCTATTTTCTGTCAAAAAAAGGTGGGGGAAAGTTGATAATCTCTTTGATTATGATCCTCAACTCATTAAAAAGCCTTAAAAATTCTAAAAATTACCGTTTCCTGACGTGAAAATACAGTAATCATCAAAAATTTCGCAATAACCCTTCAAAATCACGAAATTTCGCAAAAAACTACAGTAACCCATATAAAAACGTGTCCAGAGTGCGATACAGTAGCCCAAATTTTCCTCAGCAGCCTACACTCCACTTACCAGTAGATCTGATAGCCCAGATAGCTCACAACAGCCAAGGAGATGACGCCCATTGTCAGTGGTGGAGAAGGAGTAGGAAGCGACCGCCCGAGACCTGAGCACAGTCAGTAAATGGAGGGCGGCGACCGATTGGAAGCTAGGAAAATTTGCGAAAAATTTGCATAAATTTCGGGGACGTGAGAACGAAATCTTTATTTTTTCGCATTTTTAAGGGCAAAAATTTTAAAAAAAGTAAAAACTTACAGGGGAAGTACCCCAAGTGCGACGCTCAGATTTTGATGAAACTTGGCACAAATTTAGAATAATTTTTTCTAAGATATATGCGAGAATCTTAGCTCGCGCTTTGCAGAAACAACCGAGATTTTTAGATCGAAAGTCGGCGACAATTTAAGACTTTTTACCGAATTTCGACACGAAAAGTTTCATGCTTATTTCTATTGTAATGAGTAATGCTTCCACAAAAAATGAATTTTTTCCGTACGAAACTAGCGAAGTTATGGCCAAAAAGCGCTTTTCTCTCTGACCGCTCTCCGCGCTTAGCATGCTCTCTCGGCGGCAAAGATCGTTCAATATCTCGGTGGCGCCTGCAAAGCGCGAGCTAAAGCTTTCAGGAATTGATACCTAGTCCATGCCCGACGTGTGTGCAAAATTTAAAGAAAATCTGAGCGTCGCACTTGGGGTACTTCCCAACATTGTTAGGTAAAATACGGATAAAACAAAAATAAGTACAGACGTGATTATCAAATTGACAGTAATGTTCAAGCTCTACGATCGTCCTTTTTCCACCAAACAGTCCGCTTTTCCATCGTATTTCCGTCATCAATTGGGATCCATCCGCTCGACCACACCGACGCCGGACTCTTGACATTTTTCAGGTAGTTCATCAAATAATTGGGTGTCTGATAGCCCGAGACATGTCCGTCATGGACTTCGCCACTTTCTGCTCGCTTATTCCCACTGAACGGACCCCTTCTTATATCGGTTTCATCGATTTCACTGCTATACCCTCCATTATTTTCGTTATTATCGCGATTACTGTAATTTTCAGTACCGTATCCTCCGAGATTTGTGTTGTAAAGGTTGTTCAGCCCACTGTAGCCACTTGGCTGAGCTGCTGGCGGACCAGCGCTACCAGTTTTTGGGCTCCGACCTTCTTCTTGATCATTAAGGTCATGTGCAATATAAGGTGTTTTCCGGCTGTCATGGCTCGATTTCTCATTCAATTCGTGGTTATGGATACGATGGATGATGTCATAAGTCCCAAAAGTATAGTGTTCCTCAAGAATTTCGTCATTATCATGATGATTGAAGGCGTTTTTACTCGAGGAGTTACCGTAATCCGGCAATGCGAAACTCTTAGCCGAGTAAAGACGGGGCAAAAAGTTGAGACTAGACATGTTGTACAGAGTCGGATGGGACGAATTAGGCCAAGTGAAGTTGGTATTTGAGTGGATTGTGGAGTAGTTCATGAACAGCGGGCGTTGAGTGTAATTTAGAGGATTAGAGGGGTAGTTGATGAATTTTGATGGATAAGTTGAGGGAGGGTTGTAGGAGGCTAAAATCAGCAAGTGGAAAAGAAAATATACACTAGTTCTGATATTCAAATTGACAGGAATTGAAATTTTTAAGTCGAAAATTGCGGAAATTTCGAAATTTTTGAAGAGTACTGTCCTGAAAAAAAATTTTGAAGAAATCCAATTAAAATTGGATTTCTAAGCAAGGCAGAGGGTAATGATTCAACAAAAAATCATTCTTTCCTTGAAAAAATGGCTATGATATGAGAAAAAAGGTTTTTTCTCTAACCGCTCTCCTCATATCGCATACTCACTCGCCTAAAAAATTTGTTGAATATCTCAGCTGCCCTTGCAAAGCAAGATCTAAAATTTGTAGCGATTGGCATGCCTCCAGCACAGAATCAGCATGTAAAATTTGAGGGAAATCTGATCGGCTGATTCTTAGCAATTCCATTTTGAAATTTTTTGGCCAAAAAAAATTTTTTGAACTCAAATTTTTAGTTTTTACAAAAAATACTCACCTCTTCCATTCAGCCCATCCCCAGTGTTTGCAAAGATACAACCAGCGTGTTGGAGGATCAGCAAAGTCATCAAAACCGACAAGCTCGGCATCTTTTCCATGATCAAGACTAACAAGTGAAAGAGACTTTGACAGAATATGCGACACTTTCACTGTATCCGGTTCCTCACTCGCTTCACGACTGCTCTTTTTGTCTTCGAAGTTAATGCGCCGTGGTTGCATTGGAAAAAACCCGCTATTGTAGGCGTGAAAAAAAAAAATTTTGGGAAAGACTTTGAATTTGTGAAAAAAATTTTTTATCACAAAAGCTTCGAATTTAATAAAAAATTACTTTAGAGATCATAGCGAGGCACTGATGTGTTTTTTCAAAGGTAAAAATGGGGTTTTCGGACATTTACACCTTATTTTAGGGTAAAATAAGGCGATTTTTGTCAAAAAATAGGGTCAAATTAGTTTGTCTTGGCCTAAAATAAAATTCTCAATGCATGTGACGGCCTAAAATACGATTTCCATCATCAAAAAAAAAAAAAAAAATTTTTTTTGATCCTTTCTTATATTGTACTAGGCAATTTCTAAACTCTCAGACCCAAAAATCTCGAATTTTTCCAAATCAACCAACAATTCTAGGCTTCCATAGTAACTCTCAACCTCCCATAACAACAATTTATTAACTAACAAAACCAAGATATTATGAAAAACATTAGTAACATGTATAATATAATAAATCTGATATATATGCGAAAAATGCAAATTCCAGACAAAACCCCATACAATACGGATATTAAAAAGATATAGCCTTACAAAAAAAGTATTTCCACCTAAAGGGCTCAAAAACTGAGAGGTGTGATAAGAGAAGTAAAAAATGATAAAAACAACAAAAAATATTCTGAATTTCGATATTTCCACGTCTCCATTGGGGCATTCAAAGCGTTAGATGTCCACTCCATAGCTGGTGAGGATGCCTCCAAACTTTCTCGGGCGTTTTTCCACATTTTTCTCGACCTTCGCCTTGCCCGACGTCCCATTTTCCTTCAAGCTGTCGTCGGATTCGGTCTTCTTCATGGAACTAGTCGCTTCTTGAGGGAGATTGGAGACCATCGAAGAATTTCCAGAAGTTTCTCCATCCGATTTCGACGCCACACATGGGTTTGGGAGGTCTCTTGGCGTTGCCTCGGAGCACTTATGTCCAACAAAAAGTGGGTTGTTTCTATGGACCTTATCAAAGCATGGTCGACAGTAATAGAGAAGGCACTCGTTCGCAGTGCAAAAATCTGTTTTTCGGCCAATATTTCCACAATTTTCGCAAGAAATATTCTTGTAGATGAAGGGCTTGAACTCTGCCTGAAAATTCTAAAATATTAAATTATTGGAAGGCAAAACTCATTTGCATTGCCATCCCTAACACCGTAAACATATCAGAGCACCATCTAAATGTACGATTGTTTCGTGATTTGGCCATTATCACCTTCAAAATCACAGTTTATAACAATTTTCCTTCAAATCTTCCAAAATTTGTCCGGACAGTTCCTAAAAGCCAACAAAAAAAAGTTAAAATCTTACCCCTCGAGGATTGTAATGTCTATTCGGATGCCATTGATGTTCCACATGTCCGGCAGCGGCGGCAGCACGATAACTTTCCACACTTCCGAAGATGACGCGAGCTGCGCCCTTGGGATACGAGGATTCGAATTCCAATTCAACAGAGCAATGAAGGACATTGCCAAATCGTTGCTGCACCAATTCGAAGAGTTCGAACGCCTTCAAAGTTCTGGGAAGTCCACCAACAAAAACGGAGAGGCGAACAAACCGCGTCCAGAGCTCGGAGACGGTATAAGTGGAATCGGAAATTCTCCATGGACGAATTTGCACCTGGAAAAAAGGATTTTAGATGGGAGACACCATAAAAGAGTTAAATTTGACTGTCCTGAGCAAAAAGGCATCTAAACCAAAAAAAAATTATATTATACTTACCAGGTCATTTCTTCGTCCCAAAGGAAAGAAATGTTTGTCTTCGCGAAACGTGCAAGCATTCAACAGGGCTCTTACAGCCTCATGATGGCGAAACTGGATGAAACAGTAGCCTAAAACAAGATCAAAATAAAGACAATAATTATATTATACATGAGATAATGAAATTTTAAACAGCAAAATTTTTGGGTCAGCCAGCTTTAATGGGGTCTAACTTCTCCAAAAAACACTGATTTTAGCCAATGCAAGGACATTCCATACGAATGGAACCATAAATTATATTATCCATGAAAACTACGGAAATAATCTTGAAGAAACCCAGTAAAAACCCGTGATGCCATTGCCAAATGTTATTCAAGTCACTACCCCGCTATTACATAAAAATAGACCCATTTTTACCCAATATTGCATCAATATTACACTTGACTTACCGTTTGGAGGTGTGTCGCTGTAATTCTTCTTCCCCGGCCATGAAACGTCGCACATATCGAACGCACCGAAGCATTGACGAAGGAACACATCAGTTGTCCCTAACGGAATCCCACCAACAAAAATTTTGGTGGAATATCGCTCTCCCACACCATCCGCCTTGCTATTGTCTTTACTGGCCTCTGAAATCAAAGAAACATGGAGAAGAGTAAATCATGAGCTCGCCAAGACGTTCTTCCTGCTATTTCTGGTCATTTCAAGTCAGTAGACACCTAAATTCTCAACAAAAATCGAACTCGCCTACCAATGTCTAAATCAATGTCTCTTTCCGCGAAGCTCTGTTTCTCTTTCTCGGTCATGGACCACAAACTGGTGCCTTTGAGTGAAAACACCCCGAAAGACGTGTTTACGGACTCCTCCAAGTGGTGCCCAGATCTCTAAACACAGAATCAACAATAAAATTGGGAAATACTTACGTCCATGATGTATATTAAAATTAATGGGAAAATTCGAGTATTTTAATGGTATTTTATTGATAATTAATATCTACACGCCAACGTAGACAACGGAGAGCTTCGCAAATTGAGAACCGAAGCCACCTTTTGCGAAATTCGAGGAAAATCGATAGGATTTATTTTTGAAAATAATTTCCCGCGGAATTCTGGGTCTCGCAGCGATTGTCCAAAAAGGTAGAGATTATTTTCTAATTTTTAGCTAAAATTTTAGTGTTTCTCAGAGTTGGAGGGCATTTTGAAAGCGATTTCCGTCGAAAAATTTTGGAACATGGTCAACAAATTATATTACTCATGATCTGGTGTAATATCAAGCCTTTTACCGTTGTATTCTGGAGAAATTGGGCAATTATTGGTTCTATTATGGTTCCCAGGCGTCAATAAAAGGTGGGTTGAGTAAAATGAGCAGTCATGGGCATTAGATGGACTAAAAATAGAGTTATATTGTAGTAGACGATACGTAGACGGTTTATCCTTTGATTTTCCATATTTTTTATGTTCAAAACTTATTCTTACACGTTTGTCCTTGTAGTAAGCTGTCAATACTTGATTGGCTCACCGTTTGCATGCATTTTTCATCCTATACAACCTGAATACGCAACGGTTTTCTCCGTTTTTCTCTTCTGTAATAAAGTTTTTTTTATTTCTAATTTTCCTCTTCTCCCCGGAGGCGTATTACGAGTAGTACATGCTCCGAAACCCGTATTCTCCCCTTCTCATACTTGATTTATCTGTGCGATTCTCTCTTGCAGTCGCAAGACATTACAAATTCCCTTTTTTCCGACGTCGTTTCGTTTTTTTGGTTCTCCAAGTGTTCGCTTCAGAATCCTGGCTGGGTATGCGGACAAGGTAGCGCATTCCTCTCGGCGTCTTCTTCTCGTTGTTTTTTGCTCGACGGTTTGTGTTTTCGTTGCTGTGGGGTGACAGAGGATGGAGCCGCGCGAATCATAATGTTGTTCATGCAACAGAGGTCGTGGTTTGAGTGGAACTGCTCGGATTTTGAAATTGTTTTTGGATTTTTTTGATCGGAATGGTCTCTGCAGTCGATTTACAGCCTTTATCCTTTCGTTTCAACATAAATTTTGTTGGAGAAGTACTCATTTTCTCTTGTCGTGGCGATTTTTGGGTCAAGAAGGCGAAAATTTTTAACAGTTTTATTTCTCGAATAAGACAAGGCTGATTTTCCTAAAATTTTGCATCTCTTCCTTCCTCGAGACACTGTGTCAGTCATGGAAAATTTTAGTTCGCATTTTGCAGTTTTGTCCGGGATATCAGTCTGTCGGGAAAATAATGAGCCCAATGTCTCGTCGCATCGCTGAAATGGAAAGCAAATTGAGTTTGCCACGACACAATTCATTTTCTCAGCGGCGATGCGACAAAATGCTCATTATTTTCCCGACAGACTGATATCCCGGACAAAACTGCAAAGTGCGAACTTAAATTTTCCATGATTGACACATAGTCTCGATAGAAGAGAGATGCAAAATTTTAGGAAAATCAACCTTGTCTTATTCGAGAAATAAAACTGCTAAAAAATTTCGTCTTCTTGACCCAAAAATCGTCAGGATAAGCGAAAATGAGTACTTTTCCAACAAGATTTATGTTGGAACGAGAGGATAAAGGCTGGAAATTGACTGCAGAGACCATTACGATCACTCGACAAAGGAGAAATGCAAAATTTTTGGAAAGAGCTGATTTTGACCAGTTTTTTGGCCAAAATTGGAATTTTTATGCTGATTTTGGACGATTGCATTCAAAGTTATGATTACTGGATGTTTATTAGCACTAGTCATATCTGTAAATACGATTTTTTCAGTCTCCTCATGCTTATTTTGTACTTTTGTCATGCCTTTCCCCAATTTTTCGTCGTCTAGTCATCCTGTTTTTTCGAAACTCTCAAATCAGATTCTTGTCTCCAGCAAGGACGAGCACAGACAGCCCTGTCTTTTTTCTCGTCGCGTGAATTGAGAATCGCACTCCATCTTGCGACCACGAGCGAGAGAGCGCGCCAAACGGCGAGACGCGAGAGAAACTCATCGAAAACGAAGAGAGCGCGAGAGAAAACGAGACGTGCTCGCATGCACAACACGTTTCGGAAAGGAGAATGTTGGGTGGGAGACGCGAATCAATCAATACTATTTCATCGGGCGATTCCTTCCAACAATTCGGGGGGAGAGGTGGTGGGGAAGAGCGGGGGGAGATTCGTGTTATATGAGTCGGTGTGTTTTCGCAGCGTAATTGGTCTGGAATGCTCGAAAGAGCGAGCTGAATTGGATTCTCAAGCATTTGGGGGCTTGGTTTTGCCTCGGGTTGTAATAGTGATGTTGTTGGGGGTGGTGTTTCGAAAAATAGTTTTGGGTATGTTGAGTCATTTGGCATTTGTATGTTGCTAAATGCATTGTTTGAACATGTGGAAAATGCAGTAGAACTCCAGAAAATACACTTGCAAAACGTCAAACCAAGTTTTTGACCATCAAAATGACAGTTTTTCAAAAAATCCTGTTTCTGGAAAGCTCAAAGTATCACGTTTGTCTAGGAAGTCAGCATATTTTAAGATGCGGATTTTCCAAGACATTTGCGACATTTTTAGTTCGCGTTTTGCAGAAACCATCGGTATTTTTGGGTCCCAAAAAGTTTCAACATCTTACAAAAGCACAGGCAATAAAAATCGATCTTTATAACCAAACTGTTAGCTCAGTTGATCGCTTATTAGATACTGGAAAAATCAACAGGACTTGTAAGTCCAGAACCGAACGCTTTGTACCAAGTTTCGTCGAAATTCGATGACTTTTTGCTGAGCTATGACAAAGTTTATTGTTTCGGAGCGGCCTCTAGTTGCGAGCAAATCGATTTGCGCTTTGATCCCGCAATTTCCAAACCATTTTCCCGCTATTCGAGCCCGAAATCAACCGTCGATCACAACACGATACCCTGTTCCCATAAACAGAGTCTCTTTTTTTTCGCGAGCTGAATTGCACTTTGCTCCTGCGCCTCTAACTGCCGCCGATTGGAGTGGCGAGAAGAAGTGGGGGGAGATGGGTGTCATATGAAGCGAAGAGCACGAGGCCAGTATGCAATCGAATGGGGCGAGTGGAAGGCCGATCTGATTCTCGGCCCGCACCAGAGCCCTTCCTTTTGCCCCCACTTCCCCACACTTGTTCTCTCCATTTTTCGCGGCTCCGTTTCACTTTTGATGCTGTGGAGAAGGGGCAAGTTTTGTATTGGGGAGTTGGGCTCTGCTGCGATGTATATATTGCTTTCGGAATATACGTTTATTTGCAACGGATACGAACTCAACGCTCAAGAGAAAAGGGCAATTTTTCACGTTGAGGATCTCGAAAAGTTAACGAATTAGGTGGCAAATATCGGCCTGAAAGTCTTGATGGGTTCTATAAAGGCAGAGCCCATAGGAAATACGTCAAATTTGAAGGCTGTTTGAGAGCCGCACCGTAGGAATTCCGAAATTTTTCAACCAAGCCAGTTTCGATCTAAAAATCTCTGTTTTTGACGCAAAGCGCTGTCTAAAAATCGTGCACATGCATTAGAAAACTACTATCTTAATTCACGTAAAGTTTCGTCAAGATCTAAGTGTTTCACGTTGAGCATTTCACTTGTAAACACCTCATGAGTAACAAGGCAAGCACTCAAAGTGCGACTCTCAGATTTTGATGAAACTTTCGACAAATTAATTAAGATTACACCTTTCTAAGAATACTAGTCCGTTCACAAAGTCGCTGGAGTGATTTCTGAAGTTTGCACTGTGCAAAAAGCCAGAAATTTCACAGGGCAAAGTGAACTTTCGTTTTTTTTGCGATGCATGTCGTAAAAATCACAACAACGACTTTGCGAACGGACTAGTATCTCTTAAAAAGGTGTAATCTTCATTTGTTCAAAGTTTCGTCAAAATCTGAGGGTCGCACCTTGAGCACCCCTTGTTAACCCTGAGGTGTTTTTTACGGGAAATGTTCATAGTGCAACTCTTAGATCTTGATGAAACTTTGCGCAAATTAAGATAGTAGCTTTCTAACCCATTTTCAAGATTTTCAGCCAGCGTTTTGCAACAGAAATCGGGGTTTTTAGATCGAAACCGGCTTGGCTGAAAAATCTCGGAATTCCTACGGTGTGGCTCTAAAACAGCCCTCAAATTTGAGGTATATTTCCTCGATCTAGTCAACAAATCAAATTCGGAAAAGATTTTTTTTGCCTACAGATCAAAAGAAATGGCAGTTTTCGAATCCGAAAATTGCAAAACAAAAACCGAAATTTTCCCGTTTTGCGACCTATAAATCCCGCTAATTTTTTCGAATTGCAAAGTAAAAATCTTTTACATTACCTATAAAATTGTAAGCTAAATGGTTCCTCAAGTTTCATCAAGATCTAAAAGTTTTCATTTTTAGCCCCAAAAAGCGCTGACAATAAAATTTTTTCGAAAGAACTGAAAAACTGACCACAACCTGACTCACTGTTTTCGGATCACATCGTTGATCAGCCCCATCTCCACCCAACCCACTCTTTCACGTCACTTTACATCTTTTTGACTCACTTCCGGTGGTCATTACAGCTAAAAAAAGCGACCAAGAAATTCACCCCAATAACACACTAAAACACTTTCTCTAAACCTTCCTTCGGTTACATTCGCGGAACAGGGTCTGGAGTCGGCCCTATTCGTCATCAAGCCCTTCGGTATTCCCATTTAAACGGTGCAGAGAGCACAACCGTGTGTTCCACTCGCATTTTTGTTCGCTCTCGTTTTTCGCCTCTCCTTGTTTGATGAGGCTACTTGTTTTCGGTCGTTATCAGTCGCGTGCGGGGGGTTTGGCGCGCTCCAAAATGCTTCCGAATTTTTGAGGGGGCTTTGTGGAGTTCGTTTCGAGACCCGAATTTCGAATTTTTGAGTGAATCAAAAAAATTTTTTTTTTCAATTTTAAAATTTTTTTTATTGAAATTATAAAAAATCTAGCGTAAAATACGATTCACCCTTCGTTGGTTGTTTTCACTGATTTTTCCTGGAATTTTTGAAAAAAAAATTATTAAAAATTTTTTTTTTATTTTTTTTTTGTTACTCCAAAGTGGATGTTCAGATTTCTTTCAAATTTGGCACAGATGTTATGTCTAGACCCTACTCCAATTCCTGAAATTTTTAGCCCGAACTTTATGGGCAGACCCGAGATATTCAACAATTTTTGCAGACGAGAGATTATGGAAAATGTGGAGAGAGAAAAAATCTTTTTTATCATTTTATTCCGTATTTTACACCCAGAAAACTATGGTTTGAACTTTTGAGTGCTGTTCGCCCTTTCATGATCTAGTAATTAACCAGCTGACCGAATCATTCGGTCAGTACATTCATTTTTTATAGCCTCTGATAAGCTATCAGTCTTCTATCTGCACAAACCAAACTACGGTTGCGTTGAAAATTATCTTCATTTTGATTTTCGAAGCGATGAGCAATTTTTGTAATTTTGAAAGGATTTTTTTCTCTGACCGTCTCTCTTAAATTTCTATAGTCTATCCATTGTAAAAATCGTTGAATATCTTGGCTCTCCATGTAAAGCTCGAGCTAAAATTTTCGGAGATTGATGTGGGGCCTATACAGGATATATAGGCGAAATTTTAGGAAACGGTGTAGGGTACCCTCGAAAAGTTCGATTATTTTATTCCTCAAGTGCCCAAAGTAATGTCCTTTGACTTTTCATTGCTTCCGAACGCTTCTCTATACTATTTCAAAGTCCGATTCAGAGCGATTTTGTAACTGTGACAGGTTTAGTATCGGATTCCCATCGCCCTTCCCCCATTGATTCAGCCGCCCAAACCACCCCAACTTCAGTGCATACCCAGCGCCTTCTCCCCCCATTTCTGTCGATCCAATTTATAATCTGACGTTTTTATACCCGCCCAACACGCCGTGCATTCGGTCTCCTCTCTCCAAACGCGGGATCAGAGTCCCCCCGTTGTGTGATTCTGCCACTGCACGGCGCCTGTGTTTCTCTCGCCGTCTCCGCTCTCTCGGCGGCGGCGTCAAGGCCGCGCTCTCCGCCGCTCGCGCGCTCTCTCCCCCGTGTTCGTGCGCCCTGCCCGATCGCCGCTTGTACTTGGATTGAGACACTCTCAGGGTTTGGAGAGAGGTCGGTTCGGTTCCACGTACTAGATTGTTGGGCGTCTATTTCGGCGGGTTTTATACTTTCCGGGGATCTTCAAGGCGATTCATGTCAAGGAAAGGCAGATTTTGCGGTTTAACTTTTCGAATTTTTATAATTTTGCACTATGCATACGGAGACTTCTGAAGTAATACTATTGAATATTGAGGGGTTTTGTGCACGGTGCGAAACTTATTATGTAGTTTTGTATATTTTGCTGTGCATTTTGAACTTTTTCCATGCTTGTCGCCAACGCACAGTGCACTTTTCTCTTTTCGCACGGTGCAAACCACAAAAAAGGCGTTTGCACTGTGCAAATTCTTCAGCAAAACCGCGGCGATGCAGTTGAAAAAAAGCTTACGTCGCGACGATATTTCCGATGCGCCGTGGTCAAACAAGGTGAAATGCACCGTGCAAAATTGGGCGTTTTTTGTGCACGGTGCGGAACGCCAAAAAATGCCCATGAATTTTATGAAAATACTAATATCAGTCTGTCGGGAAAATAATGAGCACTCTGTCGCATTGAAAATCGCATTGCTGAAGTGAAAAAAAAGTTTGATTTTACCGCGGCACAATTCATTTTCTCGGTGCCGATGCGATTTTCTATGTCAGAGTGCTCATTATTTTCCCGACAGACTGATATTAGTATTTTCATAAAGTGCATGGACATTTTATGGCGGTCCGCACCGTGCCCAAAAAAATGCTCATTTTGCACCGTGCATTTTACCTTTTTTGGTTTTTGCACGGTGCATCGGAAATGTCGCCGCGACGTGAGTTTTTTTCAACTGCATCGTCGCGGTTTTGCTGAAGAATTTGCACAGTGCAAACGGACTTTTTGTGGTTTGCACCGTGCGAAAGGAGAAAAAATGCACTGTGCGTTGGCGACAAGCGTGGGAATGGGTTCAAAATGCACTGTGCGAAAAGAGATGCACTGTGCGTTGGCGACAAGCATGGGAAAAAGTTCAAAATGCTTTGCAAAATAAAAATGTTTGATCTTTTAAAATTTCGCACCGTGCAATCGGATTTTTAGTGCAAAATAAGACTTGCACTGTGCAATGAAAGAAATTTTTCTTGATGCTCGAAATTTTTATGAAACTTGGGACAAATTAAAATCAGAGTTTTCCAGGACAAAAATTTTCAGCCCGCATTCGGCAGAAGGCTGCGGGATTTTTAGGTCGCCAATCTGAGCAAATAACGTTTTTAATGCACTTCAGTGCAAGTTTTTTTTTGTATAAACATTATGTGAAGTTAGTGCATGATGTCGAATTTTTTGATCGTTGAATTTTTTGAGCGAAAAACTCTTATTTTTCTGCGCAAAATTCACGAAAAAATCAGCAAAAACTTTTTTGTTCAGATTCTTGGCCTAAAAAAATCTCTGTGTTTTCTGCAAAATACGAGCTGAAAGTTTTGTGTATGTCCTGAAAGATTCTGTTTCTTTATTTCTCCCAAGTTTTTTAAAAATTTGGGCATCAAAAAAATTTGTTTCATTGCACAGTGCAGGGCTTATTTTGCACTAAAATTTCGGATGCACAGTGCGAAATTTTTAAAAAATCAAAATTTTTTCCGTAAATTTTCTATGAAAAAATCAGTTCACAAAAAGTTTTTTTTATTGTATCCTAGGCATTTTTAGGCATGCTTGAAAAAATTTAAAATATTTTTTTTCAAAAATCAAATTTTTTTAAAATTTTTTATAAGTTTCTTATGGCCCTCAAATTTCGAAAGTTTTTGCCCCCTCAGATGCTAGTAGAGGCTCCAGAATCTCTGCCCCATTGTTCTTCCATCAACATTCTCTCCATCCATTCAAGCCTCAATACTCTCTCCTGGTCTGCCGCCCTCTCCGTGGGCGCGCCGCTCTCTCGGCGAAGTCGTTTCGATTGAGTACGCGCGACAACAATGCGCACTTGTGACGTGTGATGTGGGTACCCGTCGTGGTGGAAAGTCGGAATTCGCGACGAATGTGTTTTTGGCGGCGGCGGTGTGGTGGTGGTGGTCGTGGGGGAAAAGAGGGGAGAGAGGAGACGAAGAAGACGGCTTCTCCATTCTCCCCTCGCAGTTCGCATGCAGCCGCCGCCTTCTAGCCGGGTCCACCTCGCGCGTTTATAGCACTTGAAGATCAGTCACGCTGAAGGCGCAAGCGGGGCGAAGAGGAGCGACAACGACGACACCACCGACGAGGTTCTGGAATCCCCACCAGCCCCCTTTCCATTTCGGGGTCGGTCCTCCGTCGCGCGTTTTGCTCGAGGATCGGGCGCCAAAAACGGGTATTTGGGATCTGATAGAGGGCTGGAATGCACCTTCCATCGGATCCGAATATACTCTGCAGTTGTTTTGGAATGTCAGTCTGTCGGGAAAATAATGAATTTACGGGTCTGCGAGCCGTGATAAATCTTCCAATTTGGGGCATTTCGGCCCAAAAATTCGAGTCATTTGTGCAAAGCAAATTCTGAAAATTGCAATGAATAAAATAAAAAAAAAAATTTTGGAAAATTTACCCAAATTCTACGTAAAAAGTTTACTTGAATATCGATACCACCGAAAGTGTCATCGACTATGTTAATTTGTTGCTGTGCCAAAACTTTGGCTCAAAATTTTCTTTTCAATTTGTAAAAAGTCCCTCCAGCGTACTCTATGCTACTTTATAAGTTGTCGGGAAAATAATGAGCACTCTGTCGCAGCGAAAATCGAGAAAATGAATTGCTTCGTGGTAAAATCGAATGGCTTTTCAACTTCAGCGATGCGATTTTCGATGCGACAGAGTGCTCATTATTTTCCCGACAGACTTATAAAGTGGCATATGGTACCCTGGAGGGACTTTTTACAAATTAAAAAGGAATTTTTGAGTCAAATTTTTGACGCTGCAACAAATTAACATAGTCGATGACACTTTGGGTAGTATTGATACTCAAGTGAATTTTTTGCGTAGATTTTGGGTACATTTTCAAAAAAAAAATTTTTTTTTTTTATTTTATTCATTGCAATTTTTAGAATTTGCTTTGCAGAAATGACTAGTATTTTTGGGCCGAAATTCCAAAATTTGAAGATTTTTGGGGGAAACGGCTAAATTTTTCGCTTTTTTTACTTTTTCCCTTCAAAAAATTAGTGATTTTTTTCAAATTTTCCTTCTGCAATTCACATGGAGTACTGTACTTCTTAGTACTCGAAAAAAATTTGCTGAAAAACCTTTATTTTTCGCATGATTTTCGTCGATTTTCCTCGAAAATTTTCGCTTTTCCCATGAAATTTTTCTGCAAGAGTGCGTCCGAACCGCAGAAATTTTGGGATTCCCAGGACAGTACGAGCCTCTTTCCGCGTCATTTGTCGAGTATTGTGCTGTCGCGGGGCGGTTGGCTCGACATTTTACAACCGATTTTGCCCGATTTTCGAGGATTCCCCCAATTTTTTGCCATAACCGATGAAATTGCTATAAATTTGGGATTTTCAGCAGATGGACAGCATTGTCACAGCATTGGGGACGAGCTTTCCATTGCCCGGATTGTCAGTGATGGATCAGCAGATCAAGGAGGAGAACGGAAGCGACTCCGGCAACGACTCCAAGACCGCCACGAAAGGCGGCCGCCTAAGGGCACCGAGGTGGAAGGATCTCAAAGAGTGGGTTTTAGTCTGGAAATAGATGCCTTAGGCTGCTTTTTTAACAAAAAAAATTTTGATTTTGTCGATTTTTTCATATTGAAAATCGGGTCCGAAAAAAGCGGCTTTTCGGGAAAATTTTTTTGTTTTTTTGCAATTTTTCGAAGGTTTCAAAGAAAAAATCGGTCGGTTTTTGTTCCCAAATTGTAGAGGGAGCTCTAAACTGGCATGAGGATTTGGAAAACTAGCCTGAGATTACGGTAAAATACGATTTTTTCGATTTTTTTCTCTTTTTATACCTAAAATCTCAAATTTTCGCCATTTTTGTATCGTAAAAGTTCTAAAATGGACGTAAAATATAATCAAATGAGTCTCCAAATATTCTTCGATTATATCCCGAGCATTTTCAGAGAACTGGAAAGCGGCGATCTGCGGCGCGAGCCGGTAACAGGCGAGGTGGCCAAGTATATCGACCGAATCTTCGACGTGCGCACGAATCAGCCGCTCTACTTCTTCTGCAAGCTGTGCAATCGAGTCTTTGTGCACAACAACAGCTCCTCGTCGAATCGGCGGCATCTGCGCGAGACGCACGGCCTGAAAATTTCGCGGTGTTTCGGCGACGGGCCCGGCAACGAATCCGGCCTCCAATTCGACCTGAATTCGACTGGTATGGAGTGCAGCGGAGAGGATGAGAATGGTAGGTTGCTGTAGACTTGTCTACACGTATTTTTTTAAAAAAATTTTGGGTTGATTTTGAATTTTTTTTTTTTTTTTTTTGCACGGTGCAGCCTCGAATTTGCACTAAAAATCACGTCGCACAGTGCGAAAAAAAATTCAAACTGAAAGCCCCAATAAACCTCCGTAAAACGACAAATTTGGGCTGGAAATACGCACACTTGACCCGTCTGACTTGAGGCGTTTGCGTGGGGAGAGAGAGAAGCGAAAAAGCTGTGGGAAACCCCCGTTTTGGCGGGATTTTTCCCCCTTTTTTTCGTGTTTTGCTTCTGTTTCAAGTGGTCTGTGGCTGTTTTTCGCGTTAAAAGGCCTTAAAATTGCCTTGAATTTGGCTTAAGAGGTTTACAGCCAGAGGGGTGGGATTTCTGAGGGATGATGAGTTGACCCGATTTTTTTTTTGAATTTTGTTATGCGATGGGTTTGAATGTCGCTGAATGTGAGCGGTAGACTTGATTCGTCGAGCCATATTTGTTTTTAGAAGTGATTTATGGAGGCTTGACGCGTTCTAAAAAAGTTTTGTTTTCGTGGCGGGACCCAAGTTTTCGGTTTAGAATTGATAAAAGTGATAAGTTTTAAGGGGAATGGCTTTTTTTAGGAGCCTAGATGTTGCTAATTTTTCATTTTTTTTTTATTTAAAGCGAATTTGGCAACTTTCAGGTTTTCGTGGCGGGACCCAATTTTTCGGTTTTGAATTGTAATAAGTGATACTTTTAAGCGGGTTGACTGTTTTTACAAGTCTACATGTTTCTACTCTCTCATTTTTTTAATTTAACGCGATTTTGGCCACTTTCAAGTTTTCGTGGTGGGACCCAAGTTTTGGGTTTAGAATTGATATAAGTGATAAGTTTAAGCGGGTTGACTGTTTTTACAAGTCTACATGTTCCTACTCTCTCATTTTTAAAAATTTAACGCGATTTGGCTACTTTCAGGTTTTCGTGGCGGGACCCAAAATTTGGTAAAAATTTTGGCTAGATGGCTTTATAAGCTTTTATTGAGTCTAAAAGACCTATTAAAGCATCGCATATCGGTATTCTTGACTATACATACCATTTCTGGGTCCCACCACGAAAATCCTGAAAATCAGGGAAATTCCTTAAAACGACTCAAAACGCTTTGAAATTGCATTCTAGACTGACGTAGAATATTTTCAGTGTGCTTGGACGCCCCCATCGTTCCCGACTGGTCGACACAAACCACATCCGGCGAGATTTTGAATCGATTCCTGGTCGAAGCCGAGCAACTGCACAAGCAAGAAGCGGAAAAGCAAAAAGAATACGAAATCACATTCCCCGAGGTCACATCGCGAGCCTCGCAGTCAATAACACCCCCACCAATCCAGGAAAAAGAGAAACCGAAGCCAAAAGAAATTTTAAAAATGCAGACCCTCAAAAACCGCCCGGTTCTGAAGCCAATCAGCATGATCAAACCGACGATTAAGGTAGGAGATTTTTGGAGATTGGTTGGAAATTTATTTTAGTCGATTTTTTGGATACTTTTTGAGGGGTTTTGAAGTTTTTTCGGAAATTTTGAAATTTGGCGGGAATTTCAAATTTTGATTTATTTTTTAAAGGAATAGCTGTATAAGGGATGAATTTAAATTTTTTGATTGTGTTTTTGTATTCTACGATCTTGTTTTGACATTTCGTTCACTTGGTATTGATTTTTTTTAATTTTTGTTTTTGGCGGGAAATTCAAATTTAATTTTTTTGAATGAGTATATGAAGGTTGAATTAACATTTTTTGTTCACATGGTAGTATTTTACGACCCTGTTTTGGCATTTCGTTCATTTGGTATTGATTTTTATAAATTTTAATTTTGGCGGGAAATTCAAATTTTAAATTTTTGAAAAGTCCGAAAATATTGTTTTCAAATTATATATAGAGGTCTTGGAACGTATTTTACAACTCACTTTTCTATTCTTTCCATTTTTTCAGCGCCGAAAACCCCGCCTTCAACTGCTCCGCGAACGCCTGCTGGCAGCTCGCGCCCGAAAAGAGAACGCGCTCGCACTCAAAGCGCTCGCCGAAGCGAACCGCATCAAAATGGAGACCATGCTGGCCGTGCACCGCGCCGGCTTCATTCGCGCCGTGGACGCGAACGGCCAAATGACGCTGAAGAAGGTGAGCCCCGCGCCCGAAGTGATCGCCGACTCGGACTACGACATGTCCATGGACGAGGGCAACTTCCGCGAAGTGCAGGACGTCCTGGAAGAAGATTGAAGAAGCATCAAAGATCCCAATGAGCTTAGCCACATGATGTAATTAGAGAATTGAAGCAGATTTTTAATTTATTTCACCGATTTTGGCCTTAATTTTTGAGGTGAATTTGGGGTATTGGACTAGTTTTGGAGCCTAGAGACGTTTAGAATCTATTTTCGGGCAATTTTGAGAGATTTTCAGAAAATTCAGGTTTTCGTGGTGGGACCCAAAATTTCGAAAAAAAAATTAGATTTTATGAATTGAAAAGGGTTTAGATGAATTAAAATTAATTAGAAGCTAATTTTAGACCATTTCCCGTTCTTTGGCATCGTTTTGGGTCCCACCACGAAAACCCTGAAAATCAGGGAAACTCCGTTAAAAGCTTCAAAACCCGTGTCAAATTTTAAAAGGTCCAATAGCTCAAATTGACTTAAAAAATCGTTCCTATTATCCTCCGGGCATTTTATTCCCAAAATTTTTCAAGAAATTTAATTTTTTGCTGCGAATTTTGTCTATTTAGAATGCAACTAGTATTTCTATCTTCTCATTTTTTTCAATTCGTTTGTTGTTTTTATACGCAATCCCATAATGTATGGTACCCACTCCGAATCCAAGATATACTTGCTCAGCCACAGACATATTACCAACAAAATGATCACAACATTTCTCTTTCATTTTTTAGGATCTATCACGTTTACTTTGTTTCAGTTTTTTTGAAGATAAAGTTGTTTGAAATTGATTTTGGATGGTTTTTTTAAAAAATTTTTTCGAAGTTTGAAAAAAATTTTTTGTTACAGTAAAAAATTTGGGATTGGTGATTCATTTTCGGCTATAAAATATTTTGAAAAAGTCATTTACAGACCTATCAAGTCAGCAATTTGGCCAAAAGCGCCATAAAAGGCCAAAAATTTTCAGCTGCACAGTGCAGTCCCTTTTTTGCACTAAAAATTGCATCGCACGGTGCGAGCTTTGGAAATCTTCATGTTACAGTATGAATTCAAGTCAGGAAGGCAAAAATAATTTATTTTCGTAAAGCAACAAGCCTCACAAAGAATACTACAGCAAATTTTTATCAAATCTCTGCTTTATATTGCAATAGAGCATCAATTTTTCGAAAACGCACGATGCATTTCTTTTTGCATCTGAATTTTTATTTTGCACAGTGCAAAATAAAAAAAAATTTTGAAAAGTGTATTGCTGCACGTCAATCACGGCTAAATTTAATTTACAATAGACGTTTTTTTCAACCACGCACTGTGCAGGGCGATTTTTAGGCTAAAAATTGGACTGCACAGTGCGAAAAATTAAAATCACCTTGTTACAGTAGGATTTTCATAAGTAATGTGGAAAAATTGGATTTGTCAGAGAGAATTGGGCTTGCTAAACAATAACAAATCAAAATCTCCCCAAGTTTTTGTCTTATATTCAAGTATATCATCAATTTCTTTTTACTGCACAGTGCAAAAAATCGAACTGGAACTACCTTATTTTTCGCCTATATTTTTTTAAAAATGAATAGTAAAATGACTCAGAGCGCCGTTACTTTACCTTGTTTGCGTTTTATTTACTACTGATTCATATTTCCGATAACTTTTTTTTCGATTTATGTTGTTTTAGGGGGTCATGCGGAAAGGTCACGAAAAACGTTAGACAAAATGGGATATAAGAGAGGAGACGCGCAAAATTTTTTTATATAGTGATCGTTTCATTCCACTTTAATCCGATTTTTGTTATATTTTTATTTCAACGCTCTATAATTGAAAAAAATAAAACGAGATTTTTTCAATTTTTTTTTGAAATTCAAAAAATGATTACTTCTAAAGTTAGGGCTTGATAAAATTAGGTGTGAAATTGATTTTTCAAGTCTTGTTTTCCATATTTTTGATGAGAATAATGAGTAATTTTGCTTTTTAATACACCTCATCATTAATATTTTTTTGTTGTTTTTGAAAAAAATGATCTTTGATTCATTGAAAAAAGTATTACAATGAGTAATTTTGACCACGAAAATAATGTATATAAACTCCCAAGGCCACTTTATAATCGTATTTTTGGACAGGCATCTTTTTAATTTTTCATAAAAAAATCGATTTTTTACAGGGCACTCTCGATGGATTTTCTCCAAATTTGGCATGTTACGTCTGTCTGTGCTATGCTTCAATTCCTGAAAATTTTAGCTCGCACTTTGCAGGGAGAGCCGAGATATTTAACGATCTTGCGAGAGAGTGCGCGAAATGGGGAGAGCGGTCAGAGAAAAGGCTTTTTTGGCTATATCTTTGTCAGTTTTGCGTGGGAAAACTTGATTTTTTGTGGAAACATTACAATTTATGATAGAAATAGATAGGTTTGAAAGTTTTTCATGCCAAAGCAGAAATAATAAAAAATTTTAGATCGGAAATTTCCAAAAAAAATCTTATTTTTTGAAATTTTTATATAAAATTTTGCTGTCACTTATGCCATATTGTAATGTATAGTTTCTCTGCAAAAAATTCCACTTTTTTCAGTCTCTTTTTACCCAGAAACTGCCGAGATATAAGCAAAAAAACAAAATTTTCTCTGACCGCTCTCTTCATTTTCCGCAGTCTCTACAAAGATTATTGAATATCTTGATTGCCTCTGCAAAAAATGAGCTAAAATTTTGAGGAATTGAAATCTGGTCTATGGCCAAATTGTATGGCAAATTTGAGAGAAATCTGTCGACCCAATTTTCAAAAAAATCACTTTTAAAATATCTCATTTTTTGATTTTTTTTCATTTTTTCCTCCCCGTTTTCTTCGATTTTCCCATTTGAAACCGGATTCCGAGTAACAATCACTCCGTCAACATCAATTCCTGTTAGTATCTTGATGGTTTATGACAATGTTTGTCTGTAAAAACGGCCCTTGCGCGGCGAGAAAACCGTCTTCAAACCCCCCATTCATTCCCTTCTTCTTCGACCAAGTTTTCACTGTTGTTGACTGCAGAGAGTGATGAAATTCGCCACGATCCTGCTGCTTTTGGGCTTGTTGGGCTGTGTGGCCGCGATTGGGATTCGGCCGACCCAGAAGATCTCCGTCTCCGGGAAGTTCATTTGCAAGGGAAAACCCGCGAAAGGAGTGGTAGGTTGAGAAGAAAATTGGGCGAAATTTAACAAATTCGACCAAAGATCGTACTATCAGGCTGTCGGGAAAATAATGAGCACAATCTCGCTGGGCCAATCGTGTCGCTGAAGTGAAAAGCAATTTGATTTTTTCACTAAAAACAGTGCATCTTGAACTTTTTCCCACGCTTGTCGCCAACGCACAGTGCATTTTGAACCCTTTCCCACCCTTGTCGCCAACGCACAGTGCATTTTTCTCTTTTCGCACAGTGCATTTGAACTTTTTCCCACGCTTGTCGCCAACGCACAGTGCATTTTGAACCCTTTCCCACGCTTGTCGCCAACGCACAGTGCATCTTTCTCTTTTCGCACAGTGCATTTTGAACTTTTTCCCACGCTTGTCGCCAACGCACAGTGCATTTCGAACATTTTCCCACGCTTGTCGCCAACGCACAGTGCATTTCGAACTTTCTCCCACGCTTGTCGCCAACGCACAGTGCATTCTTTTCTTTTCGCACAGTGCATTTCGAACATTTTCCCACGCTTGTCGCCAACGCACAGTGCATTTCGAACTTTTCGCACAGTGCATTTCGAACTTTCTCCCACGCTTGTCGCCAACGCACAGTGCATTTTTTTCTTTTCGCACAGTGCATTTCGAACATTTTCCCACGCTTGTCGCCAACGCACAGTGCATTTTGAACCCTTTCCCACGCTTGTCGCCAACGCACAGTGCATCTTTCTCTTTTCGCACAGTGCATTTTGAACTTTTTCCCACGCTTGTCGCCAACGCACAGTGCATTTCGAACATTTTCCCACGCTTGTCGCCAACGCACAGTGCATTTCGAACTTTCTCCCACGCTTGTCGCCAACGCACAGTGCATTCTTTTCTTTTCGCACAGTGCATTTCGAACATTTTCCCACGCTTGTCGCCAACGCACAGTGCATTTCGAACTTTTCGCACAGTGCATTTCGAACTTTCTCCCACGCTTGTCGCCAACGCACAGTGCATTTTTTTCTTTTCGCACAGTGCATTTCGAACATTTTCCCACGCTTGTCGCCAACGCACAGTGCATTTTGAACCCTTTCCCACGCTTGTCGCCAACGCACAGTGCATCTTTCTCTTTTCGCACAGTGCATTTTGAACTTTTTCCCACGCTTGTCGCCAACGCACAGTGCATTTCGAACATTTTCCCACTCTTGTCGCCAACGCACAGTGCATCTTTCTCTTTTCGCACAGTGCATTTTGAACTTTTTCCCACGCTTGTCGCCAGCGCACAGTGCATCTCTGTGCAAAGCCAAAGAAAAGTGAGTGCACGGTGCAAGAAGTCGCGGATTTTTGTGCACGGTGCGGACCGCGACAAATGTCCAGGCACTCTGTGAAATGCACGGTGCAAACCGCTCGTTTGCACCGTGCACTTTTAGTTTTTGCACTGTGCCCTCAAAACATCGCCGGATTTGCACTAAAAAATCGCACTGTGCAAATCAATTTTTTTCGATTTGCACTGTGCGAAAAGACAAAATGCACGGTGCGGCTGGAGTAAAAGGGGAAAGCGGTAAAATGCACAGTGCGCTGGCGGCAAAAAATGGGGAAAAAGGCAAAATACAGGAATTTTCGACCAAAAATTTTTCTGGCCAATTCGACCGGTCGTATTCACCAATTTGTCCGGTCACTTTTCCAACATTGATTGATAACATTTTTGACAAAAAATAATGATATGAGCTATGATTTTCGTATTTTAAAAATGTTTTTCGATCAATTTTTTATTTTATTTTTCAGAAAGTCAAGTTGTACGATCATGACACCTTCACCTTGGACGACTTGATCGGCGAGACCAAAAGCGATGCCTCCGGCGCTTTCCACATCTCCGGAAAGGCCCATGAAGTCACTCGAATCACCCCTAAACTCAATGTGTAAGTCAAAAAAAAATAAAAAAAAATTTTAATAAATTTTAAAATTTAATAAAAAAATTAAAAATAATAAAAAAATAAAAAAATGCAAAAAAAAAATAAAAAAAAATAAATAAAAAATGTAAAAAAAATTACATAAAAAAAATTTTTTTTAATAAATTTTTTTAGCTACCACAAATGCGGAAAGTTGATCCCAATTTGCGACAACAAGTTCTCCATCGAAATCCCAAAGCGCTACATCGACTCTGGAAGCACATTCGACGCCGGCACTCTGAATTTGGAAGGCAATTTTCCCGGGCAATCCACTGACTGCCTCAACTAATTTTTCTAATTTTTCTGGCATTTTTAAAAATTTTTTGCGTAATAAAAAATAATATTTTTGATTTTAAACTTTAGAAAAATTAACTTTTTATCTTTTTTTTTAATTTTGTTGCACAGTGCAGTTGATTTTTTGCACTAAAAATCGTTCTGCACTGTGCGAAAAAATAAAAACTTGTAAAATTACAGTAATTTTGAAGGGTTTTAATTAAAAAATAGTGTTTATTGATAAGAAATATGAATAATTAATCCAACAATATTAATTTTCTTATCTAATTTATGTCCCAAATTGTATTAGACCATCAATTTTTTTGACTGCACAGTGCAGTCGACTTTTTGCACTAAAAATCGCTCTGCACTGTGCGAAAAAATAAAATCACGAAATTACAGAAAGTTTTGAAGTAAATAAACTAGAAATATGTTGTTATAGGAAAGAAAGAAGACTAGTAAAGTTAAAAACATTAAAATTTTGATGAGATTTTTGATTGATATTGTGCAAAATCTCAAATGTTTTCCGATTGCACAGTGCAGAGAGAATTTTTCGCTAAAAAATCAATTTACAAACAAAAAACAGATCAATTCTTCACCGAACTACCGTACGTCTTTGGAGCGCGCGCTACACCTGCGATTTTCGCAATCTTGTGTTTATTGTTTTGATTTTCTCCAATTTTTTACATTGGTGATTAAAAATCAAGTTCAGCTGCGTAAACAGAATTTTGCGGTATAAAAGAGAGTTTTTTACAGATTGAAGCTTCTCATAACAAGGGCCGGACATTTCGAAAAAACGACCGACTCAGAATCTTTTGATATTTTGCATAGTTGTTGTACCATGACAGCTGAACGTCAGCACGAATTTTTAGTTTCAGAAATTACCGTATACGGGGGTTACGGTAGGTACAATTTTTACAAAGATTGGGTTCGTGTGTAAAAACCGCAAGGAGTAACAGCACAAAACTCCGCTGTTTTACGTTTTTGACCATGGGGAACATTTTCATAATTGACAACTTTGCCGTAGGATGTAGTCTTAGACTACTTTGAAAAATACCAAGGTACCATATTGAATGTAACTTTTTCGCAGAGAACTTGTCTCAACTTTTGAAACCTCATAAAAACACTTTGACATGTATGTAACAACATATCAAAAATGCGCGAAAATAAAAGGGGGGGTTTTGGAGTTACGGTACTTTGAATGTTGCCGGTACGGTATATCAAAAAATCATTTTTTTTTTAATCGGTGTAGAAGACCCGCAAAAATTGCCAAAATACGTTTTCGACCATGGCGAACATTTTTGTAATTGACACTTTTTTTGTAGGATGTAGTCTTCGCCTACTTCGAAAATGACCCACATACCATGTGTACTGTAACTCTTCGGCATTCTATTTGTCTCAACTTTTGAAATCTCTCAAAAATACGTTGACATGTATGGAACGACATATCAAAAATTTAGAAAAATAAAAGGGGGGGGTTTTGGAGTTATGGCACTTTTAACGTTGCCGGTACGGTATATCAAAATTTCATTTTTTCTAAAATTGGAGTAGGACAACCGCAAACCTTGCCAATATACGTTTTCAACCATGGAGAACATTTTTGTAATTGACAGTTTTGTTCTAGGATGCAGCCTTCGACCGGTTTGAGAAATGTCAAGATACCATGTTCAATATAACTTTCCGGCATTCAACTTGTCTCAACTTTTGAAACCTTTCAAAAACACCTTGACATATGTGTAACAACATATCAAAAATTTAGGAAAATAAAAGGGGGGGTTTTGGAGTTATGGCACCCTCACAAACTATTTTCGCTAGGAAATTCAAAAATTTTAGTCCTAAGCATACTGTAACACATCGTGCGCAGATAAGTGGTTACTGTAACAACAAGATCAGTGATTTCTTATTTTTTTTGTAACGATTACCACGGTTTAGAGTCATGTGTACCATACCACGGTGGAATCTATCAAAATCGGATGTCAGCATCACAGAAAAAGTTCGGTGTACTGTATGTCCAACGTTCAAAGTGCCATAACTCCAAAACCCCCCCTTTTATTTTCCTAAATTTTTGATATGTTGTTCCATACATATCAAGGTATTTTTGAGAGGTTTCAAAAGTTGAGACAAATAGAATGCCGAAGAGTTACAGTACACATGGTATGTGGGTCATTTTCGAAGTAGGCGAAGACCACATCCTACAAAAAAAGTGTCAATTACAAAAATGTTCGCCATGGTCGAAAACGTATTTTGGCAATCTTTGCGGGTCTTCTACACCGATTTAAAAAAAAATGATTTTTTGATATAGCGTACCGGCCACATTCAAAGTACCGTAACTCCAAAACCCCCCCTTTTATTTTCGCGCATTTTTGATATGTTGTTACATACTGTCACAACTTGAGTATGAGTCGTGATTGAGGGCCCGCTTGACTCGCCCGCTACACTAGTAGTCCCTACCTAACTCGGAGACGCAAACTAGAGGACTCAGGCAATAAACTGTTAACTCACGATATTGACTCCAGACGATATGACCGTAGACAAACAATAGACAAATAGAAATAGATTTTATTGGACACAACCAACCGGGCAATACAGACAAAACACAAATTAATTCTCCCATAATTGGCGATTTCTCTTCCTTTTATACCATTCTGTCGGTCATTCCGTGGGAATATGCAAATTCGCACGCGAAGTCGTGACACTCCGGGGGCCATCGTGGGCGGGTCGTCTCCAGTGAACTTGAATGGGAACTTGGGTCCATAATCGATCATGTGACCATTGACCAAGATTCTTCTCTTCAAATCTTGACAGGGAGAGGACAACATGCATCGTGGAGGGTGAACTTGACGACTGACCAAGGCGGGAGACACAGGGACGGCATCCGGAATCACAGAAACATCCGGAGCACTAAACTGTTCCTTGGAAACAACAGAACCTAACGGAGGAGGAACAATATTGGTGGGATGCAATTGGGTAAAAGGACGACGAGATCCCGCCTCAAAATAACCAAGACACGTTTTTACAATCTGATAACCAGCATCACTCCGATACTCGGTCACCGAAAATTGGAGCGCCATCATGGCATCAACTCCTAAAATAACATCAACATCTCTAGAGAACCTAGACCCTTTCAAACGCTCAAACAACGTATCATCTACAACATGAACAGTAAAACCAACTGGGTTATGGGAAACATCGGGAACAAAATTGAATCTCTGATTCTCATTTGGGCTAAAAACAACATTCAAACGACAAGATTTGACTCTAATAGATCCATGGAAACTTGACACAATCAAGTTTCGATCAAATACAAGGGGGATATCCGAGATCACAGCGGATTTCTTCATAAAATTGATGTCCGAACCGCAATCCACAAACAAATTCACTGGATTCGGGGGGACGGACTCAGAACACTGACAATTAACCGATATCATACAAAATTTGGTGCCGACCTGGCTAGGAAACACTGGGGGAGGCTCATTTTTGCTTTCGCTGCTTATGATCGTAAAGCACAAAGCATTGGACTCTGAGTCGCCGACTGGGACTGAATTACTAGGACTGATAACGGGAAGATCGCTTCGAGGAGGGCACACAAACGTCTGGTGATTCTTTCCACACTTTTCACAAGAAAACTTTCTCTCACAAGCTGAGGACAAATGATTTGGATCAAAACATCGAAAACATTTCCTTTGGACTTTCAACGACTGCATTCGAGCATCATACGATTTCACCTTGGAACAATCACTGGCCTTGTGATTTTCGGAACAAAAGGGACAACCAGAAGGAGTATCTACGCTACCATGAATACGAAAGTGATTCTTTGGAGTGACAACGGGATTGGAACGAGTCTGAGGTTTCACGTTCTCCTTTCCTGGCGCGAAAAACCATTTCTCTGTTTCAGCAGCCAACTCATACAAAAACTTGAGAAAATCATCTACATTGTTCAAGTCATAGCCTTTGACTGAACTTCTCAAAGTAGCATGACGTCTAGTCTCAGTGTCTAGCTTATAGAACAACTTCTTGACTACGTTTCTAGGAATTTCACTACGATTATGTCTGAATCGGGACTTGAATGTATCAATTTTATCTGCAAATTCGAGCAACGACCGAGAATCATCATGAATTGGAGGAGAAATGGCCAACAATTCGAATTCGAGGAAATCTTCAATTTTCGATTGATCAAGATATCTAGTGGTCAAAATGGTAATAACTGACTCATAATCTTCAAGGGTGCGAGCACGATTCTCAACAATATAGGCGGCAGAACCTCCTTTCAAAGCATGCTGAAGCCGAATCATTTTCTCATAGGCGGGGGCAGGAACTAGATGAATTCTTGGCTCAAAATAATCCCAAAATGGCTTGAAGGCAGTGAGATCACCACTAAACAAGGGAATTTCATCGAACTTCGGAAGTTTCTGATACGGAACACTACACGAATTCTCTGGAGGGGATGGACGAACAGGAAATGGACGATTCAGAAACGGATTTCTGGCGGGAGCCTGGGATGGATGGACAACTCGATTCTCATTTTCCACTAAAACTTGACCGGTTGGTCTATTCAAAAAACTGTTCAAGGCCGAGTTCTGCACGGGGTGAAACGATGGCTCATTCTGTACCTGGGGATCACGAGTTGATCGGAATGCACTCTGACGAGGAAACTGTGGTTCAGGAAGCTCATCGGGAGGAAAATGCTGGTCTGGAGTGAATGCACGGTGCATGACCGGGGACTGACGACGAGAAGTCGGGGAAATACAAGTGGTGAGACTACTAAATCTTTGCTCAGGAATTACTAACTTGAGTCTCCTAGAATGCAATAAACCAGATCGACAAAGATGACGAAACTTTCCCAAGTTACTGTCCAATTGATGATCCTCGAAATATTTGCTTTTGACGCCCTCCTCGAGTACAGAAGCCTCAATATCAAACGATGACAACTCTTCAATAATGTTGTCCCACTTGATCAATGCCTGATCAATTATATCAATACGATCTTGGAAATACTCCAAATCCCTAGGAAAATCTGAATAGTCCGCAATATTGGGATCGACGAAGTCATCACGGGGGGTCTCGAGTGCACTAATCGACTCAAGGATAGAAACAAGAGAAGGGAAATCTCGAATCAACTGATTGAGCCTGGTCGTAATATTCCGTCCAATTTGAGTGGAATTACGAACAACAGGAGACATTGTGGGAGAGACGCTCCGGCTATCAGATACGGAAAGATCAACTAGTCGGGAGGCGAGCTGGGGTGACGAAGAGAGATTACGCGTGGTGGTCGCCATGTCACAACTTGAGTATGAGTCGTGATTGAGGGCCCGCTTGACTCGCCCGCTACACTAGTAGTCCCTACCTAACTCGGAGACGCAAACTAGAGGACTCAGGCAATAAACTGTTAACTCACGATATTGACTCCAGACGATATGACCGTAGACAAACAATAGACAAATAGAAATAGATTTTATTGGACACAACCAACCGGGCAATACAGACAAAACACAAATTAATTCTCCCATAATTGGCGATTTCTCTTCCTTTTATACCATTCTGTCGGTCATTCCGTGGGAATATGCAAATTCGCACGCGAAGTCGTGACAATACATGTCAAAGTGTTTTTATGAGGTTTCAAAAGTTGAGACAAATAGAATGCCGAAGAGTTACAGTACACATGGTATGTGGGTCATTTTCGAAGTAGGCGAAGACTACATCCTACAAAAAAAGTGTCAATTACAAAAATGTTCGCCATGGTCGAAAACGTATTTTGGCAATTTTTGCGGGTCTTCTACACCGATTTTGAAAAAAATGATTTTTTGATATACCGTACCGGCCACATTCAAAGTACCGTAACTCCAAAACCCCCCCTTTTATTTTCGCGCATTTTTGATATGTTGTTACATACATGTCAAAGTGTTTTTATGAGGTTTCAAAAGTTGAGACAAGTTCTCTGCAAAAAAGTTACATTCAATATGGTACCTTGGTATTTTTCAAAGTAGTCTAAGACTACATCCTACGGCAAAGTTGTCAATTATGAAAATGTTCCCCATGGTCAAAAACGTAAAACGGCGAGGTTTTGTGCCTTTACTCTTTGCGGTTTTTACACACGAACCCAATCTTTGTAAAAATTGTACCTACCGTAACCCCCGTATACGGTAATTTCTGAAACTAAAAATTCGAGCTGACGTTCAGCTATCATGGTACAACAACTATGCAAAATATCAAAAGATTCTGGGTCGGTCGTTTTTTCGAAATGTCCGGGCCATCCTTCGAGTTGCAAAAAACTCTCTTATAAAAGAAACCTTTCTTCAGGTTTCTATTTACATTCAGTTTATGAAAATGCAAGCAATTTGTGTGTTTGGTCTACTGTTCTTGGCTGCCGTCTATGGGATCAGTGTGCGGCCTGATCAGAAAATCGCGGTAAAAGGCCGGCTGAAGTGCGATGGAAAGCCGGCGGAGGGAATTGTAAGTGGTTTTGAGATGTGCAAAATGAAGATAAAAGATCAAAAAAAATTTTTTTTTGTAAGTACAGGGTATACCAATTTGGTAGCCCGATTTGAATTGGCTATAACTTCTTTAATTTTGGGCCAAATTTTAAAACTCTTTTTTCCCTGAATCCTCAGACATCCACATTTTGTTTAACACCAAATATGTGGCAGGAGTACAGAAATCTCGCCATATTCGTCGTAAAGAACAAAAGACCTCAAAAAATGCCGAAAATCAGTCGTATCTTGTGAACGGTACAGATAGTTGTGCCAAGCCTAGGTTCATAAGGTTTAGAATTTTGTGTAGAATAGTTTGGAATCAAAAAACCCAAAGCAAATCCGCTCCTAAGGAGTGAAACCCGGAGGGCACAGATATGAAAATTTTGAAAATCCGCAAAGTCGGGGAAAAGGGTTGGCCCTAAACAAAGATGAAATTTAATCTAAGTTTCGCAGTATAAGTTTTTTTGGTCCAACATGTTGCAACAAAACATTCCATTTTTAGGGCCGGCAATTTTATAACAACCGAAAACAGTGAAAGAAAGTATTAGTTTTTCGTTGTTTGTTACTTTTTACTGTAGTTTACTAAAAAGGTATGTTATATTTGGTATTAAACAAAATGGGGATGTCTGTGAGGATTCAAGGAAAAAAAGAATCTTAAAATTTGGCCCAAAATTAATGAAGTTATAGTCAATTCAAATCGGGCCACCAAATTGGTACACCCTGTAAAAAAACACGACCCATCTAACCAGTGAAGTGACCAATTTCACCGGTTTTATGACTTATTGAGTCCGTAAAATGACCAATATGGCCCGTCATGTTGGCCAATTTGACCTGACATTTGTTCGACTAGAGTCAAAATTTTTCAACTCAACAAATAACACGACCAATTTGACCGGTAAGGATGCCCATTTTGACCCGCAAAGTGACCAAAGTGACCGGCCCAAAGAAATTTTTTCTGTTATTTTTTTTTTGATAAAAAGAATTTAAGAGAATAAAGTTCCGTATTTTACAACACCTCTAATTGCCCGATATCCTTCAGAAAGTCAAGTTATACGACCATGACACCTTCACCTTGGACGATTTGATCGGCGAGACCAAAACCGGCAAGGACGGAGCTTTTGAGATCAGCGGCGATGCCCACGAAATCACTAACATCACGCCGAAAATCAATGTGTAAGTTTAGGTTTTCATTTTACAAAATTTTTTTTAGTTTTTATTTTTATTTTAAATTTTTTTCAGATACCACAAATGTGACAAAGTGATCCCAATTTGCGACATCAAGTTCTCCATCGAAGTCCCAAAGAAGTACATTGAGAAGGGAGAGGCTTTCGATGCCGGAGAATTGAATTTGGAGGGCAAATTTGAGGGCCAAAGCACCGATTGTCTCAATTAATTTTTTTATCTTTTTTTTTATTTTTTAAATCTTATTTTTGATATACAATGAAAAAAAATAAATTTTACTTTGGCAAAAAAATACAAAAAAATCGCCCATTTATTCTCAATAAACACTACTTTTTACTTTAATCCATGCAAAAATACAACAGGGTGGGGCATCTTTGTGGCCCGATTTGAATTGGCTATAACTTCTTCAGTTCTTGGCCAAATTTTAAAATTCTTTTTTTTCCTGAATCCTCACACAACCCCATTTTGTCTGACACCAAATATGTTGTACATAGTAAGTGTCATCTATAGTTATTGGATTTATTCTTGGAGTTCATTTTGTCGGTCGTTTTTCGGTTGTTTTTTCGGTCTTTCCCGGTGTGTCCGGAAATGGAGTACGGTGCGGAAGAAAAAGCTTGGTCTGTGGTTTGGTATGGCAAGTACGGTTCGGCGATAAATGTGCAGACACTGTGCAGACACATTTTTAGTATAAAAAATCAACTGCACAGTGCTGTGGAAAAAATTCTGTTTTGAAAATTTGAGTCAAAATAAAAAAAAAAAAATAAAAATAAAACATGTTGTTGTGATGACTCATTGTCGCCAATGAAATTTTTTTAAATTAAAAAATTTTTTTTCGCACTGTGCAGACACATTTTTAGTGTAAAAAATCGACTGCACAGTGCTTTGAAACAGAAATTTTTAATTTTGAAATTTTTTGCCAAAATTAAAAAATGTTGTTGTGATGACTCACAGTAGCCAATGAAACTAAAAAACACTTAAAAATTCCCTTGTCATTTCCGGATTCCCCTGGCATTAACCAAAAGTTAATGTTACGTCAAGTCACAGTGTAAAGTAAAGAAATTTCATTTCTTCGAGTTGCCTTAAACTTTTTTTTATTTTTTTTCCATTTTTGAGCGATCATCTCTCCGACAATTCCGTTGCCTTGATTGATTGACAAACAAACAAAGAGAGAGAGAGAGAAAACAATTCTCAGCGACGGTTTCCCGCTGATTTTGTATAAAGGGAGCGTTGACTGATATCGAATATGATTCCTGTTTCGTTACTTTTCATTTTCTTTTAGTTTTTTCACTGTTTAGAAGAGGGGAAAAACTGATTTTGACGGCGATTTATGAAATTGTGAAGGTGGAGTTCAGCGAATAAAACTTTTTTTATTACTTTTTTTCTTTGGTTTTCGGCTTTTGATCAAGGTTATTCGTGATATTGCGCAAAGCAACAACATTTTTAAGGTGTTTTTGACTGTGAAAATGAAAATTATTAGGCTGTCGGGAAAATAATGAGTTCAATGTCGCAAAAGTGAAAAGCAATTTGTTTTTGCCGTGAAAAATTCCATTTTCTCGGCGGCGATGCGATTTCCGATGCGACAAAATGCTCATTATTTTCCCGACAGGCTGAAATCTGCCTGTCGGGAAAATAATGTGGATTTGTCGCGCTTTCGAGTCGCTTTCTTTCGTAGATTTTCTCCACAGACTGATAAAAAAATGTTTGCTTTTCTCTTGCACTGTGCAACAGTAGCCGAATTTTTGTCTAACAGGGGAGTACTCCAAGCACGATGCTCAGATTTTCTTTAAATTTTGCACACACGTCGGTTATGGACTGAATATCAATTCCTGAAAGTTTTAGCTCGCGCTTTGCGGGCGCCGCCGAGATATCGAACGAAAAAGCACGCGGAACGTGGAGAGCGGTCAGGGAGAAAACACCTTTTTGGCCATAACTTTGGCAGTTTCGGGTGGAAAAATTTGATTTTTTGTAGAAACATTATCCTTTACGGTTGAGATAGGCATGAAACTTTTCGAGCCGAAATTCGGCAAAAAGTCCTAAATTTTGGCCGACTTTTGATCTAAAAATCTCGGTTGTTTCTGCAAAGCGCGAGCTAGGATTCTCGCATATATTTTAGAAAAAATTATTCTAAATTTGTGCCAAGTTTCATCAAAATGTGAGCGTCGCACTTGGAGTACTTCCCCTGCAAGTTGCAACGTGTTGGCAAACTCCTTCCCTTTTTTTCAACGTCTGCTCTTTCAAAAATCCCGAAAAAATCCGGCATTTCTAGGGGATTTTCAATCGAAAGACACTAGTTTTTGGGGTAGAAATGCCTCTACTTCAGAAGCTCGTAACGACCTCAGTTTGCACTTAAAAACTTTGTTATTTCATAGACAAAAGTTAATGTCGTGAAAAGTACATATTCCAAAAACGAAGTCTCTGCGCCGCCTCCGCCGGAATTTACACCCTCCGGCTTTCCTTCACGTTTCTTAAAAGACCCTGTGATGTGTGTGCAAAATTTCAACAAAATATCGCTCTTTGGTGATGTATAAACCTTTGTAATCTTGTTTATGTATGTATATACATACGAACTTTCAAAACTCAGACCATTGAAGCTTAGTGTTTTTGCGAGTAAACAGTGACTCAGAACTGACTGGATTTCCTTTTTTTAGGGGGCTTATTCAACTTTTTTTTGAAAGCTCTTTTTAATAATCCCTGATGACCAAAAGCCGCGTAACTTTTATTTGAGGTAGCTAGTAGTAGTAGACAGTCTAAAATTGCTAGGTTTCTGCTAGTAGTAGACGGTTTAAAATTGCTAGAAAACGGTTAGCTTTACTTTTCAACTATCATAGACCACTTGACAGACTTAACAGGTCGATTAAATGACTTCAAACAAATCGGTATAGGTTTGTTTTACATCTTGCATTTGCTACAAGTAGTCAAAGTTGTTTCTTGCCGGAAATCAATCACTAATCGGGAGTTTTTTCAAAACCAATGTTTACCTCATGTACAAGGTCGGAGATGGCTCGTGGGGCCACTGTGTCTATAAAGTACGGTAGATCCGAATGTAATACCATTTCCAATATTACAGAGAACACGAGCAATGGTATTAGGAGCAGGTTGGTTCAAAACCGGACCAAAAACTCGCAAAATTTCCAAGTGGACCAAAAACCTGGGACACCCAGCATTTTAGTAAAAAAATCGCCATAACGCCAGAGTACTGAAGTCAAATGGGATGAAACTTTGCATAGCTTATTCTTAAAGGCTTATTAACACTTGTGTAAAATTTCATGGCATTTGAGAAAAAACCCCCCGAGATATGAAAGAAACATTATTTTCCCGACAAACTGCTAGTATCTGCCACCGAAATTATGTCCGATTGTTGCCCTGCGTATTTTACAAATATTTTTTTTTCATTTTTTTTAAATAAATTGCAATTTTCAGAATGAGGACCCTTCTTGTCGCCGTGACTTTCTGCTCTTTGATTTTGATCACCTCCCAGATCAGTCTGCGGCCATCGCAATCCATTTCCGTGAGTGGAAAGCTGATCTGCAAAGGAAAACCTGCTGCTGGAGTTGTAAGTTGAAGCTTATATTCGTCTGTCGGGAAAACAATGTGGCTTTGTTGGCCTGTCGGGAAAATAATGTGGATTTACCGGCCGGTCGGGAAAATAATGTGGATTTATCGGCCTGTCGAGAAAATAATGTGGATATATCAGACTGTCGGGAAAATAATATGGCTTTACCGGCCTGTCGGGAAAATAATGTGGATTTACCGGCCTGTCGGGAAAATAATGTGGATTTACCGGCCTGTCGGGAAAATAATGTGGATTTATTGGCCTGTCGAGAAAATAATGTGGATTTATCAGACTGTCGGGAAAATAATGTGGATTTGTCGCTGTCGAGCACCAAATCTCCATTTGCATCTAGCCAAAGCGATGATAGGCGATTTTATGGCCGGAAGGACTCGTATTTTAGCAATACCAATTTTTTTGGTCAAATTGGTGATTTTTCGTCGCGAAAATAAAAAAAATCCGTGCAGGGGCCAAAATTATAGCGAAAAAGTACCTCTCTAACGGCCGACTCTCCTCATTTTGCGTGATCTCTCTAAGAAGCTTTATTTCGGCCCTATCATTGGGAATTTTGGCCAGAAAAAATTTTTTTTTTGCAGAAGTCTAATGGCTCTGAATTTAGAGCGCAATGCCAATTTTTGGGTTAAAAAAAAATTATTTTTCAAAAATTGAAACAAAAACTTTTTTTTGACTTTGCTTTTTCAAAAATCTTTAAAAAATGATTTTCCCGTTTTTTACAGCGAGTAAAACTCTACGACCATGACACCTTTACCATGGACGACTTGATTGCCAAGGGCAAGACCGGCGCCGACGGAACCTTCCATTTGAGTGGGACTGCCAATGAAATCACCAGAATCACCCCCAAACTCAATGTGTAAGTAATTTTACTGAACATAAATAAAAAAAATAAAAAAAAAACTATCAAAAATACAAAATTCGAGACATTTTTATGTAATAATTTTATACGTTTTAGCTACCACAAATGCGGAAAGTTGATCCCAATCTGCGACATCAAGTTCTCGATTGGAATCCCGAAGAGCGCCATCACGCGCGGCTCCACGGCGGCGCATGAGCACGACGTGGGCACCTTCAATTTGGAGAACAAATTCCCCGGACAAGGGACTGACTGCCTCAACTGAAATCTCCGAAATTTGTAAAATTTGTAATCAATTTTTTGTTCCAATAAACACCTCAATTTTTGAAATTTTTTGTTTTTTTAATTAGTCTGTCGGGAAAATAATGAGGACTATGTCATTTCGCCAATAGTGTTGAAGTAAAAAGCAATTTGACTTTTGTCACGAGGTCAGTGAGAGCACGTGGGTCCCTGTTCTAGTTGCTACTTCTGATCCCAAGCCCGAACAATACTATACAAACAACGACGACAAACGACTACACAAACTATGAAAAACGACTAACTATACTCAGGAAACAACTTCACAAATGAACTCACAATACTTGACTCCACCAACACAAGAGCTGACCATGATAAAAAAATGTTTGCTTTTCTCTTGCACTGTGCAACAGTAGCCGAATTTTTGTCTAACAGGGGAGTACTCCAAGCACGATGCTCAGATTTTCTTTAAATTTTGCACACACGTCGGTTATGGACTGAATATCAATTCCTGAAAGTTTTAGCTCGCGCTTTGCGGGCGCCGCCGAGATATCGAACGAAAAAGCACGCGGAACGTGGAGAGCGGTCAGGGAGAAAACACCTTTTTGGCCATAACTTTGGCAGTTTCGGGTGGAAAAATTTGATTTTTTGTAGAAACATTATCCTTTACGGTTGAGATAGGCATGAAACTTTTCGAGCCTAAATTCGGCAAAAAGTCCTAAATTTTCGCCGACTTTCGATCTAAAAATCTCGGTTGTTTCTGCAAAGCGCGAGCTAGGATTCTCGCATATATTTTAGAAAAAATTATTCTAAATTTGTGCCAAGTTTCATCAAAATGTGAGCGTCGCACTTGGAGTACTTCCCCTGCAAGTTGCAACGTGTTGGCAAACTCCTTCCCTTTTTTCAACGTCTGCTCTTTCAAAAACCCCGAAAAACTCCGGCATTTCTTGGGGATTTTCAATCGAAAGACACTAGTTTCCTCAACTGAAATCTCCGAAATTTGTAAAATTTGTAATCAATTTTTTGTTCCAATAAACACCTCAATTTTTGAAATTTTTTGTTTTTTTAATTAGTCTGTCGGGAAAATAATGAGGACTATGTCATTTCGCCAATAGTGTTGAAGTAAAAAGCAATTTGACTTTTGTCACGAGGTCAGTGAGAGCACGTGGGTCCCTGTTCTAGTTGCTACTTCTGATCCCAAGCCCGAACAATGCTATACAAACAACGACGACAAACGACTACACAAACTATGAAAAACGACTAACTATACTCAGGAAACAACTTCACAAATGAACTCACAATACTTGACTCCACCAACACAAGAGCTGACCATAGACAAATCAATAATAGACAATTTTAAAATACGACGGTTTATTGCACACAACACAACATACAACCGGGAAAAGACAGAAACAAAATAATAGTACTTGATTGGACGATTTCTCTTCCGTTTATACCAATTTGTCGGTCATTCCGTGGTCATTCTTTTGGCAAACCGAAAAAAAATCATTCTTGAAATATCAAAAAAAAAATCAATAAAAAATATGCGTCACTCCAGCGAACGGACTAGAACGTTTTTATCATCATTCTGCCCAGCGTCGCGTTTAATTTTTTTCATTAGCGACATGCACTTTTTGGCAATCTCGACTTCGGCGAAAAAGTTTTACGGACTAACATTGACATTCGGCGTTTTAACCAAGAGTTTTTTTATTGCAAACAACTTGCAGAGGCTACATACGTGGAACACATATTTTTTCCTCAAGCCGTCATTCCCTTCATACGTCGGGACTGCTCCATGTAATTACGCATTTCTCTTACGGAGTAAATAAATGCCACTCCTGTTATTTAAAACTTGATTTTCATAATCATAATTTCCATTAACTGCCAAAATGCACGCTATCAAAAACGTGCTTGATATTGAAAGCCCTTGTTCAAGAGGGGAATAACATATTTTTTGATTATACCTCTTCCTCCATTAATTGTAAACAGCCATTTTTTTGGAAAGAACTTCGAATTCACAAGGGAATGGACTTTATGTGTAAATCGATTTTGGCTTGGGACCTAGTCAGATCGAAAGGTGTATGGTAGTCGATTATTCACTTGGGGGGAAATCTCTGCGCGGGGCTTCAAAGTCGAGAAAATCGGCTTCAAAGTTTGGAAATCAAAGGATAGGGATCCCGGAAAAGGAGCCATAAAAAGTGTGAAGCAGTGGCCGAGTGGTCAGTGCGGTCGCTTTTTGCGCAAAAGGTCGCAAGTTCGAATCTGCTTCCATTCATAACTTTTTTAGACAAAAACTTCTGTTAATTTTTTTCCGCTGAGCTCGATTATCGATGCAAGAAGTGTATTTTAAACGGAACCTTTCCATTTTCAGCGGCTTTGCACCTTCCCTTTACAGTTTTAGAGCGAAGGGCACACCGTCAACCTGGTGTATTCAAAAACAACTTTCCATTATGTTAACTTTTTTATCTATACCCCTTTTTTTAAATGTACTACCGGATTAGCACGAACAAAGAAAATGTAAAAACGATAAATGATGATTTGAGCTTGGAAAGACTCGAACCTGCAACCTTTTGCGCAAAAAGCGAGCGCACTGACCACTCGGCCACTGCTTCACACTTTTTATCGTTCGTTTTCCGGGATCCCTATCCTTTGATTTTCGTCCAAACTTTGAAGCCGATTTTCTCGACTTTGAAGCCCCGCGCAGAGATTTCCCCCCAAGTGAATAATCGACTACCATATACCTTTCGATATGACTAGGTCCCAAGCCAAAATCGATTTACACATAAAGTCCATTCCCTTGTCAGTTGTTTATGTGGCTCTTATAAAGAGCTTTTTTGAGGAAAGAAGGATTTTGAATAGAGGAAAAATTGCCGAATGAAAACCAATTTTCGGTTCAGCGATGCTTTGTGTTGCCTCCATTTGCTGTTTCGTGCATGAGGGAGGCTATGAGAAGGCTTACAAGGGAAGTCACTTTTTTCGCAGATCAATCCATACTGGTGACCTAGAAGGCCTCAGGCTGTGTAAGAAGAATCTGGCGTCCAAAAGTGTTTACGGGCCCTGTGGGCAGAGTTATGACTCATCAAAGTTCGCGCAAAAAAGGTTCCGAAAAGACCCTCCAAAAAAACGGGATGGGAGAAGCGAGCTTCGGTGGCAGAATGGTTCGCAGATTTTTCTTTTGTCCGGAAGGGCCAGGGTTCGATTCCTCTTCCCGGCAATAACCAAAAATAATGTTGTAAGAGTAGCGTAAGTTACACAAAAAATTGTTTTGAAATAGTTTTTGAAAAATGTTATTATCCTGTCGTTAAAATTTGGGGAAGTCGTTGTGAGCTTGGACACAGTGAGGGATGCGAGGGCATTTTTCCACCGAGGATCGCATTCAATTTCTGGAATAATGCGGCGATTACGGTGGATCAAGGCGCCGTAGCATTGGAGAAAACTGCGGGAACTTTGGCGTAAAGGTAGGACGGGGATTCTCAATATGTATATCTCTGATGTTTTAGAAGACGCCCTTGGTGATCGTGATATCACGCTGAAGCATTTGAGTCAAACGCTTGCTGTCTGGGCAGATGATAAATTTAGTGACGATATGAACAAAATCGTCATTTTCTTAACGACAGGATAATAATATTTTTCAAAAAATATTTTAAAATATTTTTTTTGTAACTTAGGCTACTCTTACAATCTTATTTTTATTTATTGCCGGGAAGAGGAATCGAACCCTGTCCTTCCAGACAAAAGAAAAACCTGCGAACCATTCTGCCACCGAAGCTCACTTCTCCAGTCCCGTTTTTTTGGAGGGTCTTCTCGGAACCTTTTTTGCGCGAACTTTGATGAGTCATAACTCTGCCCACAGGGCCCGTAAACACTTTTGGACGCCAGATTCTTCTTACACAGCCTGAGGCCTTCACAGTCCACTAGGTCACCAGTATGGATCGATCTGCGAAAAAAGTGACTTCTCTTGTTAGTTAGAAGAAATAGCAAGATTGATTAAGTTCAAGAGTAGTTTCAGGGTCAAGAAAACTAAGGTTAGTAGTACCAAAAGTTATCTCTATTATCTCTACCAAACGTCATCCCTATCGAAACCCCCGAAAAATATTTTCTTGGTGATTTTCAACCGAAAAACTGAAATTTCTCGGTCATTTTCAATCGAAAAACCCTGGTTTTCGCAGAGAGCCCTTTTTCAAAAGTTTGTAGCGACCTCAGTTTGCACTTAAAAATCTTGCTATTTCGTAGGCAAAAAATAATGTCGCTTAAAATTACATGTTCCAAAAACGAACTCTGCGCCGCCTCCGCCGAAAGTTACAGCCTCCTACTTCGTTTCTTGAAAGACCCTGTATATCATCATCGTTCGGTTTATGCAAATTTTTAGTAACTGCTCACGGAATCGTGACACTACTGGCCTCCCCATGCATCAAATGACATCCCGAAGTATAAAAGTATCACTTAAAAAACACACTTTCTACTCTGGCCTAACAGATAAACAACGGTTGTGTCTCAATCTTTGTCACTTTCATGTCAAAACTGGCAGATTCTGAGCCCTGTTGGTTCGAGAAAACCCGCAGTAATCAGCAATTAGGAACTCCCGTTCTCCGAATTATCCCCCGCTATCTCGCAAGTAAGGGGCCGGTAATTACCCTGAATACATAGGCTCGAAAATTATGATTGTATGTAATTGGTCCTCTAGATGTACGAAGGGGTTGAGCCTCCAGGTGCTTGCAAAAAATGGTGACTTTTCCCTTTCCTTTTACGGTATGGATAATGAGGTAGCGGCTCCGAGGAAAAGACCGTGTATCGGCTGGGGAATTGTAACTTTTTTCGTGTAGAAAGCCATGTCGCGCGGCTTTGAGGATGCGGGAAAACTGCAACTCGCGTTAGCGACACGCATAAGAAAAAGCTGTGCGTAGTGTGTAAAACTCTCATGATTTTGAAAAGTTACTATGCGAAAGAGAACAAATGTCCATGCACTTTATGAAAATACTAATATCAGTCTGTCGGGAAAATAATGTGGATTCGTCGCACCTTGTAATCATCGCCTATGTGATTTGGCGATAAGACATTTTGCTGCGACAAATTCATATTATTTTCCCGACAGACTGAGACTAGTATTTTCATAAAGTGCATGGACAGTTGCTCTCTTTCCATAGTAAATTTTCAAATCATTAGAATTTTACTCACTCTATTTGTATTTGTTCCCAAGTTCCCCAAAAGCCCACTCGCCTATAAAATTTACAAGGGAAGTAACCCAAGTGCGACGCTCAAATTTTCTTTACATTTTGCACACAGGTCGGGAATGAACTAAATATCAATTCTTGAAAGTTTTAGCCCGCGCTTTACAAGCGCTGCCGAGATATTGAACCATTTTTGCTGCCGAGAGAGTACTCTAAACGCGGAGAGCGGTAAAAGAAAAAACCATTTTTTAGCCATAACTTCGCTAGTTTCGGGAGGAAAAAATAGATTTTTTGTGGAAACATTAACGAAATTTGGCAAAAAGTCTTAAATTTTCGCCGACTTTAGATCTAAAAACCTCGGTTGTTTCTGCAAAGCGTGAGCTAGGATTCTCGCATATGTCTTAGAAAAAATTATTCAAATCTGTGCCAAGTTTCATCAAATCTGAGCGTCGCACTTGGGGCACTTCCCCTGTAAAAGTTCTAGGATTCGAACACTAATCCGATTAAATTTCGGAATCAAAACAAATAAAAAGATGCTTGTCTACACGACCTATTTTTTCGCCTAAAATATATCTACACATATCCAAGTGCAACCCAATTTTTTCTACAGAAAAATTCTATATTTGAATAATTACGCTCTTCCTCCTGTCTAGCCATGTTCATTTCGTAAACTAAACTGGACTGTTTGACCGTTTTTAATGTAAATTGTATAAACAATTGCAAATTGAATTGTTTTATCAGTTTATCGCATTAAAAAGTAAATAATTTTGCTAAAAATTTTTGGTAACTTAATTTCGCCGCAATTACCACTTCTGCATTTGCCCTATAAACACAGACTGTCATGTGGGTTTGACAGATGTGATGTTATAGTATTCTCATGGAATTGGATTGATTCGTTTGATTGGTAAATTTAACCGCTGTGCAGAAAATCCAAGGTTTTTTAGAAAAAACCGTATCTCTCATACGGTTTGTTCATCGGAAACAGTTTAAAAACGAGACCCGTATTAGTATGTAACTACCTAAAATTAGAAATAATTGACAGTTATAGCACTAATCAGTGGCTCCAACGAGCCGACTCCTATATTTTTTCGATTGTTTTATGCCTTAGGACACACATAAATCAGTCTGTCGAGAAAATAATGAACACAATGTCGCTGCGCCAATCACATCGCTGAAGTGAAAAGGAATTGAATTTTCTCGGCGTCGATGCGATTTTCGATGCGACAGAGCGCTCATTATTTTCCCGACAGATAATACAAATAACCATACACGTGGAAAATGCACTGTATTACTGTAGTTGCATTATTCTTTAGTGTTTCGTAAGTTTAGGAAGGGTGTTAATTAACTTTTTCGTCAAATGTCGTTGGAGGTTTGAGTATTACTGTCACCATCCAACAGTGGTAATTAACTTCTAGATTTCGTTAAGAATAAATTGTCATGTTGTCCGTGGAATGTATTTTCCCCAAGTTATTTTCGTCTCATTTGTCATTGTAGATTGCTTGGAGGACTTTACATTTTTTTCTTTTTTTTGCGATTATTCTCTTATGAAAAAATTGGCGCTACGACTTTTGGGTCAACGACAACTCGTGTCAACGAAACTTTGGGTCACATCGATTCGTTGTTGTATGCATGGCTGACTGGCTGACAAAATTTTCTTTCCACCTCTATCTCGGGAACCGTTGGGCCTAGAACCTCCAAATTCGGCATAGAAACATTATGGGGCAATCTAACATCACACCCAAAAAATCATATCAATTGATGCACTTTCAGTGCACTTTTTATGCAAACGGCAAAAACGTGATGACAAAATTTTCTTTCCACCGCTTGTAAATCATAAGCCAGAGGGCGCTATGGCATGATTGTGGTGTCGTTGTGATCGCGAAGAAGTCCTCTTTCGATCCGTGGCACAATTTTGCAGGACCTTTCGTTTGTTCGCCCTTGGGCGTCTGCCCATCGTTGCCTTGTCCGTTTTCTGCCAAATTCGTGGCCGAGAAGCTCGCAGAAGGCCCAAGGAAATGAAACTGCCGTTAAAAAATCTGCTATTTATGTTTGCAACATTGTTTACACCGGCAGTAAAATTAGATTCAATTTAAGTGTAAAATGTGCACTTCCAGGGTTCGCGAAACCAGAAAATCGCTTATGTACAGAATGGAAAAGTCCAAATAACATGCGTTTACTAGACATATGGCGCATTTTAGGTATTATACGACAGTCTGTGTTGAAATCTACTACCTTATCTTACCCCCTTCTGGTCTATGTCGTCTTTAGTAACGCAGGTTGTTGCATTATATGACGGGGAGGAATTGACATTACTTAAGCTTGACATATTGGAACTTTTGACTTCCAGACTACCTTAATACATTGACTTTGTCCTGCCTTTAACGTTTTTGGCACGACAAGTTGCTTGCGCGGGAAGCTTAGGGTTGCAAATTTTGCACATGGGACATGCGGAATCTTTCTTCTGCTCAAACCTAAACGCGACATCAGAGACTAAAATTGTCACTATTTTTTAAGGCTGTAGTATCACAGAAAACATATCAGCAAAAAAAGTTACTTGAATTGCCTGCAGCGTTCCTATAATAACGTAATTTTCTGGTAACGAGAACCCTGGAAGTGCACACATGCAACACGCTTAAATTAAATGTAATTCTACTGCCGGAGTAAACAATGTTGCAACCATAAATACCAGATTTAATAAGGGCAGTTTCGTCTCCTTAGGCCTTCTGCAAGCTTTTCTGGCCAAGAGTTTAGCTGAAAACGGACAAGGCGACGATAAACAGACGCCCAAGGGCGAACAAACGAAAACTATTGTAAAATTGGGGGCTAAGGTAGTACAGCCCCCCAGTCCAGTTTAGCCCCCCATGACCCAGTACAACCCCCCTCGTCCATTCTCAACCCCAAAATTTATTTCAAAGAATTAATCCAAGTTGTATGGTCCAGCATAAGCCCCCTACGTTTTAGATGAAGCCCCCTCCGTTCTAGGTCAAGCCCCCTACGTTTTAGATCAAACCCCCAACGTAGTAGATCAAACCCCCACTTACATTTTTTTTATTATTCTAATTTGTTCATTATGTGGGGTGTGAAACGGGCAAAACAGTGGGGGTTTGAACTACCTTTCGTGGGGGGCTGAACTACCGAAGCCCCTAAAATTGTGACACGGATCAAGAGAGGACTCCTTCGCGAACACAACGATACCACAATCATGCCTTAGCGCCCTCTGGCTTATGATTTACAAACGTTTCTCCAAAGTGGAAAGAAAATTTTGTCATCCCGTTTTTTGCCTTTTGGATAAAAAGTGCACTGAAAGTGCATCAAATGATATGATTTTTTGGGTATGGTGTTAGATTGTCCCAGGATGTTTCTATGCCGAATTTGGAGGTTATAGGCCCAGCGGTTCCCGAGATACGAGGTGGAAAGAAATTTTTGTCAGCCAGTATAGAAACGATAAGATTGACCACGTCCTATACTGATCGCGGAGAAGTCCTCTTTCGATCCGTGTCACATAGGAGTTTTCGCTTGTTTGCCCTTGGGCGTCTGTTCATCAATTCCTTGTCCGTTTTCGGAAAATTTGTGTATAGGATAGTTTATCACCTACATATTTTGAAGCATTTTACATGTAATACTGCAATTACATCCAGGCAAAACTTTTGGATCTTCCTTTTTTGGAACAAGTTTTGGTATTTTCTATGTTATAATGTCATGCTCAGGGGCAAGAAAACAACGATTAGCACTAGCAAAAATTAGAAAAAGCACCAATACTGAAAGTCTTCGTCAAGCCTCCGCCGAGCATCGAACCGATTTTTCAAGCCTCACAGGCACCTATGGCAAATTTTTTTTGGGTGTAAACCTTGTCTCGATCGAGTCTAAACATAATCTCGACCTGGAAATGTGGTTCGGTACTCGGCGAACGCTCGCTGCAGGCTTGGCGAAGAGTTTATATATTGGGGCTTTTTCTAATTTTAGCTAGTGCTCATCGTTGTTTTCTTGACTCTTAGCTGTGGTAACATAGAAAATACCAAAACTTGCTTAAAAAAGGAAGACCCAAAAGTTTCATCTGGATGTAATTGCAGTAATGTATGTAAAATACCTCAAAATAGGTGATAAACCATCCTAGAACATAAACAATCTTATTATTTCTATTACATAATCCTTCTCCTAGCCTCCCCATGCATACAACGACCAATCGATGTGACCCAAAGCAACCTCGACCCAAACTTTAGATCCGGACGCAAAAAATTCACAGCCCACATCTACCCCACTCTTTTCCAGATGCCAGACCAACTATATCAGCCCGAAAATCCGTATGCTTGGGCTGAAAACGACAACGAAACGTTTGGAGTGCCCGTTGAGCGCTTCACAAAGCCGATTCATCGAGTTTTCCATCAAATAAATTGTGTTACAGCGGCTACAATGGGATTCGTGACTACGACTCTCATGATTTATTTTGTTTTGCAGCGCAACAAGTCGGAATTGAAGCGTTACAGCATGATGCTGTTCATGTGTTCGGCTACGGACATGGTCTTTGTTCTGGGGACTTTTGTGAATCAAGTGGTAAACTTGTTAACTTAAAAAAACGTTTTCTAGACTCCGACGTATTTAAAAACATAAAAAATTTAATTTTCCAGCAAATCGAGTTGACCGACGGAGTAATGTTTGTTGTGCAAAGCGGGCCAGTCACACATATCGACAATTTCCCCATTCGTTGTGGCCTAGTTTCTTGGGAAGTGTTTTCGCTGGGCCTGTCGGCTACAGTGCTCCCAGCTCAACATTACTTTCGTTATCGATTGATCAAAAAGTAAGTTTACTGGTTAAAAAAACGGATTTTTTATATTGCACTTGCCATTAAAACCGAAAGTTTTTTTTTCAGTCAGGCCTTATCTCGATGGGAAACTTTATCGCTATTCATGTTATCAGTTGTGGCTTCGTCTTGCGTGGCATTTATGGGCTATCTAGCGCTGCGGTATTCGGCTCAAATTTGGCCTGGCTACAATTATGCAAATTTGTTGAAAGATACGTTCTGGTTCGGGCCAAACCATCAAATGCCGGTGATGTTTATTGTGAATTTGGTAAGGAAACAAAGGGTTGTTGATTTTCTTAGCTAGAAACGCATTTTGACACGTCATCAAAATTTTCGACGAAATGTCACAAAATTTATCGGATTTTTATCTAGGCAAAAGAAAGGCGTAATTCTTGCTGATTTTCTTGGCTAGACACGCATTTTGTTGATTTTCTTAGCTAGAAACGCATTTTGACACTTCATCAAAATTTTCGACGAAATGTCACAAAATTATCGGATTTTTGTCTAGGCAAAACCAAGGTGTAAAACAATAAAAATTGGCTTGAAATGCATCTGTAAAGCCGTAATAACCTCCAACATTTCAGCGGCACACCTATGGCTATCTTTATTTCGCCGCAGCAGGCACTGTTATCGCTTCCAGTTACGGATTTGCCCTTATTCTTGGCTACAAAAGCGTGGAATTGGGGCATGCGACGAGGAATCGAGCGAGTAAACGGACGCTCTACTTCCAACAACAATTCGCAAGAGTTGTTTTAGTGCAGGTTGGTACTATAAATCATTGCTTTACGAAGACAAAATGCATGATTTTAATGATTTTTGCAAATCTCGGGTCTTGCCACGAAAACCTGATGGGAGTCTAAAGGCTTTTAAGATAATCCCAAAGTGGTTTCAGACGCCGTATTTTGCTTTTAGCCAATAATTCCTTGCATTTCAAACTAGTACGTTTGAAAGTTTTTGGTCCCGCCACGAAAACCTCATGGTTTCAAAATGTGGTCGGAAATGTTTCAGAACAATTTACCCATGCTCTATGCTATATTTCTTCTACTAATCGGCACTTTTCAATCATTTTTACAAGTTTTGGGTCCCGCCGCGAAAACCTGATTTTCAAACGCCTAACCTAAATTTTTCAGACTCTAATTCCATTTTTGGGCTGTGTGGTGCCCTTACTTTTTATTACAATCACTGGTCTAATGCGGATGGAGATCCGCGGAGCGGGCCTGTTGATGATCGGAGTTTTGGATTGGCTGCCGTTCATCAATTCCAGCTGCACTTTATACCTGATTAGGCCGTTCAGAATGAAAGTTTACGCATTAATTTGGAAAAAATCCAACGCCAACGACTCCAAAGCGCCCACTTCCAGCTCGGATCGGCTTGGAAAGACGGCGAATGGACCAAGCGTGTTGCAGTCGTTGGGCCCAAAGTAGGTTAAGCTCATAAAACAGTCAAATTTTTTTGTCATAATTTTAAAATTTATACAAGGGCAGTGGAGGATCTGATACAATAGCAAAGAATCTCACCATTTTGCATCCGGGAATATCAAAAAATGTAGCAAAATACCTCCCTCTCCAAGTGAAAAGGCTCCAATTTCAAAAGCCCGCCAACTATACAGTGACGGACCTGATCCAGTGGCAGAAAACGTACCATTTTGCATCCGGGAAGTGTAAAAAATGTGGCAAAATACCTCCCTCTTCAAGTAAACAAACTCCGTTTTGAAGGTCCCTCAGAAAAAGAGCGGGCCGCTTTTGAAATCGGAGTTTTTTTCACTTGGACAGGGAGGTATTTTGCTACATTTTTTGACACTTCCCGGATGCAAAATGATACGTATTTTGGCACAAAATCAGGTCCGTCGCTGTAGAGCTGGCGCGCGTTTGAAACTGGAGTCTTTTTACTTGGAGAGGGAGGTATTTTGCTACATTTTTTGATACTTTCCGGATGCAAAATGGTGCATTTTTTGCCATTGGATCAGGTCCGCCACTGTACTTGTATAACTTTTCAAATCATGACAAAAATCATGGCCGTATTTTACAACAAATAAAACTTTTTTTACTCAAATTTTTATCTAAACCCAATTTTCAGCCCAATCTCCCCGCTTCAAAAGGATTTCGGACATTATCCTCACTAATGACGTCATTATTTATATTCACCTGGGTAGCAAAAAGAAACTTAATTAATCGATCGCGTGGTACCAATCGACATATTGTTGCTTTCTAGATCGCTGGACGATCTCAATTCTTATTTATTTTTCATTTTTTATAAAAAATACTTGAAAAAAAGGATAAATTATAATTTTTTCGGGGTTTTTCAATTTTTTAAATCAAAATGGTGGCTAATGGTGTTCAAAATGTCATAAATGGTCTACAGAAGCTAATTGACATTATATTATTTCACTGGATTACCATTAATCTGTTCAATTTTTCAAAAATTTCAAAAAAATCATCAAAAATCACCTAAACCAAGAAATTTTTTTTATTTATTTCTCAAGACCCTCGAAAATTTCTGTGGTCTCTCAATACCACCACTTCTAAGTACCTTTTCCTTTATTTCCCATTCTTTTCCACGCAACTTTTCGAGTCGCCAAACCAAATTGACATGGAAATGCTCGGTTCGAGTGCTCTGATATGATGAAAATACCCTTGTGGAATGTACAAACAGTCGCCCTGTTGCATGACAAAGTCCTCAACAATTACGTCCTTAAATTTAGGGAACTTTTCGTAGTCGGGCCGCTCCACATCCACTTGACTTGAGTTGGCACGGAGGAAATCGTCGAATAAGTAGATGTTGTGCCTTTGGTCCGGATTTATGAGCCGGACAAACTTTTTCCCACGGATCTAAAAACGTTTCTGGGTAAAATACGGTCTGTAAAATGAGTTTCACAACCATTCCGAGTGTTTCCAGAAATATCAAGTTTTCGTGTTGGGACCCAAACCCATTTTTTTCAAATAATCACATTATATAGCACAAACAAAGGTCATTTTGGGTAAAATACGGTCTGTAAAATGAGTTTCACAATCTTTCCGAGTGTTTCCAGAAATATCAAGTTTTCGTGTTGGGACCCAAAACAGTCAATTTTTGCAAATAACCACACTATATTGCACAAACAAAGTCCGTTTTTAGGTAAAATACGCCCTTAAAAATACTTTGTTCACTATTTCATACAATACCCAGAAGTTCAAAGTTTTCGTGGTGGGACCCAAATTCTTACCTGGAAGAAGAAATTATGCCTTGGATCGGTATGTAGAGGAGAAACAGTGCTGGAAGGACCAATAAAACAATTTATGTTCTCTGGTTCATCGCTCGACACCAAACTACAGTAATCCGGGATAATAATATCCTTGAGGAGTGACGGAACTTGATCCAAAAGTCGATGTTGAGCCATATAACCCGGTTCTTCGGCCTAAAAATAAAACAAAAAAACTTCAAAGACTTACATTTTCCTCATTGGCAACGAAGTCGTTAAGAAATTGACCAAAAGGCATCAAGATTTGACTCCAATCCTCATCCGTGTACTTGCTACCAATCTCGACTGGGACGATCCGACGGCCACATTTATTGTACAAGTAGTCAAAACTAAAACTTATAAGAGGAAGAAAGTTGTTTACCTCCATTTTTTGTAACATGGCATGTTTGACAGGAGCCCTCGGATTATCACTGGTTTTTCCGGCAAAAACGCGTTAGTATAGAAGGTTTCCAGACTCGGAAGATTGAGAACAGAGATCTTTCGAGTTGTTGATAAAGGAGCAGGAGGGTTATGAGACAAATGACTGGGAAACTGAAAGTTTTTTTATATTATCCATCGGATCAGAGGTAACGGTTGGAAAAATTGATTATTACTCCAGGTAAGAGCTTGAAAAGAGAGAAGTTTGTAAATAATTAGCTTCGTTATTATCTATTCTACCTAATCACATCAAAACATAAACATTTACCAGCTGAGAATTTTGTATTACCTCGATCTTCTCCATGGGACCCATATGATCAGATAAAATTTCGCCTAACTCTCCCAAAACGTTTTCATCCAGCTCGTAACCCTTCAGTAGACCCTCATCACACTTGGCCAAAGCTTCCTAAAATCAAAATCCACGGAAATAAATAGAACATACCTCTGATTTCCCACTTTTCCATAAAATGAACGTCTGGATTAAACAACAGACCGAAAAAAGCAATCTGTAGACGTCCGGGACTTCGGAGAAGTGGCCTGTATTCAGACTGGCATCAAGTAGCCCGTAGATGTGTTCAAGATGCTGTTCATAACCTAAAAATAGAGAAACAAAAGATTTTGGCTAGTGTAATATAACCAAAACCAAAGAGGAAAAAACTTACTAGAATCGTCCTGAAAATAGGTACTAAGACAGCGTATCAATCCCTCTAGTATCCAAAAGCTTTTCGCATGCTTTGTCAATTGTTTTTGCTTCTCTTCGTTCAAACATATCTCTTCTTCATCTAACTTGAACACCTTCGACAAGATGTCAAGAATCGCAACTTCTTCGTCTTCTTTTTCATTAGGAACTACTTCGGAAGACATTGAACCCTCATTCTACAACACTTTCCTCTCATTTTTCTCAATTTTTCGCTCCAAAATAATTATTTCCTGCAAATTAAACGAAATGTCAAAAATTTATGGATTGTTGCGGAATGTCAACAAATTTTGGTTTTTTTATTTTTGCCCGACATTCTCGAGAATGAGCCAAATTTTGTTGTTTTCCAGGCCCGTTTCTGGCCAACGATCCTTATAAAAGCTTCGTCAATATGGCTAATAATCTTGAGTCACCTTCGGAGCTGATTCATGAACGAATTCAAATGAATTTGGCCTTAAATTCATTTAGTTTTGATTGAATTTTCACTTCGGAGGCACTGCCAGGTGTTTTGAATCTTGTTTTTAGCAGATCTTTCTGAGAATCAGACTAATTTTTGGATTTTTGAAAGGTTTTATATTATACTGATAGGTTAACCCAAACTTCCCAATATTTTGATCCTTTGAACTTTTTCAACGCTGTTTCAGGTGTTTACAACAAGTTTATGTCTTTTTGAAATATTTATGTGTTTTCAAGTCGTTTATTATTCGCGTTTCACACTGAAATTTTGATTTTTTTCCAGCTGTCAGGTGTAATATATTTTTTATGTTTCTCTCCGTCCAGGCCGGAAAGTTAGCATTTTTCATGGCCCGAACTCATTCATTCAAGTGTTTTCATGAATCTTTTTGCCAAAAAACCTTTTGAATTGGTGTTTGCATTCTTTGGTTGGCGATTAGTCAAAAAGGAAACAATGGGAAAATTTTCTCGGCGATTTTTATGAGTTTTGGTGTTGAATGGGTAATATTTTGGTGTTGGCATGGCAATTTTGATATGCTAATGATGAGATGGATAGGATAGGGGTTCAAAATTTGAGGTTTGGAAGGCCTGTGGGGTCATTACTAAAGTTTGATGTAAGTTTTGCGTAAAATAATGTCGGAATTGCAAAAATTGCAATTCAAGAGGCAAGTGAAGGCCTCTGAGAATACGATAGTCAGTATTCCCCTACATTATACTCAAAAATCAATTGGCTCTTTCAAAAATCGAGATTTTTATTCCTTTTTCGATATTGTACATAGCGAATTTTGAGAAAATCTAAAAATATCGCTGATTTAGTCAAAAACCTTCTAGAATCTTCTGAATAATGATTATTCAAAACGTTCGAAATGCAAATTTTGCAAACTTCCCTATGTTTTCCTCGGAGCGGCGACGGAATTAAAGAGGATTTCCATAGAGACCTCTTAAAATCCTGAGGATGGGATCTGCGTGGGTTTCGGCCTGAATTATTCATAATGCACCCAAAAAGCAGATGAGGACGTGAATTCTTATCTTTAACAGCTCTAGTTCCATCTGTTGTGGCTTGTGTTTCACATTTAAAACGTAAAGCAATAACAAACATGTCATGTGCAATATACAGGTGATATTTTTGACCGAAAATTGCTTCGGTTTGTTTATATGAGCCTATCAGGAATAAAAGTGTGCGTTTATCCGATTAAATTCGCTTATCATTTGCTATCGATAACATGAAATAAGCAGAAAGATAGCAAATGATAAGCAGGTTTAATCGGATTAACGCGATTACACTTTGTCGACGAGCTTGGAAGCGTTGTCAAAAGTCGAGCGGAAGTTGGCTGTTAGACCCTGGCGATCTTTTTCGCTAGCGGATTATGTTGGTATTACGTCTTCATCGTCGAACTTGAGTACATCCGCAAGCCGCTGATATTTCTGTCCTCAGACTTTATTTGATTGCTCTATCATTGTACGATTTCCTCGAACTGTCGGCTATCTATTGATACGATTTTTGAGCTTATCCATCGGCTCCACTCCCTCACCTCGGCCCATAATTTATAATACAAAGCACATCCGTCTTCACGACTGTTTCGGTCAGTCAGCTGGCCAGAAACAGAGGTCAGCTATAGTCTAGCGAAAAAACAATTGTTGAAGGGATCGGAAATTGGTTACACGTGCCGACGAAGACTTTTCGCCACCCACTTACCAAGTTTTTCGAAGGTCTTCAATCCCGAACTCACTTGAAATGTAATGCCAAGGACTTTAAACAAGGATCTTGAGGAGAGTTTTGAAATTGATTGGATCTTTTGAGAGTTCGAGGTCAGGATTTGAGATTGGAGCGTTCTTTTCTGGAGTTATCGTGGAGGATGATATGTTGTATCCCGTCAGTCTTACTCGCGCTCTTGTTCCGGTGTTCCTGATTTGTTGTGTTTGTTTTTGGTTGTCATGTTTATTGAAGTCGATTTGTTGGTTGACATCTTCCTTGTTGATTTTGGCATTGAACATGGATTTTTTGTGATTGCTGTTGCCGACTGGTACTCTTCTCGTACTTCGCTTTTTTGAATTCCTGTTGTAAATTTTTTCTTATCCTTTCGGATGTTCTCATCGATATTTCCCCTCAGCGTGAGGTCAAATAGACGCTGTTTCCACATGTTCCTTTCAAGGTTGTTGTCAAGTCGTATGGGTGATCTCCTCCGACCAGAGCGGATATGTTCTGTAAAAAGAGAGGTTTTGAGAAAACGAAAAGGAATGAGGTGGTTTTTTTCGCCTCCCCCGGTTCCCTTCTAATCCGAATGCATAAAGAAGGGGAGAGTAAAACGGGAGCGAAGAATGGGTATTCGCTTTTATAGCATTTGGGGACCACATCTCCCTTGGACCGGATAACGACAAGTTATAAGGTTCTCGGACAAAAAGATCGGCCCTCTAATTGTAGAGTAGAGATGGCATTGTTTGAACGCCAGATGGTGGGATTTTATAAGGCGCGAGTGGGTGATTTATGAAGTTAGAGGGAGATGCCGGAATACGATTGTCTTTACTGGTTTCTTCTTCAGTTTTATTTTGGTTTGGCCAATCAGACCGATTTTTATCATTTTTTGGCATTCTCTTGAGGAAATCCTTAACTTTTGATCCAAAACTGATCTCCAAATGACGTTTATTCATTTGCAAGCTCAATAAAGGTCAGTAGGCCATTGAAAACACTTGTTTATCCTACTTTTCCACATGATTGAACCTCGTTATCATCTAGACGGAGGTGTTTTCAGTGTTTTCTCTCTACTGTTTATGAGATTTGGTGGCGAAATTTTGAGCGAAGATTAAGCGATGGAAATCCTTTATTGTTTTATTAATTCGCCGGATTTGTAGGTAATCGTGGGTTAATGGGGATGTGATGTAAGGAGAGTCTGTTTCTTCCTGGCTCTTTTCATTTCTATAGCCTCTCCAGTGGAAATATCGCTGAATATCTCGGCCGTTTCGGCATTGCGCAAGGAAGAAGTCTCTGAAAATGTGTCAAAAATGATTATGGTCGTGATGAACCTTGTGATTCACATACGATATTCTCATCTTTTTTATGCTGAATCATAAGTCTGCGTTTTTATGATAAAGATCTCTAGACTAGGGGTTTTTGTCGCCCACACGCAATATTGACTGCAAAAATTATTACAACGGTCCTTATTTACGTTATAATTATCCAAATCCGCAAAAAACTTTTCCTTTTGCAGTTTTAATCTGGTCCAGGAAAAAGTTATTACTCTGCCTGAGGCGAACTTTATTACTATTTTTGCTGAACCCCTAATTATCGCTGGGAATTTAATTTTTATGAGGCTGAGATGTCACTAGTTGTTTATTTACACCTGTAGTAGGTTTAGAAAGTCATTTTTACCTTGAGTCCCCCACATTATAGCATATCGTGTAGCAGCGAACTTGTTACGCCCTAATCATTAGCATTATTGCGTAAGGGATCCATTTTTAGTTGTTTTTAGTCAAAAAAATTTGGCTGAAAAACGATTATACTAACCAAAAAACATCCCACGAAAGGGCGAAAAGAGTCTCGTGTGATTTCGTTCAGATATCAACTATTTATAGGCCAAAATTACGATACACGCGCATTTTTTTTGCACTTCGGATAAGAAATCGTTATTTTTTTTTAAATTTTGACCTTTACTGCACAGCGGATTTTTTATGAAAAATCGGCTTGTCACTACAAGTTTTAAAAGTCTCGGATTGTATACTTCGAAAGGTCAATTCAAAACTAGCAACTGGGCCAATATTTTGAGAACGGAAGTGGGGCCGGCTTGGCAAACGGGCACGTGAATTGGTCCTCTTTACCCCTAGATTGAGAGTTCATTTCTCGAGCACGGTGCTGTCGTCGTTCCTCGTATTATGACAGAAGAAGCCGTTCTGGTCAACGCTTTCACGGTTGTCTCGGAATTTGTTGGCTTGTTTTAATCGCCCCTCTCTTTTGATATTCATTGTTACCATTTCGGATCTTTTTGCCAATTCAAACATCATATTGTTGTTGTATTTGTCATTGTGCCACTTGAATTCGTTCTTCCTCTTGAGACATCAAATACAATTGAATAAAAGGCCAGATTAGTGTTAATTTTGGTTTTTTCGCTGTTATCGTGGGAGTTCATTGTAAAGAACCGGCTAATATTAGTCTTCTTCAAAACGTCCGGTCTCTTCTTTGCTTGTTGTGCCAAAAACTAATCAAATAATCCCCTTAACAAACAACCAAAGTAGTTTCCTTTCGCGGTAGTCAGTTCAATTCCAAATACGTCTAATCTGCCGGGTTTATGGATTATATCCGGTAAATTGGTTGTGGAACCTCTGGACAAATCTTTTCGTTGGGTACGAAAAGGATTTCTCTAAGCTCCGAGAGTTTGTTGGATAATCGACCGTCCTGATTTAGAAGTTCCAATCTGTTTGTTCCAATGTTTACTTGCTTGCCATAAATACAATGACGGATTTGATCTAGGGGCAAAAAACGTATCATTTTGCATTCGGGAAATATCAAAAAATGTGGCAAAATACCTCCCTCTCCAAGTGAAAAACTCCGGTTTTCAAAGCGCACCCGCTTTTTGTGATTGTGCGCCTTTGAAACTCGGAGTTTTTTTTTCACTTGGAGAGATTTTGCCACATTTTTTGATACTTCCCGGGTGCAAATGGTACGTTTTTTGCCACTGGATCAGGTCCGCCACTGTAATTTGCTATCTCAATTTGAGCGAAG